AGCGCCCAGCAGCCGCCGCCGAGCCGGGCCATGCTGCTCTCGTGCGGGCGCCGGGAGGCGGCGGGACTTTAACAAGTTCCCTTCGCTCGCCCAGGGCCGGTCTCGCCGCTGCCCCCGCCTCCTCGGGCGCCCGCCCCAGAGCGCGGCGCCAGGGACGCCCCGCGCCGCCCGCCCCATCTCCGGCCCGCCGGGGTGGCGGAGCGCGGCCCCCAGCCCCGCTCCCGGGCGGCCCTTGGCCTCGGCCCCGTCCCGTTCCGTCCCGTCAGCGGCGTTCCCCGCACTTTGCCCGGCGGCTCCCTCGCAGCCAGGGCGCGGCGGGAGGGCCCCGCGCTGCCTTTAGTCCCTCCAGGGCTGCTGCGGGGCCCGGGCTGCAGCCCGGCCTYGTCTCAGCAGTGGCCGGCCACAGCAGGAGGGAAGTAAAAATAACAGCGCCCGTCCTTGCTGCCTCTGCGGAGCTGCCGCGCTCATAGGGAGGAAGGGTCGGGCGGAAAAGATGCCCCAGAGCAGCTCAGAGACTGCCCGAGGTGGATGGAGGCTTGTTGGGAAGCAGCAGCCCAAGAGCAGCTTCTGGCCCTGTTGAGAAGAACAACTGYTGAACATGTCTCAGGAGGAAAGAATCCAAAGGCTGGCCTTTTTTCTAGTGTTTGTAGGAAGGGACTTTTTCCCATTGGCTCTTTCCTCACCCCTGTGAGACTCAGGCCACTTCAACATGTAGCCTGTTTTTAGTTTGGTTGGGTGGGTTTTTGTTTGTTTTCATTCGCCATCATGGGATATTCCACTGGTGTCCCCAAGCAGCCAGGATCCGGACTTTGTATTTTGCTGATTGTTGAGCACCGTTCATACCTGATGCGTGTTCCTGCAGCAGCCTCACGTAACAAGGTCACCCACCCACCGGGTCGGGCAAATGAGCAAGTCTTGGCCCCGTGCCTGGGAGAGCAGCCCTGTATCACTGCTGCCAGCTCCAAGAATCGTGTCCTTCTTAATGCTGGGGTTTTTTCTTTTTTTTTTTTTTTTTTTTTTTTTTTTTTTTTCTGGGCTAATTTTACTAAGAGATAAGGATAAGACCAGTGCAGTTACTTTCTTTCATTTTTACCTCTCCAATAAAGGAAAGAGTAAGTCTTCATGTCAATGTTGTGTTCACCTGAGGAGTATTTTCCTGTTTTCCTGTCCTGTTTCCTGATGTTTGTCATTTACAAAAAAATGTGTTTCCAAATGAAGAATTCGCTTCTGTCATATGCCGCTTTCAATTTGATTGTACTGGTRAATTAAAATATCAAAGGATACTTTTCATAAAGTATTAAATAAACAAAAAGATTCTCTGTGTACAAGTGATGGACATGGTCAGGAATTAGAGGCACCTGTAACCTTGCGTAGAAAGTACAAATAAGCAATGCTAAACCAGGATTGCTGTGCAGATGCATAAGGAAACTAAGATGGGGAAGAGACAGAGGAATATGCATGTGGCCATCAATGCAAAGCCCCTGTGTGTTTGGAAGGATTTTCTTACAGCTGTTCCCAGCCCAGGGACTAACAGATTGTTCTGGGTGTGTGTGAGGTAAGCTTAAGGGCATAGGTGAAGGTGCGGCCAAAATTCTCTCCATTTGGAGAGAAAAATTACCTGTCATGTTAGGTTTTTAATATAATGGCACACTGTTCAAAAAGGAAACTCCAGATTTGTGACGCCACTTTAGTGACAGACTTCTAATTGTAGAGGGCTCTTTGACCAACTGCATAAGAGAGACTGGGCAAATTCAGACCAGAAAGCAGGTACATATTATTTTTACAAAAGTTAAATGAATTTGTTGGGATGCATTGGCAATAGAGATGCAACAGTACAGTATCATGTTGAAAGCAGTCAGAGATTGATAGATCAATCAACTCATTCTTAGGTAACTATTTATCTCCAAGTAATTACCCCAGAACTATAGTCTGAAGAGTGCAAGGAGAAAGACCACTGAAAACCAAATAAGGTTTTAATTAGTTGTCTCAATTGGTTTCAGCAGATGCTTCTTTTAAAATAAATCATATCTCAGAGGTGTCACAAATGGAGCCTATAGGATTCCTCTTTAAAATGAACTTAAGTGACTTCAAATAGCAGAGCAACTGTTTAAAGYAGGAGGCTTCTTCAGTCTTGAGGAGTCCAACACTTGTCACGGCAGCAGCATGATGATGCCAGGTAGTGCCACAGTGCAGCACTGGCAGCAGAACATGTAGGTACAGCRATGGAGAGTGTTGATAAATTCCTTGTGGCAGGAAATGGCAGTCATGCTGACTTCATACTTTTTTACTGTACTTGATTCTTTTTGATCCAAATCAGTGTTAGAATACAAGTTTGGTTTTTCTATCCTCTTGCCAATTAACACTTCCATGAGTGTGGTCCAGTACAAACAGAATATATATATATATATATTTGTCATTTTTAGGGCATTTACTTGGGAAAAAATGCTGTTCAAAACTATAAAAGAATGTTTTGGAGATAATTTATGCACCAAGTTTTAAGGTTTGAATACTAACCAGTATTTGACATTTGAGTAAGAAGCAGTTCTAAGGACAACCTAGAAGTTGCAGTCTGCTGACAGGGGTTGAGAACCACCCGTGCAGTGCACGAAATGCATTTGCAAAATTTTCCTCACTAGTTCTTACCATTTAAGGAGAAAGATGGTTTTCTTTCATAGGCCTCCCCTTCCCTCGCACCGTGCTTTGGTTGATTTAAAAAGATAATAATATTAAATGTTGTGGTGTCAGTTAACGGTTGAGTCAACTCAGTTAAATCTGAGTTCTGCCTAGAAGTGAAACTTCATTGAAAAGTTGAACTGAAAGCTTTTGAGGTTTGAGAAATTCAAATATGTTTGTCTTCATTTCTGTTGCAGTTCTGGTCTGGGGGCAGAAGTGGAAGTGGAGAAAGGATTTGAGAGGTCTGTTTTTGCAATATTTTCTTTTTCATTTTGCAAGCCTAGGACATTCATATAAGCTTTACACACAACACAAGCTTTGGAGTAATCTTCAAAGATAAATAATGGAAGCACAAATTGTTGAGCAAAGTCAATTTGATTGAACAAAGCAATGGGAAAACTACAGAAGAAGCAAAATGCCAAAATATCCCAGACTTATTAATGATATGTTTAATGTTATTTTCAAATATATTATAACAAATCTTTTTTTCAAAATAAAAACTACAAATTAAGCACAACATCTAAAAATCATGAAAATAAAGCCTTTACAATGAATATTTTCAGAAGCAGATTATTGAACCGTGTATCAATTTAAAACAAAACAAATAAAGCTATTTTCTAGTCTCAACTGGGAGGTATATTCATTTCCCTCAAATCAGGCTGCATGTGTCCAGAAGTCCCCAGACAACTTGGACATTATGGTGAACAGAGGTTGAGTTTATCGCTAACAGGACAGATGTTATAGAGGATGCCCAAAAGGGTAATTTCTTTCCCCTCTACCTGAGAATATAAAACTCCAACCTTTACCAAAAATACTTGAGAGAGCGTGTATAGCTTTGCTGCATCTTTCTGAGTCGGAGTAGGCATCTAGTTTTAAAGATATGTGGTAGACTTATCTGTGCTGGCCAGTTGCAAGTATTCTAGGGTACCTGTTCGGTAGCTGGGTACCCGTGAAAGCTCCCGCTGCTTGAACCCTTCAGCTTCCCGCTTCTGAAGGGTCTTAGTTATCATCTCTGCTAAGTCAGCTTGTAACCGCTGCTGATTCTCCCTGAAGGCAACAGGACAGAAAAAAAAAAAATCAGTGATTCACAAAACGTTTCTAATGATATTTCGATTCCCACCCGTTTAAAAAACATTTCTATCCTAGGTTTATCTTCATATGTTTACACCTCTGAAGCAAAGCATGGGAAGAACAAAATTCAGGTTCACTCACAATTATTATATTTTATTCAGTACAAATGCAAAATAATAGGTCAGGTCAAGGACATCAATCTCTTTTTTTTTTTTCTGGTAGCTCCTCTTTTATATGTTAGAGTAGCCTTCGGTCACTTTTTAAAGACTAGGCCTGTGCAATACTGCAATAACTTTGCCCAATTCTTCCAGCAGAGTATGGTCCAACATGCTGCATGTCCCATTCCTCCTGCAGATGCCCACACAAGGCACAAGGCCACACACAGTTCACCAGTCCACACTCACACCAAACAGTCGACTTTGAAATCCAGCCTTCCCTATCCCCAGTGAATCAAAAGGAAAAAAAAAATTGCTCTGCAGTTTTTCCACCAGCCACAGACAACATGCTGTGCATATTTAAATGCTAATGCTACTTCACTGGTACTAAAAATCCACAAAAAGGCGTAACACTGTACATCCTGCTACGCCTTCTGTTGCAATTATCCTTTTGCTGCAGTCACACACAGCTGGAATGAGGACTGAAGTTTTGGGGAATGTTAACATTTTGATTTTTTGCCCATGCTCTGTGTATAATACATCAACAACTTATCCTCTAACTCTTATTTCCCTTCCAAGAAAATGAACCAATAAAATACGTACAAATAACCTTCAGCGTATGCACATAGTCCTATAGCTAATGTTGTCATGAACATTTACAGATGTTTATACACACATGCACTGTTAAGCTCTTTGGGTTTAGCTAATGGAGGCCAGTTAAGTGTTACTAAAAAATAATARTTAAAAAAAAAGAGCCTGTGGAGGAACAGAGAAGGCTGAAGTGCAAAGATGGAAATTTCTCTTCTCTTTTCACATATGAAAACAACTTACACAGAAGGAGGTGTTGGGAGATTATATTCCTTGTCCTCAGAGCCCGTCAACCAGTAAGTAACCTCAGTTCCTCTGCCCTAAATATATAGGACAAAGAAGAGAAAGCACAATTTAGGGATTATAGTACAGTTTTCCATAATTAGCAAAATTAATTTATTAAATGATAATGTATTGCACATTGCTGTGTTTGACTTTTGTTTTCAGTAACTGCTGCTTACAGCAACGGGTTAAAAATACAATGTAGAAAAAAAGAATGGGGGAAGTGCAACTGCCCACTCACTTCCTTGTTCCATGACCTGGAAAACACATCATGGAAAAGGTGAGCTGTGCTACCTGTCTTCAGCAACCAAGTACAGACATCTGCCAAGTTTAACAGACCAAAATACATATATAACTAAGTAGACAGACAGGCAAACAAGAGCATAATAGCAAGAGAGTCAACTTCCCATTCATCAAAGCCATTCACCATCACTACTCAATTTCCTGTTATTATTGGTATGCTCATCACTTATTCTCTACATCTACGTGTTGCCTTCATTTAAGTCTTTGACAGCTCTTCATGGACCATGTTGTCTTCAGAGGATTATCGTGACCACTTTGAGACTGTGATAGCGATTGATCTATGACTGTTGTATCCAGCTRTTAATTAAGTTGCAGTGTTCTACCAGTGATATGTTTCTTTTAAAGTAGTCTYTCTTCTCTATGTAAATGCTTGTACATGGTATAAGTTACCTTCAAGTATGTTTCTCCTCTTGTTTCATATTGGAACCGGCAGCCTGTTCTTTTCAGGATGGCAATAGTGGAACCATTTACATGAATCCTTAAAGCTAAAAATAAAAATACAAACAATGCAAACTCAAGTTGGAAATGTAACACGGTCATATTAAGTATATATGAAAACTGCCATGGTAGATGCTCTTCCAATTGGTGCCAGCATAAATTGTGAGAAAAATKAAATGAAAATAAATTATACTGCTATATCAAAAATCCTACTCCATTACCTGTAACTGTATCTACAGAAAGCTGACATGAATATTTCTAGAGTTTAGAGGCCAAAAGGGAAAAGAATAGAGAGGTATTTATAAAGAGAATAATATTCCAAGACACAAGGCGGAAAGAATATAAACTGACCCTTGGCATAGTTTCCTAATGGTGAAGTTGAAGAGGTAATTACTTCCATTTAAAATATGTGGTCAGCATATTTACACAGTAAAGCTGTAATACAGATTTACATTGAAATAAAATATACAGTTCATCCAATGTAACTAAACTCAAGACAGGTACATAAGGTATCTTCCAGAGGAATTCAGCCAGTCAATCAGCCTGCTTACTCCCTATTAGCAGCACTGAAGCAGGAACAAGGAACATTTCTTGGTTGCCTAACAGAGAGGTGGAACAACGGGTAGTCAAAATGAGCAGGGCTTCTTCATCCTTAAAACTTCTGTGATCTGATAACAAATTGTTCTCAGCTGAAAATAAACCCTTTGATCACAGAAACAGATAGTCTTCCATCCTGCTACACTGACAGATAGAATGAAGTTCTTACGCAAGCCTGTGGATTCCATCCGTGAAGCTGTGTTCACCGTATCTCCAAATAAACAGTAGCGAGGCATTTTTATTCCAACCACACCAGCTGCACATGGACCTAGAAAYGGGATACAGGGAGTGAAAAAGGTGGATCACAAGACTTTATTTGGAAGGTGTTACTTGCAGTACAGTGCTAGGACCTACAAGGATTCCAGGTTCCTCACTAATGGTGTTACTSTCTACCTCACTACCTAACATGTCTGGCAGTCTCCCATGCCACTCCAACCCAGGCCTGGTTCTGTTCATTCAATAGGAGCATAAAGAGGACACATCTACACACGATTTGAATGCAACTTTTCTGCATAAAAAATAGTTACTGACTCAGTTTTGGAAGCTGGATGAAGAAAGAACAAGCTTCATTATGGAGGGAAATCAGCAATGTCTTGAGGGGTCTGCCAGTACCTCAGGTGCTTTCACTTGTACGTTTCCAATAGTGAGTACTGAGGTGATTTGTGAAACAAGGAAAGATAAAACATGCAATATTCTCAAATGGTTGAATTAAGCATAGTTATTGGATGGAAACTGATGGAAAACATCAATTTCTATATAGGCTTGATCAGAACTTCTGTAGCAAAAAGCATAGAACACAGACCTGCTTTATATGGCCAGATAAGCATATCTGATATAGCTAATCTCCACTTTGGTAAGGGAAGAGTGATCTGTGCAGATTACAACTGGTTTAAGGCAGGAACTGTGGCAGTTGCTCTCCATAGTCACCAGTTTAAGCTATGAATGAATGGATATTGGCTATATGTGGCTTATTTACTTCTGTAGCTCTACCCTCAGGAACATTGGTTCCAACCTGATTCTTCATGAGGAGAGCAGTTGTGTGTCATGTGCTACATTTTCCATGGATGTCTATTCTGTTAAGTTCAAGAACATTGTCATTGCTCATCCAGCACCACTGTATACCAGAGTGAATTCCAATGCGAATCCAGACAGGCAAGCCTGGCAGATGTCGCAGTTCAAAGGATCCCATGAAGCTGAGGATGTCCAGAGCCATCATAGAGATGTCCACTGCATGGCGATTGCCATTCCTCTTCGGTAAACCGCTCACCACCATGTAGGCATCACCAATGGTCTCAACCTGACGTGGAAACACAATTAAACTTTGCGAACTCCTTACACCACCAAATATAGTTAAAGGTTAAAAGGTTATCAGATCATCTTGTCCATGAATAAGTGTGTCCTCCCTAACCAATAAGATTGCTTCCTTTAATATAGCTGATGCATTTTTCAGTATGTGAGTATTCATAACTGTACACRGCATTCCAAGTAATGAATCTGTGACAACCTAATATAGAAAATTAGCTATAAGCAAGCACACAAGTATTGATATGAGGTAATCTTGGACTTGTCCTTGCTAATGCTTCCCAAACCCACCACATTATCTAATTTTGATTTCTTTATCCTTATGGTTAATGAAGCAAAAGTGAGGAGCTAATCACCTTGTAAACATCATGATGGTCAAGAATGTGGTCGAAGTTCTTGTAGATATCGTTGAGCATATCTACCACTTCCATTGGGGTGCTGTATTTGCAGAGTGTGGTGAAGCCAACAATGTCACTAAAGTAGATAGTGACTTCTTCAAATAGCTCTGGTTCTACTAGGCCAGTTTCCTTCAAAGATTTTACTACTGGCCTGCAGGTATAGAGAAGGCAGAAAGATGGATAAATAGTCTGTGTTTTACATCAAAKAAATTTTCTCAAACAACCCAACTATATAATTGTTTCCTGGCTAGGAAACATCAAATAGTTTGCTGAAGGCTACAAATGTAATAGCATTTTAGATGTCCATAATGCCTTTCAGTCAGGGACCCCAAAGTACTTACTAATGTTCATTAATGCACAATAGCTTTACAAAATCTAAGTGTATTAAGTAAAAGCCACAAGAAAATTGAGGCACAGAACAACTGAGCTTCTTAGCTAAGGTCAGAAATAGAGAAACTGACAGAATTTAAATTTAAATTCTGGAACTTCTAACTTGTAGCCCTAGATTCTACTTCCACTTTTGTTCCCAATAAGTGAAAATCGGCACTTCCTTTTTTTTTTTTTTCTGTTTTTCTAGTGTAGAAATAACTGCTTCCTGATAATTATATCACCTCATCCTGATTTTAGATGAGATGGTCTGATAATTTTATGGAGCAAAAATTCAATATCATGACACTGAGTATCCATTTAGATGGAATTTCATTTTCTTGAAATGAAAAAAAATGTTTTCCATGGGAAAATTATATGAGAATAATTAAATGAGACCTAGAAAAATGTAGGTGTTGCACAGTGCGGTGTTTCCTCTCCATGGGATAGTTATAGGGATCTGGGAACAAAGGCTGGAAGGAAATGAGATTTCTTGAGCCATAGCCTAACCACCTAGAACATGTCAGATTTTCCCCCAAGTTCGATTGGACTGAACAAACACTCAACATTGGTTTTGGGTTTTTTTTCTCTTTTTTCTTAATGAATCATAAGGTCAACACCTTGACTTCAAATACCCTTGAAACTAGTGACAAAGTACGATGGTAGCTTTGCTATTCTAAATGTATGCAATATCAAAATTATTAGCATTACCAGTACTAAAATTTCAGTAATAATTGTCMCGTGTCTTACTCTAAAGTGTGTATCAAGTCCAGTTTGGTCCAATATGGCCCAACCCTCCTCAGTCCCTCTGGTGCCTGAAAAACCATAGCCTGAAGTTGGGCTGCATTCCTCCTGCTCTCCAGCTGGAGACACTCCTTCTCCCTAGCAAAGTGTTGGAGCAGAACAAAGCTCTGTGTACGTGAGATCAATATAGATCTCTAGGTTCTGACAGGAAGACAGTGAAAGAGAAGTTTTGTCCTGAAAAAGAGGATCCTGTACATGTGGGGAGATGGGGTCCCTATACCACCTTGGCATGAAAGTACTACGGAGTCTCTGGTCCCAACAGGTATAGTAGGGATTTCAGGGACAGGTTCTTCTTTCCTCCCTAGCAAGATCACTTTGAAAGTAAGAAGGAACTTGGTGAGAAAGAAGGACAGGCACACGCCCCTAGAAATTTCTCTTCCCTTTTGCCCGAAAGATTTCATAGTTTTTGGTATGGGATGGGATTGTAATATTTGCTTTTGCATCAGTATCGGAAAAGATTCAAGTAAGACTGCCATTGTTCTACAATGGCCTACTTGATTATAACAGTAGCCTTTCAGACTATRTCCTTCTAACATCGCAGGCTCCTACTTGACTGTAAACAGTCTAGGAGAATAAGCTTAAAGCATTGGGATATCTCCTATGTCCTACATGGCAACTGGCATGGTAACTGGCAACATTAAGGGCCAACACTAGGGTCAGGCAGCCAGCCTGCTACACAGACTTGCACTGTCTGAAACTGTACATACTAATGACGAGAACACACATTTTCCTCAGCTTCGTTTTGGACTGTTTGTTTATGGTTTGGCAGGTTTGGATATTAAACACAATGCCACTTTGTACATGTGTATGCTTGCTCTTACGAAGAATACAGCTGCTTGGGATGCTATTTTGGTCAGATTCCACTTGGATTAAGTGTCCTGCCTCCCTAACTTGACCCCTCTGGTCTCAGCTAAGCATGTCAGTCTTGTGTTCTTCACTTCTTATGTCAATGCCTGCTGTTGGAACTTCTGTCTGTGCCATTTCGGCAGGGGCCTATCTGAGTCTCACTTATGTAGTTTCTAAAAAACACCAGGGTATCTGAGGTATACAGAGCTTTCCTGAAGTATCACTTGAGTAACTGAAAAATGTGTAAGTAGGTAATAAGTATAGTAATATATCAGGCTGTGAGGTGYTTGGATCAGTTATTTGAAAAGATCCCATCTCAGGAAGCTCATTTTAAAATCAGTCTATCTGTCTCTCTATTAGAATTTGTAATGATTAAGTAAAATTAAGAGTCTTCATAATTCAAATTACTGTCAACTTGTTGAACAGACCTATACCACATCAACAGATGCTGATAAAATGATTTGGCCAGTAACATTYAGGTAAGCCATGTAATTTTATGGCTTAGAGTGGTACACACAGGAATGAAAATGCTCGTCTGTTGTGATACAAATGTTACTAAGATACATCTGTCATTAGCAACCTTAACTACAGGTAAATGAGGATGTCCTTACTGCAGGCAAATATATTTTGCRGATGAATGAAGATACTTTACAGTGGCTCCCTAATTGAGACATTTTACTTCCCTGGGCTTAAATCATTTTACTGTAATTGTAGATCACATCTGGTTCATTTGAGCTTCAGCTTGTTCATAATTAAGGTTCTAGTTCAGTAAATCTTTTTAACTCTAWACACATGTTTAAATGTCGAGCTGAACTGGAGCCTCAGACAGGGACTCAGTGTCCTATATGGGAAATCACACCAGGCTACAAAGCCTACAAGAAAGTTCGTGATTCTTCTGGGTAAAGAAGACCAAGCTTTCTCTGTCTGCTACCCATTTTCCTTAAATGGTCTGTACAGGGAGGCAKAAGAGGTACAGAGGGAATTGGTAGTAGTGCCTCCTACATTTGCCCTTTATCCCTAAGGTTGGGAGAATTAAGACAGAGGAAGTAGTTTTTTATTATCTCATTTGAAGAAATACAAGATGAATGTTAATTCCAACCCCACTCTTCAAGAATCAAATGAAACATGTAAATAAAACTCAAGTGAAAATCCTGTTGGACAGCACTAACCTTGGAAGTAACATGAAATTAAGCCTATCTGCTCTGTCTCTCTCTGCTTTGTACAGTTCTGTCCTTTCCTCCACCAGGTGCTCCAGATTACGGGAATACAGCTGCAGACGCCGGATCAAGGTATCCATGTAGCTTTCATTGGTCTGGCCGTGGTAGTTACTGGAAATAACACATGGAATAAACATACGGAAGCCAACAGTGAAGGATGATAGAAACACATTGCTGAGAAAGTGACAAAAATGAGAACAGAAAGCTTTTGCAGTGTTTAATTTCCATATAGTTGGAATTCAAATTGTTTAAAGTACATTATCCTTAGAGGGTATGAAAACCTGTGGCCCACAATTGTCACTTAGAGTTGCCAATTCTTAAAGCACTTTCAAATCTCTCAGCCCTGCAAAAATTGTCATGTCCGGGTTACTGTGGGTAATCCATGAACATTCATTTGGAAAAAAATAATAAAAAAGAAGTAACTGGCAAGTTCAAATCCTGAGCAAAAGCTAAAGAAGGTARGCAGACAAATTGGCTTAGACTGAGCTGTGAGTTAGACCCCAAAGAACTGAGGAAATTTGGGGCTGTTTCGTGGGAGACAGAACAATTCAGCAGAACAATTACCAGGCCCTAAGTTWGTTTTCCTCACAAGATCCTGCAGGCTGCAGGCAGTAAACCACTGCTGGAAGCAGATGTACCATGAACCACTTGTGACCCCTGTTTGCCTTGGCAGCCTGGGCTCACCAAAGCAGTCTGAAAATAGATGGGGCCAGTCTGACTGTGAGAGTCAGATTCATACTGTGCATGAATGAACTTTGAAACTTCTCTTACTCTAAGCAGATCTTTATGTCAGRAGCATACCACCTTAGACCTTCTCATGAGAAGAACACCCTACTAAAAGTGGCAACCTCCTCCCTTCTCTGGATGAAGACTTAGGAGCTGAAGCAAAGCTTCTTTCTATCCTACTGCAGTACAAGATGTTTAGCTATGGATAGTACAGTTGTCCTTTTGCCCATATAAAGAGTAAAATGATGTGAGCGCCGTTGGAATTGGGTCATAAAGACAGCTTTAAAAATTACGGAGCAAGTCCCTACAAGAAGTGACTAATAACTCATTGTTTGGATGTCCAAATAATTAATTCAGGCCAAACAACACAGGAGCAATGCAACAGTGGCCTGGTGAAAGGCCCTTATAACCTCATAGGGTTTTTTTTTTTTTTTTTTTTTTTTCAACTCTGGCCTTTATTATCCCACAACTTTGCACCAACAAAACCCTCTAATTAACTCTTCTGATGAGGTACAACCCAACACTTTTAGTCAGCTTAATTTGGGACCATCCAAACTCATATATGGTACAACCCAATCCAAACTTTCTAATCATCCTCTAAACATTTGCATGCATTCATTTCCTGAAACATAGACGACATGACTCACTGTCCAACTCTTGACTTGAGACAGGTGGTGAATTACTTGAACGGCTCAAATCTCTAATTATCCAGCTTGCTACTTCACAGTGTGCCCATCTAAGGCATGACAATCATCTTGGCCTCAGCTAATACATGCAGAGATGCACATACACGCATATACACATAAACATATGCACGTGCTCACCTCCTTTTCTATCATAGGATAGAATCAGGATAGATCATAGGATAAGGAAGGCTCTAAGTGAAGACAGTTTTTCCACTGACGGAATCATGTTTACGTCAGGTTATAAACACAAGCCTTCTAACAGCTAGGAGGGGTAGGAGTATCTTAACAACCAGCCACCGCTGCTCACCTGCATATTTTGGCCAGAGTGTTCTCAATTTTCTTAAAGTCAGGCCTTTTTTCTGGATCCTCCTCCCAGCAGCTTTTCACTAGTGTATACACCTTCAAACAAASAAACAAAAAATTAAGGAAAGTCTGCCCAGGCAATTGCCATGGAAGAATAATGGTGTTAAACAGCACTAGTTCATTATGGAATTTCCAGTTACTCTTGACCAGCAACTTATTAAAATGTATGACTAACTGTTGCGAATCTATGGTTAGGACATTCCTTGCAAGCATCTTAAACTTAACTCTGTGGTGACTAGTGACATGAGCTTAACTTGAATTTGCAATAAATAAAAGAAAGGCAATTAAATTGATCCAGTTCTGCAGCTCATGCCATATGTGGCTATTGACATGGAGGTCAAGGCTCTGGTAAACATATCCTTTTACATCCTACATTTGGGATCGTTCAGAAACTAGTGATTCAGTAAAAAAGAATGGAGTCTATCTGTCCACTAGTTAGATGTCTGCAACCCAGACATAAGCACCTGAGCAAGAAGCCTTAGGAGCYATAATCTGTGGAGAGAATAGGCATGTTTGTAATGTGATTCATTCCATCTTAGAGAGATACATAATAGGTCAGAAAAATGGCACCGTGTAATTTCCATTTCTTTCCAGTGACTATAAGGTGATCAGTTCAAATATAGATATGTACACTGCATATATCTAAAGTTACCTGAGCTGCATCTTGCCTCTAATGCAGTCATTTAAAARCTAGATGCCTATGTCTGGCAAAGTYGCCTTATGTTCCCTTAGGAWTCAATAGGAAAAGCACCTCAATCTAAGATAGGACTAGTAGTCTGATGTGAATAGTCCTCTGGATGAGTGTTCTCTCCTCTGCATCCTCTTAGGTGCAGAGGGTGCAGGTTCYTCCACATCTGAGAAGGGATTAGGTTGGACCGAGATAACCAACTCATAAATGTCTAAAGATAGTTTGTATGAATCCACTCAGAAATTTGTTGTACTGCCTGGTGTTCCTGTGAGATATCGTCTCTTTTGATCCTCATGCATTATTCAAAGACAAAATATCAGTCCAGCACACTGGATTGTTACCAAATTTCAAAAGACACACTATTGTAATATAAGGACAAGTAAACAGAAGCCCTGYTGGAAAACACTTTCAAAAGATAATGATAGTCCTTCTTTAATTATTGCAACACAATGTGCTTGTGAGTATATCGCACATTGGATTAGGAGACTGATCTGTCCTTTCATTTGCAAGTCAAGCTGCTTTCCCACACTCAGTTATACCACCTTCACAATTTGATAGTATTTCATATGTTCGTGAGACATCCTCTTCATGGTATAGCTGTTCATAGCCCTGAGACAGCATTAAGCTAAATAAGCATATGTTCTTAATTTATTTTAAGGTCTCCTTTGGTTAATCCAAACTGAATGTAGTTTTTAGGGAAGTCTAGTGGAGGCAGATGAGAACAATGACATGTTTGCCTTTTTCAAGATAACTGACGGTCTCTCCTCTGAAATGTGCAAATTCACAGCAGATCTGCTTTTAATACATGCATTAGTTGTTGAAATGTCACTGGGAGAAAATTAAACATTTCACAGGATACACTGTTGAGGGAAGAAATAATTTTTGTACCCTGTATTTCACTTCATTGGTAACAACGATAGAACACCTTCTCTTCTCCTGAGTTTATGGTGTTTAGCATAAAATGTGTACAGMCTTCACCCTCCCAATAACAACAAATCTAGTCTGGCCAGGAGTTCTGCACTTAACCCAGAAAATGTTTTAGTTAATAATTAACTTACTTCCATTTCTCTTTCTCCCACCATTTCCAGTGACAGGTCTGGTCGGAAGGGTTTCTCTCCTTTGCCTCTCTCTACTCTGTAAAGTTTCTCTAATAAAGGAGAAAAGGCACAAACGTTTAACCAATAATAATAATGATAATAACTAGAACATTCCTGGCAAATATTGTGCCATGGTAATGTAAAAGGTACTACTCAGACACAAGCCTGAAAGTCAGCTCTGTCAATCTTCAATGTGGATTTCTACTTTGAAAGTTTTCTAAACATAAGGCACAAGATCAAAACAGTCTTGATGGTCTCTGAAAAGCAAAACTAATAGGCATATACATGAGTATTTATTGGGCACAGTGGACATGGCTATGGCATCTTCCCAAGTGAATGTTAGGCATTAAGAGTGTGCCTTTCAGCATGAAGCAAAGCTGTAGCAAAAAGCAATACAAGAAATCCATTATGATACTGAAACTGGATCAAATGTGTAGAGACCTACAATTGTCACCTGATCAGTTCAAACTATCCTGCAAATGCTTGGCTTCTTTTAAAAATAGGCTATTAATACATGTAATTTTAAAATATTGCATTTGGTAGCTCATTGGTACTCTTTCCATGAAATCCATCCTCTAAAAGTTATCTGGCCTCAGAACACATCAGAATGCAGGCTTGGTTTGCAGGACTCAGTTTAAGTAAAGTGACTGAGAGCTAAGGAAAAAATATCTCTTCCCCTCCCCCAGACTCCAAGGGTTCCAGTGAGAGGGAGTTCATGCGGAGAAACACTTTTAACATGCAGGGAATGGAAAGAGAGAAACAGSATCAGCGAACAAGCCTGAAACACTTACTGTTAACATCTCATTATGTCTAGGAGACCATTTTGTTAATGGAAGCATATGATGAGATGAGGAAGGGTTGTCATCATGATCATATGTACAAGTCTAGAGCAGCTAGGGATGCCTAGGTACAGGATAATTTTTAAAAGACACTAGTTGTTGGTAGTTATGTACCAACATCGTGGTGCAGAAGTGGTGCTAGAGAAAGAGCAAGAGACTTTGCTTAGCAGTCTCCAAGAGCTATGGAGATCAGAAACTGCTTAGGAGTTGCCTGTGAACTGAGAGACATAACAAGTTGTTCGAGTCTCCTATATGCAAGAGGGCTGTGCAGAAATAACAGCAAATAATATCAACATGCAGAAATAACAGCAAATAATATCAACACTGCAATTAGTCAGCAGCAGAAAATAGTGGCACGAGGAGGCAAGTTGAATTGAGTGACTGACAAGATTTCAATTGACTGACAAGATTTCACAGTCTCGAGCTGTGAATGAGGTATTTCTGCAGGAAAGTGGAGCAACCAGCTGGCTTAACAGCTGTCTCACAGAGGAGTCAGTGAAGACGACTATGACCTAGTTATTGTTACGCATTAGAAATCAAGCCCTGTATGTCTGGATTCTTTGTGGATCCTTTCTCTCATTAATAACARTATTTTATGTTAAATTAATCAATTCGTATTTGTAGATTGAGAACATTAGGTCACTGAGTACCAGAAAGAAATGTACCTGAAACTACCTGGAAGTTGAGTTTAATTTTCTCAAGTTTGTAGATCGAAGTTAGATACAGATTTTCTTAAATAACTCTTCTAAAATTTGAATGCAGTCCTTGTTGCTGCCAATGAAGCCCTGGCCAAATTGTTATATCAGTTGGGCTGAGAAATCAGTATAATGCCTTCTAACTTACAGAGATTAACTTCTGGCATCCTAAACATTTAAAGACTTTCTGTGAGAGACTTAACAAATGAATCCAGCATGCGACAGGGACATCTTTTTGCTCATTTACTGTTGATTTTACTTGAACATTCCTTTCCTCCTTTTTATCTGAGATATTTGCAAAATAATGGTCAATCCAAAGGTCAATTGCAAAGCCAGATGATGCCACAAAAAGTCATCTATCAGTCTACTAGACATCTACTAAAGCATTTAAGAAAAGGAGGTTTCATGAAGTATATGATACTCTCATTCAATTAAAAAAAAAAAAAAGTGAAAATTGGAAAGAAGGATGATCCTTTTCTTTTTTTTTTTTTTTTTTAAGTTACACTGAATTCAGACTTACCAAACAGGTTGCAGGCTCAATATGTTCATTGCTGTTTTACTAAACATTCTGATATGTATGGCCATCTCCAGCAACAGACAGCCTGCACCAAGAGATGCTAAAAATCCTTTCAGTTGGATGGACTGACCTAATAAAATTTGAAAGGGACAATTTTTCTGAAATGCCCAAATGCAGTGGTAAGAACTGCTAAACTTAAAACTAGGAACCTGATTGTGACTGACAGCCACAGTCAAAGAATGAGTGAGGATATGACTACATCTCAGAAAAACTCAGAAACATCGTGTCTGAGGCTAAATGAATAACAACTAACAGAACATAGAAGATMTGTAACTGATCAGCAAAGAGTTTAAAAGATACAGTTTAACATATTTGCTTTGTCAGCCAAAATAAGAAAGGAAGATAACCMTTCTTTTGCTCCTCTGTCTATTTTGGGCATATTTGTAAAAACTCCTCATTCGTGAGGCTTGTGTCTGCTTCTCCCAAGGAAAAAGAATAGAAGAACTTCCATTTTCTGAACTATAACTTATTCACACGTGGCTCTGGGAACTACCTGTCCTTTCTCTCAAACCTCAAGTCCTGGAGAGTTCGGTTGAAGAGGAAGAGGCACCTCTAAACTCTCTTAGATTCACACTTAAATTAAAAAAAATGATAATGTAAAATGTGATATTACCCTGTATGTGAATATAGACTTATGATAACGCAAGATGTTGAGCCTATCCCARAAGTTGTTCTGAAATGTTACTAAGGAGAAGAGTTATTATGCAGGCTGGTCGCTGCTCTAGATACTTCAACAAATGCAAGGTGGATCTATCAGAATGACTCAGAATCAAAGGTAATATCTAGACTTGTTGTTAGCAACTGTTACTAGGAGAATCCCAAACTCACACACCTTTATGGCAGTTGTAATATATAACAACGTATGGGTTCTKGGAACTAGGATCAACACTGCTGTTAGCCACACACTTAATGAATGCTGTGCAGGAGGAGGTGGATTTTCTGATAGAAGTTAAAATACCTAACTTAATTTTGCCAGAATTTACACTTTTTAAATGCTAGCTCTTCTCTCGTGCCATGCAACTGAGTTTTCTTTGTTTTTCTGTGTTGACATTGCTTAATTTTGATGCCAAATATGAGTTGTGCACTACACATGATCAGAAAAAAACCTTCCTTGCAACCTTTAAATGTTACGATAGATCTAGGCAGCATTGGGTAATGTTAACTTCTGTAATGTTGTGGCAGAGGGGGAGTGGGAGGAAGAAGRACAAGAAAAATAAGTGCAAACTTCATTTTCTGAAAGAACGGTGACAACTGCCCCCCTCAACAAGATCTTCAAATGGACTCTTCATTCATCATAAAGTGAAAGAAGCAGTAGATGAAGCACCTATCTGAGAGTACTTTTCACAAAAAGCTATGGAGAATGGGCTAGTTACAGCTCCACCAGGCTTGGTGGCTGCAGTGGAGGAGAACTTCGTGGCTTTACCTTTAGTGTCCTTGCAGGCTCCAGTGTAGAAGGTCTCCCTGCGCAGGATGATTTCTTGGGCAATGATCCCGTAGCTGTACACATCTCCCTTCTGAGACACATTAGCGTGGCGAAGGTGCTCAGGAGCCGTCCACAGGTCTGAGATTGAGGTCACAAAAGGGGAGCAGGTGAAAGAGGAAGAAAAAAAAAATTGAAAAGGGTGTCACTTTTCAGAGCATATTTTGCCATAGTAACAGTTCCATTTTACTCTTTTCATATCAAACTCCAAGCTCACTGGTACTATTATTTTTCCCATTAGCACTTCTGATGAGAGGCTGATATCAATGAGAGGCTAGATAACACTCTGATCTGGTAGTTTTCAATCTTCTAGGGTTTGTTGACCCTACTGTATGCAGATCCTTACACATTCAGAACAATTAAGATTATTAATAATAAACTGGTTTGTCTTAGGAACCTTTCTTAATTTTTTTAGAAATAGCCTGTGCATGTGTACAAGACCAAGGAATGCCAGTGCTCTAAAAAATGTCTGAGATGTAAATCCTTGTGCCAGAAGCAAAGACTGTTTTATGCAAGATGCCAGGTGAGAAGACTCTAGTATTTCCCGCTGGCCTTAGTATTATGACGCCATGGAAGTAATTCCAAAATGCTCTTGAGACAGATATAATATTGCTTGCTCATAATCTCTTTCTTTCTCCAGAAATTATTAATCTGTTTTTCTAGTATACCAAGCACCATTGTATATCAAAAGCAGAGTATTGCCATGGTATGGCAGTTTATTATGACATGGYGCAGTCAGAAAGCAACACTGAAGCAACATCCAGCCACAATGAATCTATAGATCTTTTGGGGAACAATAAGTTTTCTTCAAGGAAGGAAGTCTAGGAGCTAGAAATTTTKAGGCTATTTCTCAATGCATTTATTTTATGTGCTGCTAAAATAAAGGATAAACATATAAAAATATGAATTTAAATATGAAATGTATTAAATAAGAAATGAAGTTTTACATCCTGTGCACTTTTGTTGTGCACTTTTTTTTTTATCTTCTCATTGCCGCTCAAGGGCACATATATGTTTGAATGTAAAAATTTTCTTTAAATCCTGATGACTCAGGTTCTTCTCAGGTCATATATTAGTTATAGGGCAATGCTATATTTTTTATTCCCCAAACAGACTGTATGGATTCAGAAGACCTAATTTCAGATAGGCTTCTCTTTTCACTCAAGATCATGTAGGAAATAGAAAAGGAGTAGAAAGGAGTGCTCAGTTTTATTGTAATGTCCTCAAAATAGTTGATGACATAGAAAAAGTAAGGAAAGAACACAGAAATTATTCCAACCTGACTGAATAGAAATGGCTGGACTCCTATCTAAGGAATGGAAACCATTAATTATATCATTACCAATTTTTAAAGATGTTCAAAKTGATAAGTGTTAACATTTAAATTAAATTACAGACCACTGTCAGAATATGTAAAGTAACACATGCAAATTACACTATCAGATCAATGACAGTATCATATGCTTCTTATCTTCTTTTTGATTCTTCACACAAATTCACCATTATTGCTGAGCTATTTGCCTAAGGCCCTTCAATGCTGCAGATGCCTCTTGAAGTCCAGCCACCTGTGAGACATCTATGTCTTTTCAAACATAAATTGAAAATTCATCTTTTTTTTTCCCCTCACCTACACTCCCTAATTTCTTTCTCTACCTGCTAATATTTCTCACTGATTGTGTTATTCAAGTTAAAAAAAATGGTTTAGATGTAATTTATATAACAGATGCTACATGAAAAAGGGGTAATGCATGTCTTGTCCATTGTAAAATATATAAATGGATCAAATTGTATTATGAATATAAGAAAATACCATGGTTTGGAAAACATGACAGAGAATCCAAATGAATACTGTTTTTACCTTTCTTTGGTGGTAGAATTGAATGACAGCCAAAATCAGTGATCTTCACCACCATGCGATTGTCCACTACACAATTCGTGGATTTAAGTCGACCATGGACTTCGGTTTTGCTTGAGTGCAGGTAAGACATTCCCTGTGGTTGATAATAAAAGAGGGAGAAAGCAGGATTTTGTGAGAGACACTCAGCTCTTACTACAATCAACAATAACACCTACCCACGTAATTAAGTGGCCTTTATCAGCAAAGCATATGCAGAAATCACAATTCCCTCTCACAGAGGAAAAGAACTATTATTTTACAGAAGAAACTTTCCAAGATCAAAGAAGTTAATGAGGATGGATCATGCGATGCACTGTGTCTTAACCAGAGACCACTGAACTTCTCAGCAAGKTATGACATGGCAACTTGGGTTTTGATAACATTAAATTGGTTAATTGGTTACATTAGGTAATTAGGGATATTTMTTTCCTCTCACGTAAGTTTTTGTTTTTTCATTTGCAACAAATACCATTCTGGTAAGACTAGTACACAATTTGCTCCATTTCACACACTTAAAAAGATGTTTCTAACTACATTGACTGTCCAAACAGTCATAATAGGTGAGAAAGGAATTACTACTTTTGTGTGCGTATTTGAGGATTACCACAGAGCAGAACTTCTGTTCCAGGACAGATCTTTTTCTGCAAAGCAGAGGGCCAGAGAAGGGTCAACGCAGAGAATGTTGGATGRTGCACTGTGGCTTATGTAATGCAGGACATTATACAGGCAGTCACAGAAGTCACTGTCCATGAGTTTCTCTATACTAGTCAATACCTAATATCAGTTACCTACAAGTGAGCACTATGAGGACTTGCTGATTCAGTTTCAACTGTGTTTTTCTAGATTCAGACTCTGACTCACAAAATGCACATTAGTGTACACAGCTGTGTAGTTTGCCCCTTTTTACTCATCACCTCTGAATTTGGCTCAGTTACTCTATAGCAGTCAAATATGGTGTAATATATCACAAGGGGCCAGAAGTGAGGCGTAGCAGGAAAAGAACTTTATTAAGTGGGTGTAAACTGAAGAAAGGAGTAGCACATGCTAATTGCCTCTTGTTTTATCCTCCTGTTTAGTCCTCTTGTTTTATCTTCTTATTTAGTCCTCTTTTTCTATAGGTCAAAATCTATATTCTGCAAAGACCATAAGGATCATGTTATGTCCATTTAGTTTCTTCATTGAACTGTCTTTCCATTTCAGTACATATATCTCATTCTCCTGGATGCTAGCTGACAGGCTTTAAATTGGGTTACATACATCATGTGGTCGTCAGTGTAGCATAGAGCATGCTAAGTTTTCTCTCCTTTGGTACTCCCACTTGGGAATGGATCAGAAAAGGCTATGAGAGATCATTGAGACATGAGCTTAGTTTTAGGATGAGTAGATGTATGTCTGAGACCAAGCAGCCTGCTAGAGATGTAATCCTTTAAGAATGTGGTTGGACTGGTTATCCTTGGACTATCTAGACCATGCCAAAATTTACAGAAACTGTGTTCACTCCAAATCCAAGGAGCATGTTTCTTGATTAAGCAGCTTTTAATCACGCAGCCCTGCGGATAACATCCAGGATGTTTTGCTTGTTTTGTGCCTGTTTCCTGCAGCTGCTCCTTCTTCCACCTCTTGCTTACAGCAAACAGGCAATATATGTACTGTTATAGCTGCAGTTACTTATCAGTTTTAGCATCAAATGGAAGGCAAAAAATAACTTAAATTTACATATGCCAGGGTTTTCCTGTTACCACTTTCTGTAAGCAGAAGTCTCATAACTTAGTCTTCCCTTTCTTTCTATCTCAGGTACTTACCTGGAAACACAGAAACCATTAGGAAGTTGCAGAGTGATTTTCAAAATTCATGTTGGCCTAAATCACTGATCCATTCTTATAAYTTCTACTCTGAAGGTTTAGCTCTGAGTGAGACCTTAGAACCATTTTCCTGGCACAGTGCAGAAGTATTACAGCTGCTTGCACAATATCCTGCAGTAGGTCCTTATTTAATCAACAATCTTGCAATGGCAGCACGTATGCTTGTAACTGCCAGGCTTGATTAGTGCAGCTCAYTCTTAGCAGAACTTTCATCAGAACTCCTTTGTCATGTACAGCCAAATCCATGTGGCTACAGGTGGTGCCCGCCAGACACAGAGACAAAAAATACAGGAAAAAAAAACCAGAGCATATTTAGGGATTCCCCATTGCCTACCTAACCTTCTCCAGTGGACTAGGGATGCTCTGGAGTAGTCACTGCTTGATTAGATGTGTCAGGGAATAGAAAYCACCTAACCTGCTCTGCTGGGAAACGCTGGCACAGCAGCTCCTGTGATGAAATGAGGGGTCAAGAAAGTAAGAGGACTGTTTGGTCAACAGTAAAAGCAGGGTGTAGGAAAGCAGTACAGAGGGAGAYTGTATCAAAAGCAAGGCAAAAGAACTGCAGGAATTGGTAATAAGTCTTTTAACTGCAGGCAGAGCTAAGACTGGGCTTGAAAAGAGCAGRCATTGGGGTGAGGTCAACTGGAGCTGAAGGTTATGAAGTAGTTTAAGTAAAGCAAGAAACTAAAATGACAGGGTGCCTGGAGATGGGGCAGCTTTAGTTTGGGGAAAGCAATAGAAGTGCATGGCAATGCCTAAATCCAGGAGACTACACCACAGTAGGAAGGGAATAGGGAAGGTTGACAAGTCATCCAAACTGACTGTAAATTGCCAGATATTCCTACATAGATAAAGATTTTCAGAAAAATACTGTGAAGCCACTCTACTAACATGATTAATAATGCTCAGGATCTATTCCACAGAAATGTTGTTGAATGACTTCTATTCTCAGACTCCTTTTCCCCATTGCTGATGCTTCAGTGAATGACTGGATATGAAATCTCAGCCCTAGTGAAGTCGCTTTCATTTGGCCATTTGGTTACTAACTTCTGAGAGACTGATACTTCTCCTGCTTTAAACAGAGCCAATATCAATTGATGTTTTCCTAGGAAACACCTGCAGGTGAACTGCAATGTGCCAAAAAAAAAAAAAAAAAAAAAAAAGCTTTTGTGATATGCTAAAGGGAGGAAAGGAAACACCACCACTGTTACTTAAAATGAATCTTAATGATGAATGCTAACTGAACTTGAAAATAGTTATCAAGGCCAACAAATTGTGACAATTTGCATTAAGGGAATTTTAGCAAGAAGTGAGATTTTTCAATATCTGCTTAAAATAGGAGTAAGGGAGTCATTGACTGAACAGATCATGTCTAAATTGAGGCATGCAGGGAAATGGGAAGCCTGTCAAACTGCAGACTAGAAATAGAAGGAAGAGAGCAACAGAGTGCTAGCAAAAGGCAAGGGGATGTTCTCCGTAGAGAATCACAGAGGTCCCTTAACTACCAGCTAAACTGCTACAAGTCTATAACATCCAACAACACTTGCTGTACTGTGCTTATCAACTTTCTTCCACAAGGGCCTAAAAGRTTGAAATTTAATAAAAGCTACTGAAAAACAGTCTTGGTTTCTGTATGGGATGATTTCTTCCCTAATTGCCAAAAATGGCCAACTCTAGTAAGTTTGGTCAGGATGCAAAACAAAGAGATTGCCTGGAAAAGGCAAAAGCTGATCCCAATTTCTAGATACAAATTGGATCATTCATATTTTGAGGCGGAAAAAAAAAAAAAAAAAAAAAAAAAAAAAAGGTTTCCTAGATTCCTACATATGCCTTACCTGAGGCTACACAGCATAGTGCACTTTGCAGGCCTTATGGCTGCAGAGCCCCTACTTTCTGATCTTTGGGTCACCTTTGTTTGGGGGATATATTATTTCTTTGTGTGTGTTTTTAAACAGCCCAGAGCTAATTCTTCCTTCATCAATTTGAGAGCCATTGACTCATCTTGCCTCATACAACCCAAGAAGGGCAAGAGGCCTGTCCTTTTCCAGAGAATCACTTTTGCAATACAGGACAGATTGATTCATATTGCACTGTCAACAGCTCACTTACCTTGGCAATATCAAACATAACAGAGATTTTAAATTCCCAATCCATGAAAGTGCCATCAGGGTAGGAGATTTTATCATTTAAAACATGCTGTAAAGGAAAGAAAAGAATGACTCTAACATACATTAGGGAAAAACTGGAAGAAGAGACCTAAGTATCTACATCATACAGCCTTTCAATCAGGGTATGAAAAGGATGGCCCTTCACTTTTCTTAGTGAGTACATGCACTGGAATAGGAGTTGATTCAGAAAACAGGGAATATGAAATATATTTTAGGTTTACACAGTTATAAAGGAGAGGACTCAGGAAAAGASGGGTGATTGTGTTTTTAAAGGTAAATTGTGAATTTGGTCTTAATTTGGTCTTGGATTGCCATTATGATGGYAATCCAGTTCCTACCAATTTATTCCTGGCCTTACAAGTTCAAAATAGGCTTCTTTTGCATGTAAGGAACTGTAATGGTCAGTGAGCTACAGTTGCTTCCAGCCATTACCATTTCTACTGCTAAATATAAATCTTCCTAAATACATTGTTTTATAAGAAAAGAACTGGAGATAGAGCTTTCACTTTGTTGCCTTGCTGTGAGTTTGTTCCAGAGCGCACTGCAAGTGAGCGATAAAGAATCTTTACATGAACTCAGAAGCAAAGACTACTTACACTCAGAGAAGATCTGATACCACCAATTACTACATGACTAACACTGAAATAATATTACCAATGATAAACCATAAATCTTTTGCGATTCTTGCCAGGTRGCAATTTACCATTTCTTTTCATAAAAAAAAATAGGAGTTTCGTTCTATAATAAAATACACTATGTTTTTCTGTATTTTCAAATGTTGGGGCAACTGTGGGAGCAGCATTAGCATCAGCAAAGATGACAGCTACAGCTACAGCTTGCAAAATAAGATACACTCCGTGTGCTTTCAATGAGCAACACAAAACAAATACAAGGAATTCCTAATCCTCTAATCCTGACTACCGCTATTGCCTGGGCATGGCTAAGCCTATATTTTACTTGCTTGCAATTCACAGCATCATCTGGCTGTCTACTACCAGCAATTTTCCAGCAACAACAGTTCCAACAGTTGGGGAAGGGCTGGGAAGAACAGGAGAAAGAAGTGGGAACTTAAAGAGTCCTGTCAGCACCTGCTCAGTCTGCTGCCACAGCTGCCACATGGGCACCAGAKGCATGTAGCAGGGGATTATTTTTCTTATTTTGAGATTTGACAGTTTGAGATGGAAGGGGGCCTGCAAAATCCTTTACCCGCAAGGAACCTCTCTCGCAGTACTCAATCACTGCAAAAATCATGGTGTCTATCTTCACAGTGCCATAGAACTTGGTCAGGTTGTAGTAATCCATCTGTAGAAGCTAGAACAGAAATATTACATCCATTTGRAAAAGCAGTCATTGCTGGTGTAGAAACACAGGTCAAGGATAAGTTGTGAAGGAGAATTTAGTTTCAGGCCCTGGTAAGATTTATGAGTTCCTTTTGACTCAGTGTGAATTAAGGCACTGCATGAAGTACTTGAAAGCATTTTTCATTCCAGAGCTTTCTGTGTCGGGGAGATAAGAGTGGCTGCCATTAGGTAYTGCAAGTTAATTCCAAATCTTACTATAGTCTCTATTATTGCCTCTTGCATTGTAGAACCTCACACTTGGTCAGAATAGCCTTTATGAGTGAATGTTGTGAATCAGTGTGTAAATAAGTAGGTCATAAAGATGTAATAACTCCGCAGAGTAGTATAGACTCTGCCCATTTACAGAAACAACACTAGTTTAGTATGCTTTGAATTACTTTTAAAGCTTATGCACATTGTACCTACATGCTGTTTGAAAAGAAAAAAGTATGTTTTACTCAGCAAGATGCAGTACTATAGACAAATTCAGTTCTGATGCTGGAGGTGTCAGTATGCAGAAGTCAGCAGAGAGATATCTATATTGAAAGAGCTGCCCTTAGTGTTTAAAACYGAGATTTAACTCAATATATTCCTCAATCAGAGACTCATAGAATGCTTAAGGTTGGAAGGGACCTCAGAGGTCATCTAGTCCAACCCCCCTGCACAAGAAGGGTCACCTAGAGCACGTAGCACAGGGATACTTAAAATATTCCACTCTTAATGAATTAGTAATGACATGAGCAGAATCTGTTGTTCTTTAGCATCAACTGTAAAAAGGTCTTTTAGCAGGGTGTTATGACTGTGTATTAATTACTTCACTCATCCTTAGCTACATCAAGTTACAGTTCAGATGCTGAACTGGTGCTGAGATCACACACCCAAAGAGAAAGATCCTCAAGCAAAATAGTTTGAGGAACTCCTAGACCCATTCTATTCACAAACATGTGAATATGCTCTGCTGTCTGCTTACTACATGCAATAATTACCTTGTTCAGTTCTATTTTTTGCTTCTCTGTGAAATTACCATCGTTGTTCTTGAGATCCTTTAGGATCACCACCTGAAGAAAAGATACCAGTGGAAGAACAGCATAGTTTTCATACAAGAGTTCATCGTTCTTTTCCCAGAAATGACTATATAAGTGATATTTCAGAAACATATGCCTACTACTTCACTGTTGGAGTATCTCTTAATCAACTAGGAAGTTACGCTTCTAATTACAATTATAATCCAACTAATAATGAGTTATATTTCTTTTAAAAAGATTATCAGAGATAGGAGCTAGAACTGGCATTAATACAGWTTTTAATTCAACATGATTTAAAAGTTAGTCAAGCAGATAGTTGTGCTGAATGTATAAGAAYTGGCATGTATGTAGTCTGTCCTTGCCCTTTAATCCACTAATCTGTTTGATACCAAAGTTTGGTATATTTATTCCTATTTCTGTCTTTTTGGATTAGGATAGTATTTTGCCTCCTGTCAGTCAGCGAAGTCCAATGCACCTGGTAGGAAATAAACTGCTTATTCCTCCCAAAAATTCAAGCCATTCAACCCAGGTGTCATGTTCTGAGCTCTGAAGAGAACTGACCATCTTTAACAAAAAAAAAATCACACAAGCAAAGGAAGGGAGCATAAATACTGCAGTCAGTTTTACCTTCTTATCRTATTTGCCTTGGCGCAGTCTTTGGGTGGTGTCACGCCTTTTATCTTCATCAATCTGGGAACAAAGGAGGATCATTAATTTGCAATTATCACATATTCCCCACTTGGCAAGTCCCAAGTGAGATAAGTAATGTCAGTGTGATCACACAGGGAAACACAAGCATTTCTCTGTCCAAGGAGTGCCAAAGAATGCCACAGAAGGCGTGGGATGTCCATGTCACTCCCAGAGCTGCCTGGGTCTCCCCYTGCTCTCCCCCTGCTGCTCTTAAGCTCTCGGACACTATAGAGGTAGAACAAAGCTGAAGGAAATAATTTCTAACAGTGGTGGCATAGAAGAGCCAAGACATCACTCCCCAGACTATTTTTCCATCACAAAAGGAGCATTACTGTTCCAAAATAGATTTATTCTTCTAGGGACTTCTTGACAGGGAATAATTTTTTTTTCTTCTATATAGTAAGTGAGGGTTAAAAAAAATTATTAAAATTATTTTAACAGAACCCAGTCCTATCAGAGACATAGTAGTCAGGGCATCTCAATGCCCCTCCATCTATGGTCTTTAGAAGATGGAAGCCAAGACTCAGCCTACAGCACCATACTTCTCTTACCTTCAAACTAACATAACTCGTCTCACTGGTCTCCAGAGGTAAGATTTTCTCAGGTGGTATATGGGACCATTTCTTATTTCGAAGTCTATTATCTTTTCTGTACTTCCTGTGAAACAAGCAAACTTGCTCAGAATAACTACTGCGCAAACTGAAACTGCAACAAGAGATTGAGGCAAGGAGTGCCTTAATGTGGAGGAGGAGTTGAGGAGTGTCAGGATAAATCTTGAACACAAGCCTTGTGTCTCTCATACAGTTCCCCAGTCTAAAGCTGCTCTTTTTMCCCTAACTCTGGCAAAGCCTAAACACTGATTCATTTTCCTAAATTTAGCAGGAAAAAAAAAATGGCCATGGCTAGAACCTCAAGGAAGGACAGGCTCTTRAAGCACAAAGAGCCATTAGCATTTTGTGTGCTTTTCTTCTTGGTGTTACTGAACTCTAAAGGGAGGTCTCACAAACAAATACAATACAGAAGTCCTGTATTGTAAGAATTGGATTGTAAGATTTGGTTCTAATGTAGTTCCAGGAGAAGAGGTAACAAGACTGTTGAACAGTGAACTACAACAACWCCTGTATTTTGCCTATCTTGTAAAAAGGAGGGAAGAGTCTTTGGAAGTGGAAGGGGTAGTCTGCTGTCTCTCTTGCAGAGCTTCAGAGCAAAGATTGTGTTCTTTCAGAGAAGATTTCAAAAAGACTGGTATTCATCAGACTACCCACTGCCCCATGCAAGTGCTTCCTCTGTAAAAAACAAGCAAACAAACAAACAAAAATCACACACAGGACACCAGATTGACTGGAGAGACTTCAGGGAAATCCCAGTCCACTGATGGCTGCTGACAAATGCTCCAAAGAGGATATTTTATGGCATTGAGTAACATAAATATTTAATTTTCTAATGCATTTTAACTTCTATGTCTATAAGAAGAGACTGATATTAATTGTAAGAATTATTTTTCTTACAGAGTTCAATCTGGAAAGATGGGTTGCCATTGTATCACTAGGGTGCAATGACATACTTGGCAGCCAGAACTACATCGGGAAGTATGATGATTCATAGGATAAATGAGGAGTAATGAGGCATTCTGATTTTCACAGTTGAGAGTCTTTTCTTTTCTTGTTAGGATACAGTCTTCTGTAATAACTACAATTGTTAAGTTTGCTTTTATATTCACACCAAAAGAGTAAATTCCCTAACAAAAATACCAAAAATAATCTTTTAAATCCTCATTTTGACTTCCTTTGTATTTGATATTTGATATTGGTATACTATAGTAGTATGATAATAATAATAACCTAATCAAATTACATTTTTTATATTCTATGCATCTGCAAATGTGAAAGAGCATAGAACCTTTTACAACTCAAAATGTTACAAGCAGATGAACTTTAACTGTTCATTTATATGTTAAGACTGTGTTGCCAGAAAAAAATACCTTTTCTGTTTCTTGAGAACAATTGGTTCTGCAACAGTTCTATATCCTCATCTTTGATTCTTCCGTCTTGGAAAGCCATAGGTAGCCGTGCAGACCGGTACAGTCAAAATTGGGTATCTGGGCATCTGGGCAGTATTTGTCTTTAATCAGATGTTCTTAAGACCTGATTTTCTCACTTTTTATAAACCTCTCTAAAATATGGCACAGTGATATCCTGAGCTACTAGAAGCAGACACTTGAGTAAGAAAAATTCTTTAAAGATGAAAAAAACCTCCATATATATATGCATATATATATATACATATATATATATATATATGTAATTTGGAAATAGAGTGCTAACCTAGCAACATCATGGACCTAAACACTGAAGCATGTACAGTGAGGAGAAACATACAGGTATGTGAAAAAACAAGGAATAATTCTTCAAGAAGAGATCAAAAGAGCTATCCAAGGAGAAAAGTCGATGAAGGACAAAGAGAGGGACAAAGAGTTGGTACCTTAGAACAAACAAAGAGATGATCAGAACCAGAATCACAATTCCAGCAAGTGTAAAGACAGCAATAGTCAAGACATGTGGACCTGCAGGCAGAAAAAAATGGAAGTAAACAAATTTATCACAGACACTGAGAAAGAACATTGTACTTTTCAAAAAAAAGTATCATTATCCACAAATATACAAGCCATGGTTGCTGAGCAGGGTTATTTTTTTGATCACACCTTAACTCAGAAGCTTTGGTAAAGACTAGCCAAAGAGATAACATACGCCTACACTTTCCCCTTTCTACTTTCACTGCAGGATGAAGCATGAATAGGCACAGTGCAATCAATCTTTCATTAGCAACCAAGGCATAGGCATTTGATAGGGACAACCAGATGGAAGTGAATTTAACAACACTTTTAATTTATTTTTTATTTTTTATTTTTTATTTTTTATTTTTTATTTAATCAGCTCAACAGTAGAATTTTCAGGTCTTCTCCTTTTATTATTTTTTTAAATGCTATAATACACTTGACTTAGTTTGACTTAGTTATGTTTTAAAAAATTAAAAAGCTAAATTACTCCTTATAATAACTCCAATGGATGGTGGCAACAAATCCTGAGAATAGTTCTATGTAAGATGGGGATATAGATGCCTGAAATCCAGTAACCGTTCTTTAGGTGCAGAGTCACCAGCAAGCAGGAAACACTTATGCCCAGCATATTCAGGGCTTAATGCTCTTCATTGACTCCTTTGGATAATGTTTTCCCAAAACTGGAGAACAAGGATTTGGTCCCTACTGTTYTTTATCATTAAATGCAGTATTCAGTGATTACAGTCTGATTTAGGCTTTCTAATGCTGAAAATGAGCTATCTTTTTCCTTCTAGCCTAGCAGTGCATCAAAACAGCAGGGTATATTCCTCTTTCACAGTGTGTTTTGTACAGCAACTCATACCTTTTTCACTCAAGTTAACTTTAGGGCTGAAAGGACCAAGGACCACAATATTTTTATCCAGGATTTGAGTTGAGAGAGATTACAGCTGATTGTGAATTCAAAACGCATTTCTTGCACGGAATTGTTATCCAAGGAGAAGCTGGAGTGAAAATTATGGTGCCACTTGAATCTATGCAGTCTTGTCAACATTCAGCACCAAGGTTCTTCCTTTACTGATCTGGTTGTTTAAAGCTGCTCTAAAGACGTTGTAGACAGAGCTTTGCAAATTAGACTCTCTTCTGAACCTTTCCATAGACACTTTGTTCTGGGATTATGAGTGCTACTAGGTGGCCTGTTCTCTCCAATAGGAAATCAATTTCAAAAGGAATTTCCTAAGATTCCTTAGTAACAAGTTTTGCACTTTACACTGCAGCTTGCAGCTTGAAGACCACCGGCAGGTTCGAGTTCCCAACCAGAGCTCCAGGAGAGCCACAAATTCTTGTTTCTGAGCCTCTGCTACCACCTCCTGGCCATTAGTGTTACAACCCATTAAGGGATAGTGTATCATGAATTAATTTTTTTTCAGCTCCTGTATAAGCAGAAATGTTGGCATATTTTAGAGCAGACTTTATGCATGTGTAGAGTTAGGGTTAAAGCTTTCTGAATAATGGAAAAAATGGATGAAATCCCTAATATCATGGGAGGCCAAAACAGAGGATGGTAGCAAAACTGAGTCAGCKGCTTTCAATTACATACTAGGAAGAAACTGGGCTCTGGTTGCTGTGTTTGTTTTCCTCTCCYTTCCAGAGGAAAATAATATATTTGGAATATATGGTTTGAAAGTTTTGTCTGGCTTTGGCAAAGCTTGGTGGATACTTAAAGTTTRGCTATAAAAAGTAGCCCTTTGGAGTGATGTATTTATTCAGAAATCACACTGGAGGAAAGTTTTTAAACAAACAAAAAAAAAAAGTATTAAAAAAAATTAATTTTTGGAGCAGTTTTGCTTTGGTTTAGAGTATTTGGCAGCAAAGTCGGGCCTTCATTAGGAGCTGAATGCTAAGCTACTTGATTTTCAGATACTGGCTTTCTGCAGCTCTCGAAGGCGGGGATGGATGTGCCTGGGACTGGAGCAGACTGTGGCCCATCAGCAAGCAGCTTAGAGAGCTGAAGCAGGGAGAGCCTGTGGCTAATGTGTGGCTCATTACTGGCCATGCAGTCAGGCCAAGGGGGACTATCTGAGCAGTGACCAGAGCTAAGGGAGAGCTCAGCTCCCGCTGCTCCTCTCAGAGCTGCCCTACCAGAGTCAGGGCAGGGCTGGTGCATCTCCCCTGTTTCTCTCCTGTCGCTGCTACCTGTCTTTGTGGTTCCCACAAGACTCTRGCCATGCACCACTGCTCCTGAACACACTCTCTCATTTCTCTTAGGAGGAAAAGACTTCATCTGAAGTCAAGTGTTTATTTTATTTAGGAATAAACTGGACTCTGCATACCACCTTAACTCTGAATTATGAGGAAGCATTTGTTCCTTAAGTTATCTATGTTTGCATGATAACAAACAGTTAAGTCTAGTACAGTTAAGTCTAAGTGCTGAATAGCTAATCTCACTATCTAATGGGTGTTAAAGCTGCACAAAAATAAATGCTCTGCAAGCAGAGGAACCAATGCATGATCTGCACGTGGTTAATGGATGGACAGCCCTAAGCAGACATTTTCAGACTAATTCAAAAGGCCAAGGAAAGCTATTGGGTTTGATATCAATGTAAAATTGGTTCCACTAAGCCAATTAACATGAACAAACTCAGTCTCTGGACAAGGAAGGTATAATGTTGCTAAATAGAGTAGAAATTTATGGGGAACTTTAATATATCAAACCTATGGATACTAATGAGAATGGAAAACCCAAACCTCATGTAGCAAACTGCTTCTGTCCCCTRTGTTCCACACAGAGAGGTGCTTCATGCTGGGGTCAGGACTGGTCCTGGGGCATTTTTTAGTCTGGAAGAAAGCTTCCTAATGGGGTCTGAAACAGTGCTTATGCCAACACAAAAGCAACTAATTTAAGCACAGGTGCCTTCCTGCCAGTCAAGTTTGTTTGGGACATACTGCACCATCTTTAACCTGTTTTTTGTATGTTTGTTTGTTTGTTTTATAGTATTTTTCATAGGTACTTCCAGCACAATAGATAACATTTCCAAAATCCAGACACTGAGTCAGGAATTTTGCAGTTTCGGAGAATGAGATGGTGGAGCCAAACTGTGTAGAGGGAAGGGGCTGTTCCTCACTCCCTTTCCTCTTCCCCTGCCTTCAGTACTGGGTCATTTGACAAGAACAAGTTCACAGCAGGGAAGTGTGGGATGAAGACATACAGACTCCCTCAATCTGCACCTTTGTCCTCTCCTGAGCTCCATTCATTAAGGGGCAGAGAGAAGACACTGTGCTACATAAGGGATATAGAAATGCAGACTCAGATAACACCTCATAACTTTTAAGTCTGACACCTATCCCAAATGGCCCTTGAAGCAATTCACACCACCACAATCTTACAATAAAACTTTATGTTCCAGTGTGACCTCTTCCAAATTGTGGCATGTTGCTACCTGCRGTCATTACTTCTCTATGGAGTCTATAAGAGATTTAGCAGTGACTTAACGGGAATGCAGGTTCAGAATTGGCCTAGATGCAGAAAACATGAGGGTTTGAGTAGGGGAAGGAAAGACACTGCTCTGTCTGCGGTTCCTATGGTCACTGGCATGGAGCAACATTAAGGTAGCGCGCTGGTGGGACCTTYGTACTGTGTGAGTAGGTTTAATGAGTTTCTCACCAGTGCCTGGAGTATCATTAGGCAGCTTGTGGCTTCTCCAGACAAAATCCGGACTGGCAGTCAGTGGACGTGTCTCATTCTTGTGAGTGTCAAAATACAGGAGAGTCCTGAACTATATGTGCAAGAGGGAAGAAAAGCAGTCAGTAGATGTGGTCTCCCTTTCCTGTCCTGTGCTTCAGACTACTTCAATAAATGTACTGCCCAAAGTTAAAAAGAATAATTCTTATTCTTTCTGCTACAGTGAGGTGTTCTTCAACTTAGCCATATGTTTGGCTGCCACATTGTCCCTCATTCCTCCCCACTCCCTGAAAAGAAATATAGCAGTGCTACAGAATACCAGCTGCACTTCCRTTTACTGCGTCCCTGCATGGCAACAGTCCTGTCAGACTTCAGGACTCCTCTCTGGTCATGTACAGCTTGCCTTGGCATGCCACCACCTCTACTGTAGTTTTCTTGTCGCCCTTCTGACATAGTGCAGGGCATCTTATTTCTCCTCTTGCATCTGTGGTCGAACACTTGCACCCTGGACATACGTACATGTGTAGACTGGTATGTATACAGCAGGGTCAGATTGACATCAATGTCTCCAAATTCATCTAGAGTCACAGGACCTCGTGCACCTATGGACACAAGCAATTAGTCAGAGGGCTTGTATTCTCAGAAATACAAGTATGTGAAAGGATGAATGGGATAAATAAAAAGTTTTCTGATGCTTCAGAACTTTTCAGTCTTCTTCATGTATGTACTAGGACATATATTCAGAAAGTGTGGCTTTGCTTCTCCCTTAATAGCACAATACTTTTTTTGTTTCATATAAAATCTGGATTCAGCTCCAGTAAAAGATGTTGAACTGAATGCATTCAAGAGGAAAGCTCTAGCCATTGAAAAAAATATATTTATCCTATCTCTTCAGCATACCAAGAAYGTCAGATTAACCTCCCCTGAAGGGACTGCCTTAGAGATGAGAAGAGAAATTGCTTGCTTCCATCATCAGTTTGAGTATATCAGCAAAAAAGGAAATACAGACATACTTTCATACTTMCTGCTCTTTTGAGATTTATCTACTTGGCTCTAACAATATTATTTTAACCAGGTTCCTTTTTCTTTTTAACCTCCTGCCTCCTTATGTCAGCAAATGTATACACTGAGAAACTGCCTATGTTGCACATCCCAAGGATTTAAGGTGGAATCTTCTAAGCTACTCACTGTTGGCTTGACTTTGCTCTGATGGAATCACTCAAGCAGAGGATGGAATCTACAAGCAGAGGGCAAGTTAAGCCAATACCCACCACTCTTGGAAATCTCACCTTAAATTTATTCCTTTCTTTTTTTCAGGATAGCATTTTCAACCAGCTTCAGATTGGGTTTTTTGCTGCTGTTGCTGATGACCCATTTTATCTTTTCTAAAGGTCAGCATTGTTATTTTACTTTGGCAATGATATTCTCCCTTTTTATCTCAGAAATTGATGCTGAGTTTTTGATGGTCCATCTTTGGGACAAAGTTTAGAAATGACACTGTCACAATTTAACAACTTGTGGTAAGTTAAAAATGAAATCTGAGTGACAGCCTGTCTCTAAGGGGAAACATGCACTTAGAAACCCATCCATATGCTTCACTGTTCCGAGCCTTTTTTATTCTCCAAATAGTTTCCCTATAGATAGATCAAATTTCTGTACCAGCAGGAACAAATCATCGTGTTAGCCAAAAGAAGGACATTGGCTTCAAGGACTTGTCTCTGTCCTCCTAYTTCACTGGCTTGGAAGCTCTGCCTCTCCTCCTTTCCTCATACCTCCTTAGGCAGCAATATTCCTTCCTTTATACTTTCAAAACAACAGGAAAAGGCTACATCCCAGAAAAGAAATCTTGTCCTCAGCACATTCCTATTTGCAACATTTCAAATGTTTCTCATTTTGGCTTTCTGCCTCTTCTATTTTGCATACACTGAGGGAATTCTTCAAACGATTGTTTTATAGTCCTTTTGTTAGGACTGAAGATAACATAATTGGAAAAAAAATGATAAAAAAGAAAAGAAGAACCAGTGGGAATAGAACTCTTTGAAGAGCTTAGACTTGTTTGGTGTAGAAGGCATTTTTTCTAAGACTGTTTAAAAGCAAATTTATTTTCTCACATCAGTTTAGTGAATCCTGTTCAGGACAGTACTAAATTACCTTCAAAAGTGACATTTCGGAATTCATCGATTAAACTGGCAGGCGAAACTGGTTTCTGGAAGGAGATTAATTTCTTCAGAATATGTCCAAAAAGCAAGACTGCATTAAAATAGCCAAGAACAAAATCGTTTTCATCCTAGAACAGAGAAAAAGAAAAAAGGCAATTTGAAAGGTTGTACTTCTGCCTGGAATTTCAACATCCTTTGTGGTCTTCATTTGGCAAAAACTCCATAAGAGAAAGCTAGAAGTTGTGGAATGCTTGGAGAAATAGAGGGCTGCAAGATCTTTCTGGTGCCTGAACACAGAGGTGGGTAAAATTTAGAGCTATAGGAGGTGTCTACCTGAATCTCTGGCATTCTATTACAGAGAAATAGAGTCAAGAAACCATGTACTGTGGATCCTGACCAGGTCCACTCAAGTAGGATCCAAAGCCTCTGATTTTAGATTAGATTTTCTGTACAGATAATCTGCTACAATACCAGTGAGTCTAGGCTTCCAGATGGCCACAGATGAGGGGCAGGGAGCTGTGCCAGAATTTCCATCTGCCTGCCATAGAGCTGGCACCCAAGAAGGCTTTGGCCAGGGCTGGGGGCTTTGGGAGCCCTGTAAATCCAACCTGAAGCTTCAGACTCCCTGCTGGAGAGTTGGACTGCAAAGCCACAAATCCTTGGAGGAACTCTATATGTAGGGTCTGGTTCCTGAACAGATTGCAAGTGTAACCATATAGAGCAGATACCAGATTTAGGTAGGTTATGCTTTTCAGGAAATTAAAAAAAAAAATTTTTTTTTTGAAACATTTAACTGGCAAGTTGTTGGACAGAAACAGCACTGGCTGCCAATGCTTATACAGATCTGCACACACAAATGAGCCAACAATTACTAGTTCCTGAACTTTCCACACTCGGATCCCTATTATACATATAGATCCTTCTTCTTGCAGTGTGGCTGGCAGCCACACTGAAAAGATGCTGAAGTTGTCAGTCACCCAAAAGTGGCACAACAAAGTTGTGTATTTACAAGTCTCCTGCAATCCCCACAAATATGACACTTTCAGACCAGAGAAAAAGCTTGAGTTGAACTTGGAGTAGCAAGTAGCAACAGCAGGAGTGTGAGATCCTCCAGGTTTGTCTAATGATATTATATACAGAATTATTATAGCAGAATTGAATGTTCTCTGGCATTAATGCATGAAAATATCAACATAACAGTGGATCTTTGGATGAGTACAGCTCCGTTTTTAGTTTTCACTTCCTAGGCGTGAACATGAACCAAGTGAATATAGTGATCTGATAGAAAATACTGTAGTTACCTGGATGGCTTCATCAATCTTTGTGGTATTTGAGTTGTTATCAGGTGGCTGAAGGGTCAGGACAAGTACATTTTGCATGTAACTGTCTGAGCTGTTGTCCTTGAAGTATGTGTTACTGCAGAGCAAAACACAAGAACCCCCAAAATAATCAGCAACAGGGGTAGCAGAATCTGTAACAGAATGATTCTCCTCTCCCCAGTGGAACTGTTAATTAACAGGTTAATGGAGTGCTTCTAAAACCAAAAATTCATTACGGACACAGCACAACATTGTTCATTTCCTGATGGCAGCTTTTGTGCTTAACTATCTAAAAAGATAATATCAGGGAGATCTGGCTATCTGAAACTAAACAGCCGCAGTGAATTATTATTACTACAATAACTGTTTTGCTTCTGTGCTGTTTTTTTCCTCTTCTTTCAAGCAGTGGTTTACATCCTTCAAAAGTGAATATCTTCTCGGCATCCATAGTACTGGAAACAATTTGTGTGAAACAATTTGATAGGTGTAGGGATCAGCTTATTGATTTACTCCTTTAATTCAGTGAGCTAGAAAAAGTTACAGGRAATTATGCAAACTTGCAAACTATGCTGAAACAAGCAGGAAAGCTTATAGCTTTCAGATGTCTTTCATTTCAGCATCCTGACARGCCATCTGGAAGTGCTTCCCTGATTAGGGTTGCAACAATTAGATTTATGTATTACAGAGGAATTTAGCAATACATATTAGAGTCAAGTAGAAGCACCTATCATTGCTATAGCTAGACTGATTAGAACCCTTTGGTATGAGCTTTCTGTCAATATTCATGTGTGATTCTCCTTTTACTCTTTCATTTAGCAATGTGACAGGAGTTTTTGAAGACCATAGGCTCTGCTCCACAAGTATGAGATGGGAATCTGACTCCAGAATCCTGTCCCAGCCATTCATTGAGTTGTCTGACACTGAAGTTGCACTTTTCACACAGGAGAAGTTCAAAGTATTTTTTAGTTTGGCTTGGACTGAGCTATCCAGATAAAAAGATTTCACCAGACTCCACCAGACTGGGTAATCCTAMAACAGCCTCCCTCATCCAAATGTCTGACTGTGTGTGTCCTGGCTGTCAGAGTATTCAGAACAGAAGAAAATTTAAATTCATTACTTTGCCTGAGGAATGTCACTGCTGGAGAAGATGGGGTTTTTGCCTAATGTCTTCTGCTATTGCCTGARTTTGGATCTAACATGTACCATATTTTGTGTTCTAGGAAGAATATGAGATAGGCAGCAAAATTAGAGGGGTATGTAGCAAATTTAAGTAGGGCAATACATAAGGTGGGCTGAAGCAGTTGGCTGTATCAGACCACATATCACAGTGGAGAAGTCCCTACTCATCCTTTCCTAATGTAAAGGAGAGAACTGAGGCAAACACCTGCAGCACCAGCATCTCCCTGTTGTGCATTTAAAAAGGAAGGGGAAGTCTCACCTTATGAAAAACAAYTGGGAGTTCTCAATGCCTGGATAAAGTTGTGAAAATGCTAAGGTGGTTAGAGGCATTTCTGATAAACATACACATATATGATGAACTTTGAAAGGAGACAGAGTCAACTGATATAACTTGAACTTTAGGCTCAGGTAAATGTTTGGATCTAAAAGTTAGATGACTGAAGTCTTTATTCCAAAGTGCTTCCTTCCTGAACTGTCAAGACTAGCTTTTGAAGAGAGGGCTGGGATGTCCCACAGGCCTGAAATTTTATGGATTCTTCAGCTACCTCAACAGTGAAATAAATAAGACAAGGCGTGGGCACATACTTGAGTGATCATCCAAACCACTAACCTGCCAGCACAGTCCCTGGCATGGTTTTGGCCCAGGCCAACTAGTTTCTTCCAGATTGTGGCTTGGCAGGATAATGGGAGTCATTCTCAAAAGGCAGCTTGGACATCAAGGATAGCTGAGCTGTGAGGATGCAGGCTGTGTTGTACCAGTTAGGCTTAGGGCCCTTGGTCCTCCTATTTACTAAAACACATAAAGTTGTGGAGGCTACCAATGATAAGACCAGTTTACAATAGTCTTCATCAATAATTATTTTCTAATTATAAAGATGAAATTAAAAAATGGAGTACTTAGGGCGAATACTAAGAAACATTTCTGAAATTCTAATTTATMTAGTTATAAAGATGTTGAGCAGTGAAGGAAAAGTAGTTTCATCTTTTAAGACATTTAAAAACAGAATAAATTAAACCTWGAAAAATATCCCAAAAGATCAATTAAATAATTGTCTAGTTAGACAGACAGTATGAAAAATATACAATGTCATGAGCATGAGATCAGACATGTTCCCTAACATCAGATTCTATGGTTTTCTAATGGGTTCTGCAGTGAGGTAAGAATTGAGCAGTATGAAGTTAACCCTATCTACTCTGGTCACTGCTTTAGAAAAGTCTTAGGTAAACTAATTTGGATGTTGTAGAGCATGTGCCACAATTTAAGCGTTAAACAGCTTAAATAGCAACAGTTATTAAACAGCTTAAAAGGCAAAGGATGTCAATGAAAAACTTTTTGTGAGAGAGCATTATTTCAATGCCACAGTTCCAGTCATATTATTTCGATTATCTCTGACCTGCAGCAAGCTGCAGAAAATGAGGAAAAGCAGAGGTGATACTTTACTTGAAGAGATCTATCAGGATGATAATTATGTCTTCATCCACTTGCTCCGTCCCTAGGTCAGTGCTGACGTCAGCAGGAGAACCACACATGATGATCACTAGAGATCAGGCAAAAACGGAGAGGTTCAGATAAGGAGAGGGCATTTGCTTGCTCTCAGTGCTTGAGTAGCAGGTAGTCTAACAGTGCTGGGCTGAGGCAACCTGAGCTGTGTTGAGACCCAGGCATTGGGCTACAGTCTGCAACAGGACAGGGATACCTGAGGGAAGCAATTTGGTCCCTCACTGCCTGCTCCAGGTTATGTTTGATTGCCCTAAGACATTTATTGTTACCATACTCAAATAAGCCTTAGCAATACTGATGCAATACTGGCTACTGAATACGAAAGTTTCTAAAGGTAAATGGCATTCAATCACTACAGTTTCGCTGTGTTATAGCTCTCACATTCATTTTGCCTGTTGATGCCAGGTGCATAGTCTTACTAGAAGATGAAGTATATAACTTCTCAGTGTCTCTAGTATAGATGGATCAGTTCTTGAAGAAGTGCCCCTTTACTGCACAGGCAATGCCTGCATGTTTACCAGAGCTGCAAACATAGGAATGGTAGAGAATTAAGTATTTTTGTAATATTCAAGGCCCTGATCAGAGCTGTGATTTCTGGGTTTCTGAATCTTTCACAAAAGAGGGTTCATAAGAAGATAATGTCATACCTCAATGGCATAATTAACCCCAAAAGGCCTCTGGAACCAGAGTAGTCCCCCATACATATAGGGAGGGAAAAAGGAATCTGAGAACTTTGTGCCAGCTTCTGCTTGCACCAATGTGAAACAGTGTGCGTGCTTTCCATCCTTTCTATGGAAAGACTGACCCTATAAGGTAACTAAGAGGGTCAGAATGATTTTCAGGGAACAGCAACTTACCAGGAAGAGAAAGTGCTCCCTCAGCCCCCCTTACCATTGCTCTTCCGGTTTGGATCCTTCACAGTTTTTTTAAACTGGTCTGAAGTCCTTAAAATTTCCTTGACCTTCAGGTTTTCAGAGAATTGTGTTACTCCAGCATCTAAAGCATTCATGTACCTGATACAAAGCAGGAAGCAAAAATATTGTCAGGAATTCGCTAACTCCTTACATTCACATAGTGTCTTCCCTCCAAAATGAGCCAACATGCTAGATAGACTGGTTAGTGTTTGCAGCATGATAAGGAACAGGTTTTGTGTGCCTATGAAAGAAAGTCAATTTGGAGAATGAAAGAATTAAAACTATCTTGAGTGTCACTCAAAGGTATTTAAGATTGGTAATACAAAGGATGAAGTTAGAGAATACAATGGAGCAATAAGACATTAACACTTAAGAAAATAAACTGGGATGTGGGAGACTTTTAGTGACAGAAAGCTCTAGGATTCTCTGCTGTAATAAGACTTGAGGGCTGATCTTCGGACACACTTTGGRAGAGTTAAATGAGCAAATGGCTGCTACAGAAAGAACCAAGATCGCAAAACACACACACAGTCTGACAGTGACAGAAAATAAGAAAGGAGGAATGTAGCYTCTGATCTATCAACACTGAGATCCCAGCTCTGTAGAGTACCAAGGATCTTTTTCAGCCCATTATTTTCATAAACRGAAGAAGCGATCATTAATTTATAGGAACATAAAAATAGTTGGAACATACCTAATTTTGCTTAGACTTTTGCTTATCAGTACAGACAACCATGCACTTTTATACATATATGAGGGAAACAGCAAATGTAGTATACTTTGTGCTTTAGCTTTAGCAAAAAAAAAAAAATTAAAAAAAAATAGAGAAGTATAAAATCTTCAGGCTGACAGCTTCTATTAAAACAGAACATGATACACATTTTCCCAAATATATTAGAATGAATGACAATAAAATGGACAGAGATACAAAACTGATTTTAAAATATTTTGTTAATTCAATAGCAAAGGAAGGTATAAAGAAGAATCTGAACAAAAAATAATAAAGATAAGGCAGAAAGCACTTTGCACATAACAACTTATATAAGTTAACTTCCCTGAATGGTATGAAACCTGTGGGATTAAAACAATATAGCTAAAGTATGAGCTGTACATTGGCAGTTATGTTTGGAAATATGGAGATATGGGAAATGTAAGCAGCACATTAGAGAAATGGACTCATGTTTCAAAACCAGAAAGACAGGTAATTCTAGCAACTACATCATGTCATCAACTTGTTGTGAAGTAAAAAAGAAAGCAATAGAAGGCCCTAACTATTTATAAAAGAGTGAAATGGAGATCAGTTTTTAGGTCTCTTATTTCTGAAAATGATTTTAAATGTAAACTTAAGCATAGATAATAATGTCTAAGCACAATCCTATATCATTTTGAAGACAATAGATTTTTAGATTTTCCTTCAAATTCTGCAGGCTCCTCAGGTTATGAACTGGAAATACAAATAACAATTATTTCCATGAATTCTTAGCTGTCTTTGAATTACCTTTTAAAATAGCAGGAGAAAAGGTAATTGATTTAATAATTTTCTTTATGCCCTAACATCAGGGGAAAAAAYATCAAAATAGGATAGAAATATTGACATGAAGTGAAAATTGAGGAGTCAATAAACAAAGAGCAACGATAAATACCAATATATTATTGCATATACCTAACTAAAATCATATTTAAAATAGCATTTCATTTTATAAAGGGAGAAAAATCAGTATTCTCAGGAATCAAGCAGAGGCTGCTGTTTCATGTCACAAAGTAGAAGCTGGCTCCTGTGCTCAAAACTGGTGCAAGCACAGTTTAAATTTAGCAATTATTTGGGGTCTTTTTGTTCAAATAAAGATACTGTTTCACATTCAGAAAGGTCTCAAAGTAACAATAGTGTCCACCTCGAGACTTTAAAAGAGCTAGGTAAGATCCTGCAACCTAAAAACACATCTATGGGGAGAAAAATGAGGGAGCCTCTCACATGTAGCACTGTTACCTGAAGTATTTCCAGACAGGTCAAGTTTTTGATAACGCTGTCCATAGCAATATTCAAGGCTTGAGATTTCTTAAAAGTATTCTCAAAAGTGCTTGACTTTCTACGTTGATAGCTGTTTATGCAAAATTGAGTATGTCTCAGCTATTTTTATGTTCCTGTAAATTAATAATTATCTCCCATGTTTTTGAGAATAATGGGGAGAAAAAGATGCCTAGAGCACTGCAGGACTGAGATCWCAGTCTACTTAAAGTAGACTAAGTGAAACATTAGGATATGCAGGACACCTGAAGGATGTAATTCATCTTTTCCTGCTCATTTCTTGATAGCAGTACAGCACCTCCAAAAGAAAAGGATTGAAGGACAGCCTCTTATGCCCCAAAAGAGAGACTGAGTTGAGCAGAACAGCTGGGACAGAGGTGAAACCGCATCTTACCAGAAGCAAACCTCTGAGTTCTCATTCCTCTTGTAAATGTAGGCAGATTCCCAGGCTGTAGTTTTGAAAGGCAAACCGGCGTTATTCCAGAAATAGTGGAAAAAGTCGTTCAGTTTCCTGGCCGGGGTCAGAATGCGGGTTAGGTTTTCTTTATAGTCACAGGACAGTCCAAAACTCCCTGCAGAGATCAGAGGCATGCTCAGTATGGTGTCCACTCTGAGGGGAGAGAAAAGAGGACACATCTGAATTGCAGTGGCATCAAGGCAGCTAATGTGTGATGTCTATCCCCAGCACCCTCTCTTCTTGCGGTCTGCACAGTTGAACAGGAACTCAAACCTGAAACATAAGATTTCTAATGATCCTGAGGAAATTTCCAATCAGTATGGCCTGCTAAAATGGGCATGCAGGCATCTTCTCCAATCACCTATGCCACGGGCACCTTCCTTCTCCAGGCCCGTGTGGTAGTGTGCATTGATTGACCCAGAGGGATCTGACAGCAATTCAACTGTTCTAGGATACATCCAATTTTTCTCCCAGATTGTTATCAAGGACTGTGCACTGTTTGGTGCAYTGTTAGGAACTGATCTGTAAGTGATGTGTATATTTGCAGCAATTCACCTAAGCACTGGGAGATGAAGGGGCTTTATGACCTATCCTAAGAGCCAGGCTAGAACAACAGAGCACAAAAAGGGGGGACAGCATATATTTCCAGGAAAACTCTCCCAGATGACTGAAATGACAAGCTACATGCTCTTAAAATTTCTCAAGTAATCTGTTTGGCAACCAATTTATGTGTCAAAAATAATAAAAAATAATAATAATTTTGGTGTCTTTTGTCACATTTGTAAAATTATAGGAAAAAGTCTTGACAAATGGGAGGTATGTCCTCAGGGAATTTAAAGGAGGCTGTCTTGGCAATGCTATTAAGTTAGTTTTGGATGAGCAAGGGGGATTTTACCACCTCTCCGATTTGTGAGAATTGCCAGATGACTCTCTGTCTTCCACTGTAATTTTTTACATGGGATGGATTTGATCTATTTATTAGACAGTACTGGAGGAGGAGGGTTTTGTTGACATCAAAAAGCTTTACTCCTACTAGTGAAAGGAAAAATTTTCTGTTTCACTATGGCATATTTTAGAAGACGGACAACAGCAACAGTCAGAGAGAAAATAAGGCAACTCTTGCTGGAATGGATTGATGAAACAACAATATTTTTTTCTCCATAAAGAGAGTAAGTTGGATGAGATGAAAGTATTTTTATAGATGTTGCTATTAGACTAAAGATATTTCAGTTCTTATAAGGGACAATTGATTGTCCCTTAAAATTAGTAAATTTTGACTATGAAAAACATATCCATCAGAGTTGTTACAAAAGAAATTTGGTTTTAAGTTAAGGCCACTTTTATTACCAAAATAGGAAGTTTACATTTGGTGCAATAGAAAGAGACCCAAGTAATAAATTAGGAAAACCACTTCACTAATGAAATGGACATTTTTCTAGCTGGGAGAGTATGCTGTAAGGTAAGGTGCCTATTTTGATTTACAAATCGATTGCACCATGAGCAAATCCGGATTGGTGCCTCATAGTTAGTGCTCTATATTGCTCTGCACAAACTTCTGCTACTCATACTTTTTACCAGTTATTAGTTTAGCTGTCAACTTTGGAGGAAAAGACTTGGACATTATTCTGGACAGCTCCATATCCAACAAATTAGAAATTCGAACACAGTTAGTAAACACAACAAATAAAATGGAGTATATTGCACAATATTTTATTGTGGTCTTATATTTTTATTCTGTAAATCAATACATATACTTTCACATACACATATACACATATACACATATACATACACATATACTTTCACCAGGAACATTGCATTCACTTCTAGTTATACCACTCAAAAGATGCTAGATGCAAAGTTTGAGGTGAAAACATCCCTATCTTTTCTGTATCTCTCAATGAAGCCAAGACACTAGCAAAATTTAAAAAGAGGATGGTGATCTAGTTTGGTAAAACTATGAATTTGTATGTTATGACATTACTTTTAAACTGGATTTTGGGCTTTTCTCTTGTATCATGTGACTCAGGCTCTTTTCAGTGACTGAATACGCACCCAGAAGGATCTCAGTTGCTGCAGTACTGCTATATCTACATGCCTCAGGCTAATAACTCACTTTCCTACCATGCTTGTTGAAGAGAGAAGTGTTCTGACCTCATTTTCCTGCTAGTGGTGGGATTGCATTGATGGGGTCTGGAAAAGGATTTCTTTTTCTCCAGCAAACACTGTGGCTATGAATAAGAGTCTTATTGCCTTGACCACACAGCCCAAGGTGTCTGCTGAATGCCCAGGTCCAATGTGTCTGCTGGCTTGTTGCACACAGAAGAACTTTGTTCAAGAGTTCATATCTTTAACAACAGAGAGGCAGGGAGAGGTGTTTTAATACTTACGAGACCATTTGGTAGGTGGCATAAGTGCAAGCAGGTCCTATGACAGCACAGCCAAGTAAGCCTTTACTCTGCAAGAGATCAGAAAGGGTGGGCAGTGAGGACAATGCAGAGGGCTATCACAGAGCAGGAAAACAAAGAAGACTACAGGATTTAGGAGGAAGTCTCAGAATTTAGGCAGGACTGGAGTAAGAAAGGAACTGCAGAAAAGCTAAAAAAAAACAAATTTGGAGTACAGGAGGGAATAGTCACAAAGAGCTATTTAAGAAAAGAGAGAGGACAGAATAGTGCTGTGAGTATGATTTTCATTGAAAGATAGAAAAACCTCTGCAGGAGCTAACTTCCTGGTCTGCAAAGTGGAGGCAGTAAGGGAGAAGTAGAGCATATTAGGACTAAAATGCATAATAAATGCCCRTGTGGTCCAATTGCAAATATATGGAAAATATGGAATTACATATCAGAACAGTGCCTGCACTTGGAGCAAAAAAAAGGGTTAGAATTTTGAGATACTATGTACAGAAATGAGATTGTTTATGAGCATATAAAGCTTTTGTGAAAAAGTCCTCTTATGACCGCCAAAATTACTGGTCTGATTTGCTGTTCATCATGAATGATTTTTCTAGTAACTAAGACTATAGCACATGCTCATACCTTGTTAAAATCAGATTGACAAAGCTTTACTTGGAGGCTAAAGTTGTTAGACATCAGCAAATCCACTGAAACRTGCCTTCTTGAATGTGTTGAAAGGCACTCCTTGTAAACAAAAGCTTTTCCCAATATTAGGGCACTCATATTTTTTCTCCATGTGATTTCTCTGATTTCCTGTATAGAGCGAGCGTGCATTTCATCTTTGCCCTCTGGACATAGTTCCATGAGCTCTACAATGTCAGACTAATAGCACCTCTACCCCAAGGTGCACCTTCTCATCATCACTCATCATCACAGCTCTCCGCTTTGTGCTCACACAATATTTGTGTAATTGCATGACGAACCAGATTAGGGAACTGATCAGCTAAAAATGGACTGATGGGGCTGTATGTGCATTTATTTTTAGCTGTATTACTTTGGCTGTGTGGCCACACAAAGAGCTGTGCAGATACAACAAAGGGAGTAAGTAACTCCCTGTCAAATTTATTTTTAACAACAGATTCAAAAGTTATTAGCACAAGACAGAAGAGACAAACAAGCACAGATACATTTATTCGCATAAACAGATGGAAGAGGATTTTTTTCTTACAAAGTTAGACTTWAAAAAAAAAAGAAAAAAAAAGCCTGATACTCACATAAATTTGCCTGATGAGGTCCACCCCTTCACAGGTGCTGGTACGACAGCCTTGTGAGAAATATAGTGATGTGCTAAAGTTGTGGAAGCTAGCATCTACTGTAACATTTACTCCTGCCAGATGTATAAGAAAACAACGTTATGAGATGTAGATAATTGTTAACATACTCTGCATTAACATGCTCTTTCTTTCTTTCCTTCTTTCCTTCTTTTCTAACAGAGGTAATTTCACGCTAGGATGTTTCCAGTCTCAATAAAATACTACTACTAGATAGACCACCTATCTAACTCACACTACTTAGCATGGGATTACAAAATTTGTTCCAGTGCTGACTTCCTCTACTGAGTATTACTACTGGTGATTATCACTCTTATTTTTAGAGTTCTGTAGAAACAAGCTGAGACTACTTTGCAACAAAAATGGAAACCAACCAACCAGACAATCAAAGAAAAACAAAAAACACCCTTCAATTAGCAGACATTAAGAAAAATGAATCATTTCTCAAAAATCATTTTGTCCAAATATATTCTAGAGAGTGACAATATACTGGTGATATCGAAAGACGTAAGATACTGATGTGAATAGAAGCATTATCTAGTGCACTTGATTGAGGACAAAAACCATATGGGCTGCAGGCTCTTCACACATCAAGCCATAATGTGATCAACAAGCAGGGATCAAGATGAAAATTCTTCTCCAAGACTATAGCCTCTCACCAGGAGAGGAGAAAGTCTCATTTTTCACGTGTTTACATCTCTGGCAGTCTAGTAATTATGAAATAGGATGAATTAGTGCTAGGTTCTGCTGCAAGGTCAGCTCAGTCACCGGACTGGAGGGATCACTGGTCTTGTGTGATCCAGTTCAATAATCCTTGTGTTTTTAATCCCAAGTGGACACCTCCAGAAAGGAATGCGGGAAGAGTCTGCCCAGCTACCATTTAAGTGAGAACAGTTCTGCCTATAGCACTTCTGTTTTCACAAAAAGAGGGCCATTACTGTAAGAATTATATAGAGAACATAGACCACCAAGGARCCGGTCTGAGGAGCAGTTTGCAGAAAGTGAGATCAGTAGAGAGCTGTGACACGTCCAAGTCAAGTGTGTCAAGTCTGGCAAGAAACAACAGTGGGAAAGCCATTGCCTTACCTTCCATCTGGAACTGCTCTTGTATAATTTCCAAGGCTTGTTTCACAGCTGACATCAAATCAGAAGCAGTTACTGGGAAATCTGTATTATCCATGAGCATCACGTTGATCAAATAACTGTTGTTGCTACACTTGCTTGAACCAACTTGTTGCAGTATTGGGAGCAAGAGAAACAAAGGCCGAATGGCCAGAGGCAACATCCATTGCTTCATCTTCGCTCAGTTTAGATCCATTGTGTCTGTTTGCTCTTTTCTCTTTCTCTCAGAGATAKTCAGATATCTCTCACAGATCTCTCTCCCAGGTAACCTACAGTTTTGTTTCTGAATAGGACAAAACAGATTTCCACGCTGTAGATTCAAAAATAGGCTATACAAGCCTCCACTCAGGTGCTTCCTTGTCCCCCTTTTCTGACTTCACCTCTCTCTGTCCTTCTGGTGTCTTAGGTGGCACTTCTCTTTGTTAACAACAGCAGAACTCAGGTAAGGCTAAAGGTTGCTGTGAATGTTTGCTCATGGAAAGGCTGAGGCTATAAAACTGAAGCATTACCAGAAACCTTGTCTGATAAGGACACTAACTTTTCATCACACTGATGAGCTGAGAGAAGGAAGGAGGAGGGGGCAAATGGCCTGTAAAATGGGCTCTTTAAAATGGAAATAAAATAAAATTTTTAAAAAGACATGCTAAAGCCTAGAGGAAACCAGATGGTTGCCTCATGTTTGAATTGCTCTACAGTACTGCCTCTGTTGGTTGTGCTCATAAAACAAGGTCATATTTTCTTCTGTGGTAAATCATCAATTTTGTTTGYTTAGCCATCAAAGTACCTTTGATATTAGCAGAAATGCCTGACTTGAAGCCTCAGTTTCTGTTTAGAGAGTAGGCTCGGCACAACACCTGTCTGTTAGCAGTCACCCAACATTGAACCCCAGAGTGYTCCAGGTCTGCCCTGGAGACATTGCTACCAGGCAGCATTGTGCATTTCCATTTTGTCAAATTGTCCCTGATATGGAGGAAAACATGTTAACATTTTACGTAGTGTTATTTCTTACATTGGGTAGGGATTAGCAATGCTGAAGGGCACGACTTGGACCTGCAGGACTAAAGCTAGATTGTAAGTGCCATCCCTAATAGGCACGCACTAAAGAACATCATGGTAATGTTCTTCAGCAGAGCTCTAAGACTTTCTTGAGTACTTTTCCTAAGAATGATCTCATCATTTTAACTTCCCTGGGAATGGTCTCAGAGAGGGTAGGCGGAATGAATGTGAGACAAAAAAAAAAAAAAGTTATTGGGTTGTGATTAGTGGCACAAGTCTTGTAATAGTAATAGTTGTACTCCAACTACTTGTAATAGTTGGAGTCTTGTAATAAAGGCGTACCCTAGGGCTCAGTACTGGGTCCAATCTTGTTCAACTTATTCATTGATGACGTGGATAAAGGGACAGAACACACCTTCACTGTATGTTGAAGATACAAAACTGGGACAAATGGTTGATACATCAGCGCTGTGCTGTCATTCAGAGGGACCTCAACAGGCTGGGGAGATGGGCAGAGAGGAGCATCAAGAGGTTCAACAAAAGAAACGTGCTATGTCCTTCACATAAGTTCAGCAAGAGCAAGTGCAGGGTCCTGCACTTGGAGAGGAATAACCCCAGACACCAGGACAGATTAGGGGTGGACCAGCTGGAGAGCAGCCCCGCAGAGAGAGACCTTGGCATCATGGTGGATGACAAGATGACCATGAGGCAGCAGTGTGCCCTGGTGGCCAAGAAGGCCAATGGGATCCTGGGGTGCATTAAGAAGACCGTCTCCAGCAGGTCGAGAGAGGTGATCGTCCCCCTATGCACAGCCCTGGTAAAGCCACATCTGGAGTACTGCGTCCAGTTCTGGGCTCCCCAGTACAAGAGGGATGTGGAGCTGCTGGAGAGAGTCCAGCGCAGGGCTACGAGGATGATCAAGGGCCTGGAACATCTGCCCTATGAGCAAAGGCTGAGAGAGCTGGGCCTGTTCAGCCTGGAGAAGAGAAGGCTGAGGGGGGACCTGRTCAGTGTCTATAAATACCTCAAGGGAGGCAGTGAGGAGGAGGGGGTGGCCTCTTTTCAGTGGTGGACAGCGATAGGACTAGAGGAAACGGTCACAAGCTGAGGCACCAAAAGTTCCACAGGAACTTAAGGAAACACTTCTTGACAGTGAGGGTGACAGAGCCCTGGCACAGGCTGCCCAGAAAGGTTGTGGAGTCTCCTTCTTTGGAGATCTTCAAAACCCACTTGGACGCTGCCCTGTGCCACGTGCTCTAGGTGACCCTGCGTGAGCAGGGGGGTTGGACTGGATGACCTCTGAGGTCCCTTCCAACCTTAAGCATTTTATGATTCTATGATTCACCTATTGGTTATTCCTATGGGAATAACCCCGTGCACCAGGGCTGGAGTCTCTCTCATACAAAGAAAGGCTTAGAAAGCTAGGACTGTTCAATCTGTAGAAGAGAAGGCTAAGCGGCAGATTTTAGCAATGTGTATAATGGAATACAGCTTTTCATTTTGAGATTATCTGAGCATTTTTGGCTCATTTTATAGGCATTTAGAAATAGAGTGCTTGAAACTTATCCCATGCAAGTCAATAGGAGTTTTGTTATTAACTTCAGCAGAGCAAGATCTGCATTTTCTTAGCCTGAGAAAAACAGTTAGCAAGCATGGAAATCAGAAACAGAATTGCATATTTCACATTGCTGATCACACGGGGAGTATGTATGTAGGTATGTATGTGTCACATAGAGAGTATGTATTGCACTGAGTCCTCTGGTTTTGTATTTATTCATGTAATTATTTAGCTGTGATAGTGGATTTTAAATGTCCTTTAGAAACAAAAGGCAAAGCCAACTATGGACTTAGAGTAGCATTTCTTTCTACCCTCTCCCTTCCCTCCTGCCTCCAGAGTACCAAAGGGAGTCCTCAGACAGAACATGGTATAAACGAGTTGTTGACCTCTCGACTTTTAATTGCCCAGTGTGTGTATGTAGTTTCTCTGCGTCAAGTCTCGTGACAGGAGCATGCCTTGAACATCAGGTGATGTGAAGTGGGAGGGCCTGCTGCAGAAGATTGCGTGGAGGTGAAGCGAGCACTCCCAGGTGTGCACTGGTTGATCACCCACACGTTCTTGTCTACCTCAGAGTTTTATGCATTATWCACAGTTGCTTGGCAGGCTGATGGGTGATACCTGGTTTACAGGCTCAGCAAAATAATAGAAAAGCTGTGGGATTGTGCTGTGAGTTACTACTATTAGAAGAATATGAAGGTAGAGAAAAGGAAAGCATACAAGAATCTTATACACAAGGCACAAGATTTGCTGGATCTGCTACAAGCAAAAGCCAAAACCTCTGTAGGCTGGTGTTTGCTGGGATTCCTTATTGTGGAATTCCAATAATTGGAATTATTGTCTTGCAGCAGAACTACAAGTGAGGGGAGCATGCTGAAGGCAATGAAGTCCCTCGCAATGAAAGAATGGGATGTCACAGGGAAGAAGATCAAGAATTTCAAAAACCAGGAAAGTCCTGCTAAAGATACCTTCTCCTGAAACTCCAAGCATAGACCACAAATTTCTCCCAAAAGCTTTCTCAAATGACCTAGAACTACTTATTCGCCCTTACAAGATACCATGTTTAATTATCTTCTAAGGAATAAGATCCTAAAAATRTATCTCACTTCCCTTTTAGATTTCTCTAACTTCTAGGCTTGGTTACTGTTATACTCTTGAAAGAAAGGTCAAAAAGATCCTAACATCAAACATTTACTATGTGCAAAATGTTTAAATTGGTTCTTCAATGTTCATTTGTTTCAGTATATCTTTGTAATCCTATCATTACTAACAGTGGATGGAGGTCTTCCCTTAATTAAATCAGATACAAACCACCGAAGACAAAGCCTGAAGCTTATTCTACCTTCAGAAGCACAGAAGCACAAGGACAGTTAATATTCAGATTGGGAGGTCCTGTATTTATTTATCTAAATGGAAAATGCAATTCCTTGCCAACAAGCATAGTATCTGAGCACGCACTGAACATACAAAACATCTTAACAAGTCTGTGTGGGTGTTTTTCTAGTCTGTTTTAGATTAGAAATATTGATCCAAATTAACTCACTGAAAAAAAAAAATTAACACTGGTTTTAGTGAAAAGTGATTTTTGGCCCTTCATTCTAGGTAACCTGTTTGCTCTGCCCTCTGCTTTATTGTATAATAAACAACCAGATTTTATAGGGTTTAGTTGAAACAGATAATCAACACTAACTTCCTGATMTAAAACTACTCTGAGTGATTTTCTCTGTCTTCTAGAACATTCTAAAACATACAGACAAACTAAATCCAGAACAGCAAAAACACCACTAAGGTATTCCTTTAGCTCCCTCTGCCTGCATAAAACTATTCGTCACAGAACAGCTCCCTCCCAGTACATTTTACTAATGTACTGAGTACTCACTTCAAACATTTACCCTTTTTTTGCATCAAAAGTCCTGAAAAATAGGAACAACAGACCAGTCTGCTATCACACGTTACCTTTGCACGGCCAGCTCCTAAAAGTACACCTGAAATCACAATGGGATACCATAGATGTCCATAAGTCTGTCCTTGGAATTCATAGCTGCTGCCACAGATGCGTGTAGAATTACACTACAGTTGCAGAGAAGTGACTTTCTCATCAGAAGTTAYTGATCCAGTAAGAGGAAATCTATAAACATGGATAAGAAAAGTTGCAATTGGAATTGCATCATATTACAGTAGCTCAGGTGACGGCCCCATTTTCCCATAACTCTATGTTGCCACATACCAGATATTCATGTGTGATGTATCATAAATATCTAACCCAATTGACAAGTTAGAAGCTAACTTGTACACCACTAGAATAGTAAGAGATCTTTCCTCTTTTGATTTTGTATTCTTTATTTGAAGGACTGACCATTTCCCTCCAGCAAGGATCAGGCCAAATGGAATCACTGTTTTGTAGCTTCAAATTTGAATTATTCTAGTCAACAGGCTGGCAAAAGTGCAACAAGTTCTTGGGCCTCTTAGAGTTGCAACTGATGCAATCTCAACCAAATAATCACCATTCTGATATTCAATTAGGTTCTTATTTCTGTCAAGGGAAAATGTTCTGTTGCATAGTTTGGATGATAAAGATAACAAACACAACAAGCATGGCCTTCTTTAGGAACAGACAAAAACGGAGCTGTCAGATCAATCTGAGGTTAGAATTTGTTTGATACAGACAGTACAAAATTTTCTACTACCAAAAATAGGTTCTGCCTGTGATATGACATATGACTGCGTACCTGAATTAGTGATAAAAAGAAACCATTTACCAAAGCTTGTCTTTGGGAACATCTTTGGGGAATAACCAAAACTGTTCTCTCTGAGGAACATGTTTAAGTATCTTGTCAATAGAGACAAAGCTGCCCTGACATGCCAAAGGCCACAGGGCTTCAGTTCTTCTCAAGCACTTGCTTATTTCATACCAACTCCAGTAAGATTGTATATCACAACACTGTACAAGATTGTACATGATTGGAACATTGTCAGAGAATGCAGGGATGCAACAAGGAAGGGCAAGGTCCGTTTGGAATTAGAGTTAGCAAGAGATGACATGGACAACAGGAAGGGCTTGTACAAATACATCAGCAGTAGGAGGAAGACTGGGGAAAATGTTAGTCCACTGCTGAATGGGGAAGGGGTCTTGGTGATGGMGGATGCAGAGAACACACTTACTAAATGCCATCTTTGCTTCTGTCTTTCCTAATAAAGCTGGTCTCCATGAACTACAGAGCCCAGATGTAAGACGGAGAACCAGGAGAGAGAAAGACTTTCTGCTGGTCAAAGCGGATTGAGTTGAAGATTATTCAGGCAAAGKGGACACTCATAAATCTAAAACCCGGATAGGATGCGCCCAAGAGTGCTGAGGTAACCGGCAGGCTCATCATCTTCGAGAGGTCATGGAGAGCAGGGGAGGTGCCGGAATACTGGAAGAAACCAACATCATCCCAGTCTTCAAAAAGGGCAAGAGGGAGGACCTGGGAAACTACAGGCTGGTCAGCCTCACCTCCATCCATTCTTCAGTTCTGCATACATAAAATTCCATAATTTACSTAAGTATGATAATGAAATCCAACGCAAGGACTGCATTTAAGTTACTTTAGTGAAGTTAGTTTAATGACAGTTTGGATGCTGGAATTTGGATACTGGAATTATTAGCAAATTTCTGAAGGTGCAGTTCCCATAAATCCAAATAATCACAGACCAGACATAATCACCARTGAAAACTAAAGAAATGGGTTCTCTTGCCAAAATAATGGAGGGAAAAAAAAGAATTTGAACTTCACTGTGGGATCTTTAATTCCAATGACTGTTGTTCCTTGTTATATTGAGCTAGGAAATAGAGACTTGATAAGAGCATTAAACGCACACACGAGCTTCACCACCCTGTAGGTTAGTCTTTCTGTCAACTTAGATATTTCACCTTTTCTCATCRTGGCCCTAATCTTGTCTATCCAGGGCATATTAAGACTCAGATGTTGCTGACACCATATGAGAGAAGCAAATTTTTTTCAAGCTCCTTGTTTTTGTAGGAGCCCATTCCCATTTACTCTTCCCTGGGGGTTGCTTTTGTGACTTYGGCAGGGGTATCATTTCATTACTTTTGTTCCTGCTGCCAATCATTTATCTTGAGATGCTGTCAGATGCTCTTTAAAAGATACAAGAGACAGAATATGATAAAGGATCATTACTAAAAAAGAACTGTCATCTTCATCAGAAATTACAGCAATTGAGGCACGTGATCATCAATAGTGCAAAGGTCACTTTTCTTATCCTCTTGCTTTGACTATTACCTGACTTTTTTTCCACATCTTGCCTTCCCCTTTTCTCCTTTTTCTATTTCTCTGTTTTCATCTTTTTTCTCCTTTTCTCAGTTGTCCCTTTCTATGCTCTATTTTTCCATGTAAATACTCATTATATCTTCCCATGCTTATGGGTATTTAGTCCCAGGTGAATGACTTCCCTTTTACTGCTATCASTATAAGTCAATTCCTTCTTTCCCAGGAGCTGTGTGGAAATAAACAAGATCATTAATCATTCTACRGCTCACAGCCTCCAAGATAATGTCACTGACTAATAGACTAGTACTGCAGGAAGAGTAGGAACTGCAGCAGTTTTCCAATGTTATTGATAGCRTGGACAAACTTTTCAACTTGGCTTTAAATTATGATGTGTCATCTCTGCATTTCATATAAAGAACAAGATTATAACATCTCTTCCTACTCTTCCTACTTTCATATGCATCTTAATAGTATTTGCATCAAACTTAGTAAAAATATTTAAATGAATACAATGCTAGGGAGAATACAGGATTGAATGACTTCATCTCTCTCACACAATTGACTTGAGCACTAGATTTGAATGAAAAGACTCTTACTGCTCTGAATGGGGTTTAGACCATTCCTGCACACAGAAAGCTCTTACCAAGCTCTTTTCAAAAGCTCTTACTTTTCTAAACTAATGTTTAATCATACTGTCAGCTTGCTTGCTTGCATTCAGACAAAAAAYGTAACATCTCCATCAGCGAAAACACCCATTTCTTGTATTTCTCCTCCTTTATCCAGTTTACTACAACATTTGTACACTGAAATAAACACAGACCAAAATCTTAATTTTCCTTGACTTACTCTACAAAGTAWTTTTTTATTTTCATTTTGAAATAAACTGCTGCTGGGCACTGTTTAGCATCTGAAAGGAAAAGGGCACCTTACAATATCCTTGTCAATCACAGTGTTTTTTGTGATTTCACCGGCTTAATAAGGGCACTCTTCCATCTGATAAGCTTTCTGGCTTGCAGAACACTATTTTTTCTTTTTATTTTTTCCCTTTTTTTCTGTTAGATAATAGAAACTCCTAGAAAACGGACAATAASGTAGATGTCTGTATTATATGAATTAGTTTACATACATATGCAATTTTGACAGGGTAAAGAAGACTAAAAAACAAGTATCTGAAAAGATACTTTGTATGAAAAATGACTTTTTCTCTTGACAAAAGCAATACCTTACTTGATAGAGATAAAAAAAGCTAAAAAGGAGGCAAAACCACTGGCACACACTCTGAATTTTTAGTAATTCAGAATTAATTTCTTAATTAAAATTATCCAGATAAATCATCCATTTGAGAATGGATAATACACATTCCTTCTTTATGGCCTGTGGGATGAAACTATATTCATAAGTAAAGGCCATCATCATAGTTTTCTTGTATTCCCAAGGCGCTGGGTTGCAGGACAGCCTCTCAAGGTCAGTTGTTCCAGGACCAAGTTGGCTTGAAGTGACTGGGAGAATGTAAATGTGAAATCCACTTTATGGAAAACAAACAAACAAACAAACAAACAAACAACACACACATTTTATTGCTGAGCGACATGACAACTGAATGCGACATGATAGGGATATATTTCTTCTTACCTCCCAAACCTCCCAAAGCAAAAGCTTACTTTCTTTTGGATAGGGTGCGAAGTATTTTTCTTCTCATGGAAGGCACAATTCTACAAATGATGTTACCTGACAAGTCCTGTCCATAGGTAGGTATTTTTTGGTTAGCTGAGTTGTCAGTAGTAGTATAATGTATTGCTCTGCTTCACTGGAAATGCTAAAGGTGCAATTCAGGCAGTTCAAAACGGAATTTCCAGAAATTTCTTTATAACTACAAGAGATCTTTGGGGAATAGTGGGTATAAAGTTATGTGACTAAAGGCTCATCTCCATAAACATAAGGSAACACAGAGAAACAACCTTGACCTGGCTCTCTGAACAGCAGYAGGAGAGCAGTAGGAGAGCAGTGAGCCCACTCTCCTGGTGTGGGCTTCCCTTGGTGAATCCCAAGATAATTCAATTGGAGCTGCTCTCTAGATCACCTTCCAGACTGAGAGGTGGTTAATGTCTAGAGGGGTATAGGACTGATTACGTGATGTGGGAGAAGTGCAATTGAACATTGTGCAAGACAAGATGTCTACAGTTAGGGTCAAAGGTGGGAGAAAGGAGGGATAAAGGTGACTGGGGCAGAAATAAGTGTAGGAAAATAGAGGGATGGGGGATAAAAGGGCTGATCACATTAAAACAGGTTGCTGGCCCATATGCTTGTCTGTCCATGCTCTGCACTTGATGGCCAAAATCTGTCTTAATTAAAGTCCATTTCTAACTGTTTTCCTAGGTGAGAAGACCTTCTCCTCCGTGTGGATGTGCATTTATGGAGGTCTGAGCACCAACAGCTGGAGTGGGGCTGCAGGTCCCCATAGTCCTTGGCCATGTGCCAGCAACTGGGAAGACTTGGGATCTAGGGCCAGCCACTGGATAGACCAAGAGTAGGAAACAGGATGAGAGTGTCTGTGTTAGTGGTCTGCTCCTTTGGCTGGTTGTGTGTAAATGCATATGCACACACGTGTATGGTGTGAATGTGTGTACATATGTGTATATACATATATGTATACGCAACTGTTGAGAACACATGGTCCACCTTACTACTCGGCAGCTCCTGACAGTGGAAAGTGCTCTGCTTGATGTGATATGTCACTACACTCTCATTTTTCATCCCTGCAACCCCTTGGTGTTCTCAAGTCTCTTTTTCTACTCTTCCTTTGATAAGCAAGGCAAATCAGTAGGAAAAGTGGCCACACARGGCTGAGTAAAGCATGAAGTACACCACACCACTCTGCTGGCTCCTTGTTTCCTGAGCACAAAGTCCTGCTTCCTCTGAGCCTGCTTTGCAGGTTTGYTCTTATTATTTAAACTGGCAGCGCTTAAATTTTAACGAGTTTACGTGTTCTCACGACGGGATGTGACAAGTACCAACACAGCGCCGCGAACCCTGCCCGCGCCACATCTGCCCCAAGCCCGCTCTGCCGCGGCGCCATCTTGGGCGCCGCCGGGCGGCAGGCGCGGCGGGCCGCAGAGCAGGCGGAACCGCGGCGGGCGGGAACCGCGGCGGGCGGCAGCCGGCTCCAGCCGGCGCCTTTTCGCCGCCGCGCCTCCGCCTTGCGCCGTTACCACGGCAACGTGGCGGTTGGCGGCGCGGGGCTGGCGGCAGGATGGTGAGAGGCGGCGCGGCGGGAAGGGCCGGGGCCGGGGGTGCGGGGCGGCCTCCGGCGGGGCCCCGCTCTTACCCGGCGGGGCCCCGCTCTGCTCTCTGCCCAGATGCTCTCGCGGGCCAAGCCGGCCGTGGGGGGCGCGCCGCCGCCGGGAGACCGGCGGAAAAAGAAAGGGAAGAAGGTGCCGCAGTTGGAGGAGCTCCTGGCCCTGCGGGACTTCACCGGCGCCATCGCATTGCTGGAGGTAACGGCCGCGGCGGGGCGAGAGCAGGGGCGGCGGCGGGAGGCCGTGGCGCCCGCGGTCCCGCTTTAACCGGGACCTCATCTCCCGGCGGGAGGTGCGAGAGGTGCCCGCCGCTCGCCTCGGGTCAGCGGCGACACGAGCCGGTCCCGCGGCAGCCCCGGCTCTCGGGACAGCCGCGGCGCTGCCCGCGAAACGCTCCGCAGCGCGCCGCGCTCTCAGGCGCCGTCGTCTCTCGGTAGTTCAAGCGGCAAGTGGGGGAGCAGGAGGAGGACGGCGACCTGTGGATCGGATACTCCGCCTTCCACCTGGGCGACTACAAGAGAGCGCTGGAGGTGAGAGGAGACGAGGCGGGACGGGGCGAGGGCCACGCGGTGCCCCGGCTGTCCCCGAAGCCGCGGCAACAAGTGCCCTGTGATGGGGGCCGGTTCCACTRGGCTGTTACTGGGTAAACATCAAGTAAAAACATTGTAAAATGGGTTTTACACACAAACCACTATGTGTAAAGCCATTTGGATCAAGAAGGAAATAGTCTCATAAAAACAAGCGTTTTTTCTTCTAATCCTCTCTACTGTCTTAATTTAATATTAACTCAGTTTAATAGCTCAGTTTACCCTTTCTAAGGTCATTGCATGTGTTCTAAAGTTTCCATTCCCTTTCTGCAGGTGACTTTGCACAGTTCTGTTTTTTAGGTTTTCTTGTAATTTCAGCTTCATTATGTAGCTACCAGCAATATACCTGCAGCTTGTTTTCCATWCTTACTTCCCAGGCTGATATTTCTGGCCCTGTAATATACTCTACAGTTATTATATGTATTTTCTTATTTTAGGTAAAATGGAATAAAACTGTTATTCTCTGCAAAAAAAAAGAAGTCACAAAAATAAATATTAGTTACTCATACATATAAATCATCAATATTCGTACCATGTGGTGCTGCTGTATCTTTTCTAAACACGATTCCCTATGCCATTCCTTCTCTGTTATGTTCATTTATGTCTCTGCTGAGACACAAATTTGTTGCCTGTCAATTTGCTGTCAGTGAATTACTCCAGAGTCACTGGAGTAATTTCTCTTTTTGGTTGCATATTTCTCTGCAGAAACCTAACAAATTTGTGTTGGCCTGCTTGCTGTCTACCTCTGAGTCTACGCTTACGTTCAGTATAAAACACCTAGGCTGGAGTCAGTTTTGCACACCGAAAGAGGGAGTGTTGTAGAGTGTAATGTAGCRATATCACAGAGGCAGAACATACACTGGAGAAGATCTGGAAACAAAGTGGTCTGCTTGAGGAATGTTTGTCTCGCTGCTCTGTTTCTGCAGATGTAAGTTGGCGGGTCCACACAAGGCAGAACTGTACTGGTTAAGCTTACTGGTTTCAGTCTACGTCAGCTGGGGAAGGTCTTCATCACAATCCACAGTGAAGTATAGGTGTGCTCTGAGCATTTTACATCCTTTTAACTTGCATTCACTGCAACTGAATATTTAAAACGGGACATAATTTGAGGGATTAATGAAAAAGAAACCATTGAGAAGTAGATTATGGAGCAATGATGATATTTCCCTCTTAGATAAAATTGGGAGTTTAAATGTAATGATGCACAGTCACATGCACAAAGTCCAAATGTGAAGCTGAAACTGAACTTATTTTTCTAAAACTTCAAAGTAGGTTCACCAAGGTGTTCTACTTTCCTTTTGCTGTAGAAAACTGAAGAGAAAGCACCWATTGGCAATAGGATTAGTCAGTGCAATCAAACTGACAGTATCTGAAAAGTATATAATATAGGCATAACTTTATATTAACATTTAGCTAATTTTGGTATTCAATGAAAGAATAAACTCTTTTTGCAGAGACCAGAATTTGTMTGTGGTATTAGCTTCACCACTAGGTGATGCTCTTGATTCAGACTTTTTWAAACTACTCTGCACAGGCTTTCAGTCTTTCTGCGATAATGGGGATATTAAAAGATTTTTGTATTTCAGGAGATTGATTAGTGTTGTGGTATTTTGTTTGTTTTGGTTTGTTTTCCAGGACMACAGGACCTATATTTTCACATTTCATGTTAATTTTGGCACAGTGATGAGTCATGATATCTCTTTGTTACTTTGGTGATGTGAGAAATGAGTCTGTCCATCTTGACSTAGTTCTTCAGGGACACCACATAGTGGGCTTCTACTAGTAATCAAGGGATAGTGTCTGGGCTCTGAATTAATACCCTTTTGGCTATATATTTATGTGTCTAGCTATCGACTTCAAGGTTGAAGTGTAATGCTGTGTCTCCCCTGCTATGTTACAGGGGCCTGGTTGGCACTGTCAGGGACAAATTCCTTGATTATCTCTGCTCTCTTGACTGTAGCACTCTTTGGGGTGTGCCAAGAGCTCTGTAAATCAAAAACCACAGATAGAAACTTGTGCAGAGTTCTCTGAAGTAACRCTGCATGTAGTCTAAATCATTCATAATCACCAGCACTTGTGAGGGAAAGTGCTTAGTCTGCCATACATTCCTGGTCCGGGACTTAACCTCATATCTGTTGGGATTCCACAGAAATTCTGCTGTTCAATAATCCTTTTATCTATAACGGGACCCTCATGGGGAGCCTAGTAGGCTGGTTGCATGTCAGCTTTTGGATGGGCCTAGGAATTGGGCTGAAGTGGGCATTATTCACTGTAAAAAGTGGAAAAGAATGAAATGCACAGACGTTTGCCACCAAGAATGTGGTGGGGATGATAACAAAATATTTGGCTCATACACATGTGTTGCTCTCTTGTCAGAGGCATAGCAGCAGGTAAGCTTTGACAGAGCTCTGCCCTCAGTTTGACCAGGATCACACTTCTCCCTTCTTAGCAGGCAGATGTCTTTCTCAAAAGGCATTCCCCTCTTCCCCACTACCACACCCTCCTGCCTGCTCCAACCCCCAAAAAGAAAGTCTTTCTACTCTTTCTACTGATTCATAGCACTGATCTTAAACAGTTCCAGGAAAAAAAAAAGTCATCAAAGGACCATCATCAACTCGTAACAGGCAACCAGAACCTAAGAACATGGAGGTTATAACACATAATAAAGATACTGAGAGCTTAATTGGCAAGAAGAGGCACGTTACTAGCAAGAGATTTCACAATGATGCTCCACACACACAAATTTGGCGTAAGGAGATGGGATGCTAGGATGGGAAAGCTTCCAGATAGGATGTTGCCTAAAAGCCCTCCTACAAGTCATCAACTATGCATAGGAGAGCAGAGTGTGGCATGACCTCTTGGCCAGAGCCTTTAATCTATTGTTTCTTCCAAATTCTCTCAAACCACAGCCAGGGCTTCAGACAGTCTTTGTGATCTGCTGTTCTCTCCTAGCAAAGATTTGGGAGCAGTTGTACTTCCTTGCTAGGTAAGACCTAGCACAGTTTGGCTCTGGATGGCTTTGGTCAAATAGTGAAGCATGAAATAGTGGCTCATCCATGAGGGATATTTGTACTTGCTCCAGTGCTTCTAGTAGAAGAATGAGCATTCATGACTGTTCAAGTTCCTGATAGCTGAAGGAGCAAGCAAATAATGGATCTAGCAGAAGAATGTAAAAGACAGGGTACAATGAACATTTCTGTACCTGTGGGATAACCTCACAGATTGGCCTATTGGCTTTTCAAGGCCTATATTTGTGTGGTTGGAGAATCCAGACAAGTACTAAGGCTAGAAGGGTTGTGTWCAGTGCCCTCCCCATTGTCAGGAGACGTCTGTATTCCTAGACTGTCAATCTGATGGCAYAGGTTTATGGAAAGATGTATGTGCATCTGTATTGTATTAAGGTGAGAGACAGAGAAAGATGAAATAGGAAGAAGCTGGTGTGCATCTGTTCGTCAAGCATATGCCAAAGGTTCACTTTTGGGAAAGCCAAAGGGAGTTTTTTTAGGAGAGGAGGGAGCAAAGCTCCCCTGTGGAGTATTACTTGAGGGGCAGTAAAGCTGAATGCCCTTTAGTGAATAAATGGGCAACAGCATAGCTTGGGCAAACAGCCCACACTTATGAGCTAGGAAAGACTAATGATTGCCATTTTTGCTTACTCTGTTTCCACAGATTCACACTAGTACTGCTACATCAGTGTCTATGACTTGCTTTCAACAGCCAAGCCAGAATGTGACTTATGTTTATGCACTTCATCTTTTCTAATTAATGTGTCTGAAGCCATAACCTGAAGAGATCTCTGGGAGCATTTAATCTGAACAGATTTTTGAAATATTCCAAATGGTCCTGATAAATAATAGTGGCTTGTCTCTCAGAGCATGTTGACAGGCCCGTGTCAAGACTGAACTGGCCTCAGTAGGAAGAGTTGGTCTATATGTAGAAAGYTTCTTAGAAAGTTGTGGGCTTTTTTCTTTTTAAAGTCTTCTCGAAGGACAGTTAGCTTCTGACGTACTGGTGAGACTAGGTCAGCTTTCAAGGACTTCTTACCAAGGGCTTCTCTGTTTGGGAGTGCTGTTTACTTTCACTTGGCAACAGAAAAAAAAAATGCTTGCAAGCTATAAACTTGGTCATCAGCATGTCTATTCTGGGCATTCGCTGCTCTTGGGGCATGGCTGTAGCTTATCTGGCACCAAGTATCTGTGCTTTTCCCCCCAAAGGGAAGATGATATCCACCCTAGTATCACAAATTTTCAACCTCCTATGGGGAGAGGGAAATCCCAATTCATATGTTCGAAAGAAGAAATGGAGTTGGCAGTGTGTGTTGTGAGGGATAAGAAGCTTATGATGGTTGGGAGGTGCCAGCTTGGCATGACCCAGCCTGTTTGCCTTGGGTAACCTCTTTGGCATGGCTTGATGGGGAGCAGGGACACCAGCAGGAGGCACTTTCCAGACTTGTTTTTTTGTAATAATTTAACAATACCTGGCAGAGGGAAAAGATGGAATTGAGGGATATCTCTASCTCTGTTTTTAGTACCCTGTTGTTATAGGGCACAAAGATGTCTGTCTTTAGGAGTATCACAGGTCAGTATCTGCAAAGGTTTTTATTTCATTTTATTTCATTTCAAAATAAATTTAAAGATTGATCTGCTCAGGCTTTTACTTTTTCACACATARCAAGAAGTCAAACAGTTTACAGGACAGTGTTAAAGGATATGTAAAGAATGTGGATGTGTAAAAAAAAAAAAAATCAGAATATAGCATCCAGGGGCTTTCTGTAACCATGCTATAAATCTTAAAATGGTAGTTAGTGTGGAAAGTGGTGTTATTAAACACTGTTTAATATTTGCAGTAATTATTTTTTATCCATAACTATATTTTTATCTATTAGAAAATCCTGAATCTGCCTAATACAGACTTCTAGCATTTCTGTATTTAATCTAGACTAAACCACTACCTACAGATTGTTTAACAGTTGATGCATTAATGCGGATAAGTATCCACACAGGGATTTCTCTGTGTCATTTAGGGCTCCCAGGCTTTGATTGGAGCAGGATTGGAAGCATCAGAAAAGACTGAGGAAAAGTTGGTTGTTTGCTAGTTTTAAAACTGTTACAATTCAGTTGCATTACCCAGATAAAATTTCCAGGCAGTATACACACAGCTATGGTAAAGATTTGTAGTGCTGCTTGTCTGTGTTGTCTGTTCTATTCCTTTAATCAAAAAAGAGCCCCTAGTGTGTATTTTTTTGCCAAAACATAATAATTCAATTGTAAGAACTACAAGATTATCTTGAGGATAGTTGGATAACTTGAATAATTTAATAATAGTCTGTAAAGTGATGRAAGAAAGAATTGTATTTAATATATGTTGTGCTTTTGCTGGTTTAAAAAATCAAAACTCTCCTCTTTACAGGAATATGAAGCTTTGACCAAGAAACCATCTTGCCATCCTGATGTTTGGGTGAACCTTGCCTGTACTTACTTTTTCCTAGGRATGTATACACAGGCTGAACAAGCAGCCTTGAAAGGTGAGATGCATGGCTTGGATTGATGTAAAGGATGGTTTGTTGATTTGAATGCTTAAAGTGATTTTCAGAGAAAGAATTTGATGTTTTGGAGAAGAATGAAGTACACTTGTGATCAAATGCCTTTTACATTTAACAGGAGAGCTATGATGTTGTTTGATTGCTAAAAAAAAAAAAGACATGGGCAGGTGGAACAGTTACAGTTGGAACTGAAAGAGACATCTGGAAAATGAATTCTGTTACTAAATTCTAAACATAAAACCCAGCATATGCTGACCACCAGCAAAAGTTCACTGCTCTTTTGACTGATTCCATGTCTCTGAGCCAGTGCAGATGATGATAATTAGGATAGCGAAATTAYCAGAGAAAAAAAAAGCATATGAGGGAGTTTAGCATTCTCTCTGATGTGGACAAGAACTCCATGTCCTTAGTTTGGGTGACTTGATAGGTGGTCTTGGTGCCTTGTAAGACAGATATTAGACATTTAATTCTTCAAGGCATGGAGTTCACTGAGGTCACGTCCTTATTATAGTTCTACTTCAATATGAATATGCATGGGATCATTTAAGAGAAGAAGAATGGAAATTAGATTCTAAGGCCGTTTTTATTGCCTAACAATGGCTCTAGTGTTTATTTTTGTTACCCATCACTTTCCATTTATCATAGTCATTTATACATTTTTCCATCACTGTAGTATCTCAGTGATTTCTAAGTAAAATTAGTAACAATGAAGTTCTCAGCCAACTCTGAATCTTGCCTTTTCAGGATAAAGCTCTTCTTAAAGTATGGGCTTTCTCTTTTGTTTCTGTTACTTTAGTTTTGTAGATCTTGGGTAGTTTTGTAGTTGTCTTGATCATAGGGTAGGAAGTAAAAGATTGTGTAGTCCTCTGGTGCTGTGTAGAGGAGCTTCTTCAAAGAGGATGGTTTTGAAGTAGCTTCCTTCTCCTTCCCCTTCCTTTTCCCCTTCCCCTTCCCAATTATGGCCTGGAATCTTTTTAAAATGCTCTGAAAGTTCATTCTGAGCTTGATTCCCCCAACTGAAAATCTTTTCTTTCCAAACATTTTTATCCATTTTGTTCAAGAGATGTGTACATTTCTAATATCCACAGGTATCAATTTAATCTTTAGAGCAAGATGTTTGAGCTTGGAGATTGCTATCTRGGGCTTGAAGTGAGGTCTAAAAATAATTGGCAATAGAACGTGAGGTGTCTCTGTGACCTGTGCCTTGGAGGAAGCAAGTGGCTATATCATGTAGCAGTTGGAGGTTGCTTATTGGCATCAGCTTCAGATGGCCTGCATTACAGTAATCCATTCTGGAGATGACAGATTCACGGTTGTGCTTGCATCTTTATTAGCTATGAACTGAGGGAAGGTTAATTTTCCCTGCCATCTCAGATCCGTTTGTAGTAGCCTGGCAAGTGGCAGAGTAGGGGTCAAATTAGTGGTGCTTGGACTCCATATTAGAAAAAGGAGATGGGGAGTGTAGCCAGGGATAGAAACAGGGAGCAGCTGAGTGAKCACATTGGTGGTATCCTGATTTTACTTATGTTTTTAAGCAGAGCAGCATGTCAGTTTTTATAGCAATAAGGTGCTAAACCTTTCTACAGTGCTCTTGTGATTACTGTGTTTCCTGCCACCACATAGTGGAGACAAAGCAGGCACCGCTGAAGCTTTACACCACTTTGGAGCCTTCAGGGAAGAATGGACAAGTATTACATATTCTTTCATATTCCTCTTTCACCTCATATCACTTCTGTCTTGTCTAAATTGAGGCTGAACCCTTCTTTTTTCAGTTGAGATGTATCCTAATATACCTTTTTTAACATTTTAGTATTGCATCCTTAACATATTCTTAACATGTTATTAACAGCTGAGGCCTTGACATCTTATAATTTCTTTCATGGCATTGCAAAGACATTGGTGAAATAACATATTTCTTTGAATAGTAAAGCCGTAAGAGCACCATTTATCCAGTGCTACCTTGAAAACTACTGGAAAAAAACAAAAGATAGCTGATGTTGGACTAATTATGATTGCTATTTTAGGGTTATTTTGCCTGAACTCTTATATACTCTTTGATAATTATTACTTATTGTTGCACCTGTCTGAGTAAGACCAGGAAAATAGCACAGTACTAACACAAACAACAGAAAAGTAATTTGTTTTCACCCATAATTCTAAATTTATACTGTGCTGGAATCTCTATATGAAAGGAAACATAATGTCAGCTAACTTTATGGAATTGCTTTTCTACACAAAATTTAAATATCCTGGAAGCAAATTAAAGGTCTTTCTTATCATATGCCTTTGCTATTGCTTGCGAACATTTTATTATTATTTGAGAAAAAATATGAAGGATATTTAAAAATTAGGAAATAAGAGTTAAAGGCYGTGAAATAATTACTGTATTTCATTCAAGATCTGTAATCTCTTCTGGAGCAATGCCATATGGTTTTGTTTGTTTGTTTTGTGGTAGATGTATTCTCCTAGATTGTCATTACTGTCATTACAGTTRAAACTTAACAGTACATCCTCTTGGGAAAGAATAAATCTGTACGCCAAAAAATTATACTTACCAGAGTTGTTGCAAATATATCCTAAAAAGAGAAGCTGAAAGATGGTAGAGACTTTCAAAAGTCTTTCTTTGAAGGTTGTTCACTTGTGCTTTATTTCCTGTAGGCTTTCTTCCAAATTCCTTTCAGACTTTACTGACTTCTGCTTTTTCTCTGCTGTGCCCTTATATTGTAGTTATTAATGTTCCTGCACCTAAGATGAAGATAGAGTTACTTTCAAGTCAACCACTTTGTTTCACAGTCATCCCACAGCACAGCTGCCGAGTGATGCTTTGTTTATTCTTTTTGCATTTGTGCTCTAATACAAGGACTGAACATAAAATTCGTACAACATGGGCTAGGCCATTAGCCTTGAGAAAATGAGACTGCGAATCTTGATCATGGCTTAATAAAGAAAAACCTAAGCCTGAAAAAAATATAAAAACAAATGGCCTTGTGTTGCATTCACAGCTCCTGTGTCTTCAAAAAACAAAGAGCAGGGACCTGAAACTCAGTCTAGAACATTTGCAGAGATCCTGGCGACTAATCCTAGTGTTGAAACGTCGTGCTCTCAGAAGCCTTTGGCTAGCACTGTGTTAAGARGGAAACAAGAGCTAGCAGTGTCTCTCAAACCACAAAGTATTTGCCAATAGATAGGATTTGCACATAAATGGGACTGCAGTTAAATCTGATCTGAAAACATTTTTTCAGGATAAATATCAAATTTTACAAACTTTAAGATTCATGCACTGACAGGACTGGGGAGCTGAACCAGGCAAGAGAGATTTTTTTTTTTTTTGCAATTACTCTGCTTTTTTCACAACACTGTGTGTGTCAGCTCAGAATGTGGTTTAACTGAAGAGAGATATTTCTCATTAACTGTCTACCCTGGAAGGAGAAATATTGCACAAAAGCAGAACAGAGATGAATTAGTAAGAACAATGGCATTTTCCAAATGAGTTTCRTTTATGCCGGCACTAATGTTTGCCAGGTGTCAGATAATTGTCAGCAGTGAAAATGTGCAGTTATGAGAGGGCAAGGAGGAGTTGCTGTGGTTTTTTGCATGTTCACCTATATGCAAAATTATCTGCTTCCTACTTCTATTGTAGTTCTTAAGAAAAGCAGCTCATTATCCTGCATTTCTAGCTGATTTGAGAATAGCAGTTTTATATCTAGAACTTTAAAAGTGAAAATACCAGTTTATGCATATTTAAACTTCAAAACCTACTTACCTTATATTCTTTTTTTTTTTTTTCTTTTTGAGACACAGTGGAAACTATAAAACGGGANTTTTTGAGACACAGTGGAAACTATAAAACGGGAATAATTGTCAGTTTTTGTTTCAGTCATCTTCACGTTACTCTGCTTAGGCATGACTGATGAAATTTGTTTATGTTCCAAGTAACTGGAAATAGTTGAACTGATTTTTAATTTTGAGAGAGACCAAAAGTATTTTGAGAGAAGGAAAATTTCAGTTAATTTCCTCAGTAAATTTCACATGAGAAAATTTTGAACTCTCTGCAAATGTGAACCTCACTGTTGGACCATGGCTTTTTTCAAGCATTTTTCTCCCGTGCTTTTCGTCTCACCTCCACCAGTGAGGCTGTGGCTCTCCTCTTCAGGTGAGCAAAATGTTGTGGCCCAAGGGCAGGAGTTTCCTCTACTCATACTTGCAGTGGTGTCTGCAGGAGCTCCCTTAGGGCCACATCTGCCTTACATGATTTGCTAGATGGGATTTATTAGTGCTGGACACCAGACCTGCATTGCCTTGTAGAGTTATGAGAGGTTACAAATGCCAGAATGCCTCTGTCCTTTTATCACCTTACTGCCTTTGGCAACACCCTGGAACCCACCAAGAATATAGGCTGCTGCTTCCTCAACTAAAACTTTTTGTTTGAAATCTAGTAAAAATAAGTATCTTCACTCTTTTCTTGTATCTTCTTATTATATTTTGACAAATCCTTCCTTGAGTCACTATCCATTTAGAGTCAGCACATAAAATKACATCGGACAAGGCTTTTAAGATCAGTGTCAAGTGTAATGACTTCAGTGTCTGCAACACGAGCTCCGGTCATGACAGCAGTTCTATCATAGGAATATGAGTGTGTTTCCTAGCCAGAGGTGCACAGACCCTGTCCAGCTACCTCAGAGACATGTTCAACATGAGGCCAATACTCATCACTGGAGCAGGGCCCAACTTATTGCAGCCACATTGTCATTATGCTTATTAGAAACTCTAGATCACTTAACAGTGCTTTTTTTTTWRAAAAAAAGGTCATCTTCCTGAAGAAGCAGGAATAGGGTTGTGCTTCCTTGTGGCATCAGCAGTTAGATCAGTGACAATGAAATTTGCTAGCAGCAGAGTCATAAAAGAATAATCCTGGTGTCCTTCAAAAGAGTCATTCTCTAAAGAGGAGGCAATTGTATGACTTCCTTCTCCAGTGATTGACATCAGCTTTATCCAATAATTGTAACCTGATTTGTCCTGGACATTAATCTAATTTAGTCCATATGTTTCCTTGTCTTCTTCCAAAAATATATTTGGCAATGGGAGACGAGATRCTGAATGTTTCCATGACTCTGCTTTATTATATCAACAGGACTACTTTTTTTGGTTATTGCCTTCCACTTTCCTGGCTGGCATTAAATAAAAGTGTCTCATTTTAAAGAATATCAACGTGGATTGTATGATGTAATCTGTTATGAAGCAGGATTATTTTTTCCTTCTCCAAATATCCAACTTACTACATCAGAACTCGAATTTCATCTTTTGCCTTCTTTAAGTATAGGACAGCATGAACTAGCACTGGTTCTTGCCAAGAAGTAAAATAATAATTCAGATGTTGGATCAGATGCCAGATTTAAGAGGGCAGCACTATAGTCTTTGGTTGAGCAGCAAAACAAACAAGTCATTTTAGATTCTTGAGGGATTATTCCCTGCAAATGACTTACACTCATGCTAAAAACCTACACTGGTGTGTTTGCTCACTGTACTGTGGTTGTACATATGTTATTTTAGTGTAAATCCCACAGTCTGTCCTGCTTGTATTTTTGGAGTCTTTGATGACCGGTTGTTTTGAATTGCGAACGGGAGTTGTGGTCAGCTTGTCTTGCACAAAAGCATATACATATGGGATCCGTGCAACCCTTCTAGGGTTTGATACAGTTAATGCTCAGCATTACTCTGGTGAGCGTTGATGATGACGTTTTTAGGAACTTGCATTTAAATTAATGCACTCTGGAACTTTGAAACTCAGTGAACKAAATCATTTATAGAATATATTAGCTTTTTTTTGCTAGTGACTAGTGATCCTTACAGATCCTTACTAGATCAATAAACGTTTATTAGTTTAATAATAATAAACTATCTTTAATACTTTGCCTAACGAGATTCTCCAAAACATTCTGTGTTGGAGAATGTTTTTTGAAACAACTTGACCCTCAGCTCGCAATACTTTGCAAGGTGTTTTATTTTGTGAGAATTCTCTCCTGMTGCCTTTTCTTCTTGGGACCCCTCTTTTACTGGCAGTTCTTTAAAGCGATGATTCACTGTCCCCTTTTTCTAGAGTAGTTGGTGAGGAGGGACATGTTTAAATAACACCGCTTAAGAAGGGAGAGAGGAAAGAAATAATTGCTGGGCCTAAGAAGAAGCTAGATAGCTTTGTGCTGCCAACCTGGCAGGAATGGCCTGGAGTTTGGCATTGTTCACTGTGTCCCAAAGTTCCCTCGTTATATGGCGAACAAGCAAGAGCTCTGCAAATATCTCCCTAAATTGCTTTTGCAAAATACAAATTCTTACTAGAAAATTCTATCTTTGGGGGAGGGGAAAAAAAAAAAAAGGAGTTTTAGTGGCTTCAGCCTCTTTCATGGTTTAGGATGTCAGAAGAATTATAGCCTTGTGTTACAAGCCATTGCTTTGCTAACTCTGCACTTTTGTGGCCTCGCAAACACAGTGAATAATTCTGCTTTTTGGTAAAGATTCCATATAAATCCTTTCTGTGGCACGCAGATTGCCAGCTGTTGGTCTGAGCAGGAATGAGAGTGCTCATCATCGGAGTAGGCTGAAGCAAATACAGGAAACAAGGGAAGGCTTTTGGGAGGATTGCTCACAAAAGAAATTAATAGCTCTGCTGGACAGGGCTCTTTGTCAGTCTCCATGAAGCACAGGACGTTCTCTGGTGGCTGCAGTTAACACGTGGTGTCATACGGAGTGTATTAAATGGTATTCCTAATTTTGCTAGAGCAAGAAATTTGGTGATCTTAGTGGCTCCGGAGAGAAGATATGTCCCTTAAACCTCTCTCCATTTGTTAGTTTGAACCCTGCCTGCTCTTAGTGCAGTATTGGCTCGATGGCAGGGTGCAGAGAGTGGCAGTCAGTGGCGCGGAGTCCAGTTGGAGACCTGTACTTAGTGGTGTCCCCCAGGKGTCTGTCCTCGGTCCGGTCCTGTTCAACTTATTCATCAACAACCTGGATGAAGGGCTGGAGTGCTCCCTCAGCAAGTTTGCTGATGATACCAAACTGGGAGGAGTAGCTGGTAGTCCTGAGGGCTGTGCTGCCATCCAGAGGGACCTGGACAGACTGGACAACTGGGCGGTGAGAAACCTCATGACGTTCAACAAGGGCAAGTGCAGGGTCCTGTACTTGGGGAGGAATAAACCCGGACACCAGGACAGATTAGGGGTGAACCTGCTGGAGAGCAGCCCCACAGAGAGCGACCTCGGTGTCGTGATGGATGACAAGATGACCATGAGRCAGYAGKGTGCCCTGGTGGCCAAGAAGGCMAATGGGATCCTGGGGTGCATTAAGAAGAGCATCTCCAGCAGGTCAAGAGAGGTGATTGTCCCCCTATGCACAGCCCTGGTGAGGCCACATCTGGAGACTGTGTCCAGTTCTGGGCTCCCCAGTACAAGAGGGATGTGGAGCTGCTGGAGAGAGYCCAGCGCAGGGCTACGAGGATGATCAGGGGCCTGGAACATCTGCCCTATGAGCAAAGGCTGAGGGAGCTGGGCCTSTTCAGCCTGGAGAARAGRAGGCTGAGGGGGGACCTGATCAGTGTCTATAAATACCTCAAGGGAGGCAGTGAGGAGAATGGAGTGGCCTCTTTTCAGTGGTTGCCACTGATAGATCTAGAGGAAATGGCCACAAGCTGAGGCACCAAAAGTTCCACAGGAACTTAAGGAAACATTTCTTGACAGTGAGGGTGACGGAGTCCTGGAACGGGCTGCCCAGAGAGGTTGWGGAGTCTYCTTCTTTGGAGATCTTTAAAACYCGCTTGGATGCAGCCCTGTGCCCCGTGCTCTAGATGACCCTGCGTGAGCAGGGGGTTTGGACTAGATGACCTCTGAGGTCCCTTCCAACCTTAAGCATTCTGTGATYCTGTGATTCTTTTGTTTTGTTTGTTCCTAAGGTCAGAAGAATTGGGACACTGGACAATGACAATTGGACACTGAAAGCTGACAAGACTCCTAGAATAGTTTATGCACAATTTACTTCAAATATACTTTATACACAATTTACTTCAAATATACTTTACAATTGCACATTGTAGAAGGAGTCTTTATAATGGATGTAACTGTTGCTGCATTTTATTTTGTAAGAGACGCTTTTCTGTGTGTCACTTGTGCAAAGTCATGGAATTACCCAGGAGGAATTACTCTGCATTACCCTGCAGAGAAATAATAGTACAGTTCATCAAACTTTTAAAGCTCATAGAAGGAGAGAACGATGACAAATTGTGTTCCACRGAGGTTTCAGAAGAAATGGCAGCAAATGAAGATGGGAAGCAGGAAAGTTTTTCAACCACTATGAAATTGGCAGAACGTGCCCCAGGGCATGAGCTGCACATGCCATTACAGTGAAGAAGTGTAACTTGGGCTAGTTAAGGAGAGAACATGTGTGTATGTGTGTCTGCTGGGAAGGGGAGTTAAAACTGAAATGTTCTTTGTGTCTATACTTACTCATTTTCCTTTCAGCACCTAAGAGTCGGCTCCAGAACCGTTTACTCTTTCACCTGGCCCATAAGGTATGATGTCTCATCATTGCTTGCACTTTGTTATATTTGTTTTTCATTCTAGTGGGGTGTAATTTATGCTGGCAACCTGGCAGAACAGTTAAAATGTCTGTGGTGGTGGGAGAACRAACATTTTCCCCACGTACCCTACTCCATTAAAATGTGGAGGAGAAAGTGTGAAAAGAGGATCTCAGAATAGATGACCTCAGCATGTGTCTAAGGCAAATTTTACCTGCTGATTTCACATAAGTTATACAGCAGAAGCCTGACGGTATTTTTGGTTTCAAGGAACCTAGGACTTGAATAGCAGCAGAAATGCAGACACCATTATTTTCACTTTCCTTCTGAACTATACCAAGTTTTCCTACCTCAAAGCTATGTAATTCTCAGCAATTGAGCAAAAAGATCAATATGCTGTTACTGACCTGCCTGTTATTCAGTGCCCAGGATATAATGCTGTTTACCGGTTGAGATTTACTTTAATTTCAACAGCAATTAAGACTATTCACTATAGCATGTAACTATTTTCCTTTTAATTTGCTTTTGTTCCATCCTAAGGTATACCTTATAAATGTTGTGCTCCTGCATATATTGTGTGTTGAGTAAAAGAAAGWATTGATCCTGGATGTTTGCCTTGGTGTCATATGCTATTTACTTAAATTGCTGTAAATTTAAGAGAATGATGTTCAAATGCTTTTGTTGTGGCACTGTCACTTAGAGATGGCCACGATATAGAAAAGTTGAATGGTCCCTGCTTGATGTAGTCAGCCTTTGGACTAATATATAACTAATACAAAGCTTCCTGTACAGAGTTCTGTTTAGCAGCTTCTCTTGCCTTTGTATTGGAGTTTCATTGTGTGGCTAGCTCAATGAGGGAGGAAAAGGGTTTTAGAAAAATGGCAGGTAGGTATTTCAGATAAAGAACAAATGTGTAAGAGGGAATTTGCATGCAAGAGGAAAAATTTGTAATGTCTGTTGCTGATACCAGCAAAAACAGCAAGAGAAGCTGGGKTTTTTTTAGGTAAACTGATTAGGTGAATCAGTTTTTGACTTTACTATTGTAATGCAAATATTAAATGATTATTTAACTCTGTTCCCTGCTTTTACCATTTCTTTGTTATGCACTGTACTGTGTTTTTAAAAATAAGCTCCTTAATTAAGGAAACTGAAATTTTAAAGGACTGATGAAAGAACATTTGTTGTTGCTCTGAAGAGATTTGATGAGAATGAGTTTGTTGTCTTGGCAAGACTTACATCTTTCTGTTGTCCCTAGGAAGTAAGATTTTGATGTGCAAATCAAAATTTCTTTTGGCTCAAATAGTAACATTCAGATGTTGTCTTTCCAAATTCTGTATGTGAAATGTGTAATTCAACCTTATCCATCAAGGCATGTGACATATAATTATGTCTAGATCACACCTTAAAGAAAAGCATGTACTTAGTTTTAGCCTCAGATTTATCCAGTTTCAACTGGTCTGCYTTTTTTATTTTGGGCTTTCTCCATTGGTCAAATTGACTTGAAAGAGTTTTTCCAGATGTTCAATATGAATCACCTGCTGCTTGCCAGCAAGAACAAAACTAACCCAACTAATTAACTCGCAATGTTTTTCTCACTGAACTCTCTCGAGACTGTTACCCTTTATGTTTCAGTTCAGCGATGAGAAGAAGCTGATGAGCTTTCACCAGAACCTGCAAGACGTCACGGAAGATCAGCTTAGCCTGGCGTCTATCCACTACATGCGGTCCCATTACCAAGAAGCTATCGACATCTATAAACGCATCCTCCTCGATAATCGGTGGGCATCTCCGCTCGGGTCTTTGGAGTCCATTTGGCATCTCCACTCTGGGGTTTGCTAGTGTTTGGAGTCCATTTAATCACTTATTTTCTGAAAATAGGTATTTTTTTCAGTTACTATGGCCCTTTCACCACGAACTATGAACAAGTTGCATCCCCTCAAATCTGTGTATTGAAAATCATTATTGAAAAATACATAYTTAAAGGGTTCTCGTTGCTTTTTTTAGTGCTATTTTCTTCTAATCCATTCATAGATCTTTCTTTCTTTCTGGAATTATATAAATTGAATATCTGTTTTGTTGTGCTGGCCTGGAAAGCTCGTGATTATTGGCTTTTCTTTCACTTTCAGCCTTCTAAGAGTTCAGGTTTAGTTTTTATGTAGAGATATATGTGTTCCTTTAGGTTTGAGATTCTTTGTTTCTATTTATTCTGCTGCAACAGTTTCTGAGGGTTTCTTTTTTTGTCATATTCTGCAACTTTTAAATTCAGAATTTAACGAGAAAGGAAACTAATTCTTAAGTRTCTGAAAATATTCATTTTAAGCAATAAAAGATGTCATGGTGTCCATTCCATGCCTTCTCCTTCCACTTCTACACCTTTGAACAATTTTGCCTTTTAGAATCCTGCCTCTACCTCCCTTTTACAGCTCTGCCGACCTATGAGCAGGAGTCAAAGAATAGTTTGGCAAAACAGAAACTGCCACTCTACAGTACAAAATTGTATTTTGACAGTTTTTCCTCCTGAATGCTGCAGAGAAAGCTAAAACTCCCTCATAATGCATACTAGTATGTGACTTAATGCTCAGGGAAGATGCTTGAACTGCCAAATCCTGTAGAGACCATCACTCAATGTTAAATTAGTAACCTTCATAATAATTATCCTTTTGCTTAGTTGCCACAAATGTCTACCTTATTTCTCTATCTAGTTCTTCTGGCTTCAGAGCTTGTAATGGCAAGTTTTTGAAGCAATTGCACTTGACATGGAGTTAATAATAGCCATTAAAAATATTTGTGAAGTTTTATGTGTTTTTTGGATGTATTTTTTCATGTTACATAGAAAATCCTTCACTGTTAGGCCAAATATAGAGTTTCTTGTGTTCATTTCTTAGTATGAAGTTGCCACTGTTTCTCAAATTTGCAAACCCACAGGTCTGTAGATAGTTTTTTTTAAATTGTGGTAGCTGCTGTTAGTAATAAAATTTATATATATATATTTATATTATATATATATCACACTGTAGCTGATTCTATGCAATTTATCTAGCAGAATCTAGGACTGTAGTTACCCAGTAAGCATTTCTCAGAATTCCCCAATTTTGATGGGCTTGTAGAAGATGCATAGACATGTGAGGGCTTTGTTACTGACTTTTATGTTCTGTCGTGTAACTATCTTGTGATATTTAAATGCTCCCTTTACCTCTTTCCTCACTCCTGCAGGGAATACCTGGCTCTGAACGTGTATGTGGCCCTGTGCTATTACAAGCTGGATTACTACGACGTATCCCAGGAGGTGCTCGCCGTTTACCTCCAGCAAGTCCCTGACAGCACCATTGCTCTTAACCTGAAGGCTTGTAACCATTTCCGCCTTTACAATGGGAAGGCTGCCGAGGTATCTGCTGGAAAGCTCTTCACTTCTGCTTGTTTTAGTTCACAAACCCATACAGGTTTCTTTTGCTTGTTATCTGTCGTGATCTCTGATGTTGGTAACGGCCTTTTGCCATGTCACTGTGTCCTTCTTTTAGGAATGTGCCCTACTTCATAGTCTCCCTTGTATTGAGAGCTGCGGTGGGTGGGTGTCCCTGTCCATCTCCGTGTGGGCGTGTGGGTCTGACTGTTTCCCTGCTGTGCTTTTGACCTTGTGTCCATATGTATTATGCAACTGCAAAAAATCATATTCAACTGGAAAGGCACTGCTCTTCCTGTAACCGAGTTTATCTGTGTTCTGTCAGCTTAAGTAGTAATATGAACCTGCTGTATCTTGTGTGCTTTTCTGTTTCCTTGTTAAGCTTTTTGAATGTATATAATTCCAGGCAGAACTCAAGAGCTTGACAGATAGTGCCTCATCTTCTTTTGAGTTTGCCAAGGAGCTTATTAAGCACAATCTGGTGAGTAATGTATTTCTCTAAATTTAATATAGACTGTACTCATTTGTAAAACATTTCTTGATGACACAGGAAGTAAAGTATTTTGGAAACTGGAGACCTCTGAATCTCTGGTGCYGTGTGAGACCCATTCCAGAAATCAGTGTTTTATCAAGTGCATCTTCTTCCCGGCCCATCATTTTTCCCTGACAATTTGAGACTGTTATAAAAATGATAATRTTGGGTTTATCCTCAAGGGCATATGATTTTAATCTCCTGTGGCAATAACCCTTCCACGATGCTTTGCCCAACCTGGTTCATACTGAGACTGCAGAGTAAGTCGGGGTGCGTAACCATGAGGTGTGTTGTTCAATCAGACTAAGATGTCAGTGGCATTAAGACAACACAGTAAAATAGTTTCTATCCAAATGTACTTGACAAGGATGTTTGTAGGGAAAAGTGTGTTTTCCCTACAAGCCAAAAAGTGTGTGTTTTGATGTAAAAGACTCATTGATTAACTGCTGATGCTCCCTCCAATTCTATTACTATTATTTTGCTCAATAACTGATAATAGTAGATTGTTGTTGTTTAATGAAGGACAGCTGCTTGCTTTGTCGTTATTCAGGAACAGTCACAAAACTTGGCACAGGTTTTTTTTCCAACAGGTAAAACTGTTTCCAGAGTGGGCTTTCCTAAATTAACATTCTTGGGTTTCATTGTTGGCCTTTTTTGTCAATAGTTGGATCAGTATGTTGGATGTTGCCAGGAGATGTCACTGGATGTGAACTGATGTATAAAGTATTGATTACTACTGGTCATTTTGGAATTCTAAACCACCCAGCCTGAATTTTCACATAAATACATCTCAAACTATTTTTTAATCTGTTTTCCCCGTGTTTTGGTTGTGTTTAATGCCATATATTGCTTTGAGCTGCTAAAAGCTTTTCCTGATTGATTAAATAGTTGGTGTACTTCAGGATAAAGATTRTCATGTGTTGCAATTTTTTATAAAATTATATGAAAGCAGGAATGACACCAATGCCAATTCCTTTGACTGTTAGTATAAGAATTTAATTGAGTTAAAACATCGAGATTTTGTTATGCTGTTATCAATAATCTGCTTTCCTCTGCAGGTTGTCTTCCGAGGAGGAGAAGGGGCTTTGCAGGTCCTGCCTCCTCTGGTTGATGTTATTCCTGAGGCCAGACTAAATCTTGTCATTTACTATCTCCGACAAGGTGAGTACATCTTCCTCTGGGTCTTTTATAGATGCAAGGGTAGTATCTATGCAGCTAATCTCAGATGATCACTCCAGCTGATCACTCAGACTTCCTTTCTTTTTCCTTTACAGTAATCTGTACTTAATTCCCTTTCTGTAGAAAACAGTGATGTAAGACTTCCCACGACTTGCAGAGAAGCAGCATAATTGTATGCAGTTAAATAAATTACTTTAGCAGACAACTGCAGGTTCTTGGGTTTAGAGGGGAAGAATTATTTTTGTTTTAGTCCGTGAGAATAATAGGTATGTATCCTACCAAGGCAATGACCACTATTTTTATTAATATGGTGCAGACAGAATATGAGCAGAAGTGACTAGGAAAAAGCCACATTTTGTGAAGAAGACATGTCATTTCAAATCCATTTTACAGCCCTTAGACTTAGTTATTTTTTTCTGTTCTTCTCCCACTCTCTTCCTTTGTTCAACAGTGGACTGATTGGTCAAGTGATGAATAGGTGTTTAGTGCAGTCTAGTGTAAGTCTAGTAATGATAGCTTTTCCATCCCCTACTTTCTCATAAACCTTGTCACCGTTATTTGACTTGTATTRACATTTGGCCAGTCCAAAAGGCATCTACACTAAGTTGATTTGCTAAGCAGACTGTACTGACAAATCTTTCTTGAATTAGGTAACATTTAAGATCTTTTCAGTCATTTTTTCTTTGGGTGAGATAACATATGTTCAACCTTAAAGTAACTGCTGTACTTGTAGTGCTTTTTGCTTGATAGAATTAGGATAAGAACTGGTGGACAGATGCTGAAATATTGATAAAGGAAACGGTAAAGTTTCCGTTCGGAATTATCTTCCCTTATCCACCTCCATGGGTAAATAAATGTGAGCAGAGGAAAGAGGAAGATGAAGGTTTTATTATCTTGACCTTGTACTGCTGGGAAGGCAGCCACTGCATTATGAACAAGGAGCCAAGTCATCACAGCAAGAAAATTGTAGTAATAAAGAAGCTATTACTCACTCCATGTTTGTTATTTGAGTTTTAGAAAACTATCACCATTGTGATATAAATTCACAGTGATTTATAGCTCCCTTTTTCCTCCTGTCTAAATGCTTTATCTTTTGTCTGTGACTATCAAGGAATGTTGTAGAAGATGAGTGGTTTGTTCTAATACAGTGTGCTGAGGTTTGTTGTGCATTCTAACGTCTGGTTTTTCAGATGATGTGCAGGAGGCTTATAACCTGATTAAGGACCTGGAACCTACAACTCCACAGGTAATTGAAAACTTATGTCATAGTACATAAAGAGAGAGGTCATAAATTGGTGTGAAAACTGCCACATGCAAAACTGGCATCCTGAAGACTGCTTGTCACATTCCCACCCTTAATAATCTGGTGTTTACCATCATTTTTTTCAATAAACATAATGTGCTTGCATAAAATATTATCATATGTGCATATTTAAATACTTAGAAGGTTATTGCTCTACCACATGGGATCAACTAAGATCACAGCTCTCTTATGTGCGAATTTCTTTCTAAGGAGCTGATCATTAGTGTATAGATACAAGCCTTCTTCCACCTGCCGCTGCTTCTCACCTCTGCCTTAGTAGGAGTTACCAACCCTCTGGACAGGCAGCACAGATGCCTGCATGGTTTCTCCTGAAGCTATTAAAAAAAAGAGCTAGGTTAGATTAAACAGTTTCAGTAATAACTCTTGGCTAATCCTGTCTCACTTTGGCTGAAATGAGTGAAAACTAATGTCTATTGACTCCTGTTCTGACATGATTTGTTCCTCTTTGCAGTTTATTTTCCAAAGGTCACATAACTGGGCATGAAAGGGACCTTTCATGAGTCTGTGTGAGGATTAGATGGAGGGAATGGAAAGGAGAAATTCCTCGAGAACACATCTGGTGATTCTGTGYTGAGGGGTGCCTTCTCTTGCTTTGCTTTTTACTTCTCCTTTCACTTTTCAATGTGGCAATGATTATTTGAACAGTTTTATGCAGTTATTGCTTCTTTAGTCTACTTTTTTTTTTCTCCTGCATTTTCTTTCCTAAATCACCCACCTTTGTACATTGTGCAGATACCATCATGATATCATTTATCATCACCCACTTGAAAAATTTTGCAGTGGGAATCCATCTGCTTTTTTTTTTTTTCTCGTCTTTTACCACACTTTGAAGGAACTCCCCATTAAGACATGCAAAATACTTGTGTGTCTTGCTTGAGTCCTTCTCAGATTTCTTTTTTGTCATAATGTCTATAAAATTTAATTCAGCATCTGGGAAAGAGTTGATATTCTAAGATGATTGCTTAGCAGCTAGGTAATCTCAGATTGTTTCCTTACACACCTTTGTTTGGTCTGTATACATTTTTTTTTTTTGTCTTTTCCTGTGTACATCTGTAACAGGGCAACCCTGGTTTGTCAGGGTTACCATAGTGTAACAGAGTTAAAGCTAGAATTCTGATTGGTAGTATTTGAACAAGATAAATGTCTGCTATATGCTGAGCAATCTTGCTCAGAGAAGAGCTGAACTGTAATTGTAACTCATAGGAGTGGAGTGCCCTGTAGTCTCTAGTACTCTTAATTTCAGTAAAATAACCCGAGCTCTTGATATTATGGCCCCAGTAAGAAACATGATGCATTCTGGAGCAAGGGTGGTAGTAATTACCCTGTGAGCATGCCTGAGGTGTGCATTAATGGAACAGGATTGCACTTGATGATTGGTCACATCATGAGATTGGTGGTGATGGCATGGCGCTGTGTTGTGGTGTTCCTTCTGGTGCATCATCTTTGAGAAAAAGGGCGCATCCAAAAGCACGTTACCCATTAACAAGATGAAATATTTTACAGAAGTGACTAGCAAACACACAGAATGAAATGTTGAAGGTCATTTTGTTCTACGCATGGTACTGAAGCACTTGCTATTGTAGTAACTATATTACCTATTAAATTAAACAGCTACCTATTAAATTGAGTTGGAATAGAGTTGGCATTAGGAAGAAAATAATGAAAATAATGTGCTGGTAGGCTCTTCTTTATGTCCTGAAATCATTATTTTGTCTTTTCTGATCCTTTAAATTATTTCATTTTTTAGGAGTACATCCTCAAGGGAGTAGTAAATGCAGCACTTGGACAAGAAATAGGCTCGGTAAGTGAGGCCTATGAAGTTCTCCCATTTCCAGCAGTAGGATGTGGATGGATTTGCAGAGGTTTTAATGGAGCTGATGGTGAAAGAGGGAGACATTTCACATTTCGATTGCAGGATCTCCAAGCCTCCTCTCTTTCCCACKGTAGTACTCAGTCCAGAGTTAACAAAATGCAGGTGCAGATCTCTCTTACTAGTCCTGAAAATTAATCAAACTGTTTTGTTGTCATCTTTTTTTTTCCCTTTTCCCCCCTAGAGAGATCATCTGAAAATTGCTCAGCAGTTCTTCCAGTTGGTGGGTGGATCAGCCAGTGAATGTGGTATGTCTGAAATGTTCTTTCTCCATATGTAATCCCTCTTTTGATATTCAAATGTACACCATCATGTCTTTATCTAACTGCTGATTCTTAGTAATGCTAGTGCTAGGCATTTTGTGAGTAACTCACAGGCTTAAAGTACAGATTCTATTATTCTATCATTACTATAAGAATTTGGCCTGAAGAGAGGCTCTGCTGCAAAACACTCGTCTTCAGTGATAATTACCGTGGCAGCTTGTCTTTGACTAATCATCCCCGTTGTAAAACCAGAAGACAACAGTCTGATTAGATGACAGTTGTGGTTAAGGCCCACTTACAGACAGGTACAAATCTGGGACCACAGATGAGAGCTTAGTGAATATGTAAAATACTGGTATGGAGAGTGCCCTGAAACTGAGGGTGAKAACACCGTAAGGAGGTATTTGACTACGGAGGGAGCAGGAGGCTTCTGGACTCATTTCTTGGTGGGATCTTGAAAACATCAGAAAAATCAATCCTAAGTCAAAAGATTAAAGGGAGTAAGCAAACTAGTACACTGGAACAAGACTCTGTCCTCCTTCCCCGAAATGAAACAAAATTCTYAAATCAAAACTCAAAATACAGAAGTTCAGCAGAAGTGGGGCTCACTAGTTTCCTTTGTGGGCGTTTGACAGTGGGTTTATTTCTGTAGGCAAGGGACTTGTATACATGGGTGATGCAGGCAGCTCATAGCCCTCAAAGACAGAATGCTGCCTCCTGTGTCCCGAGTGGCTGAAGAGAAAGAGTTCAAGAGGCAGAGGGATTCCCAGAAATATATTAGAGCCATTCTGTTCCTAGACTTGCAGCCCTTGTACTGCTGAGGTGGTAAGACAGAAAGCTTCATAGTGGAAAGCTGGAAATGATCTTGCTGATGAGTATTCCCTACCAATTCTTTTTTTTTTTTTTTTTTCATTGAGGATATCCCTTTGAAGTTGGGTTCCCACTTATCAGAATGCGGCAAAGTGACTCACTGAGCATACACCTAGCTGGGTTTGCAATGCCAGCAATGTCACAGGGTGATGATGCAGTGGCGAAAGACCTCTTGAAACCCATAAAAAATCTTACAGTTGTGATGAGTGATCATAGCACACATGAGTAACAATGATACACAAATAGAAGACACCCTGAAAAACTCTGTTGAGAGAAGATGTCTTCAAAGCAAAATGTAAATTATTTGGAAGCTAAAAACCTTACTTTTTTACTTTGAAACACTAAAAAAAAACATATGTAGTACAAGGTAGAGATGCTGAGACTTCAGAAATTGTTGAGAAAACAAATAAAGAGAAATTTAGTTTTCATAGAAAGATTTCTTTTTTAAAAATATTTGAGCCTATGCGAATGAATGGTTGCATCTAAACCTAAATGAAGTCATTAGTACTGGAAAGATTTTACACTGTTGGTGCCTCAGTGCTCCCCTGGCATCTTTTAAAGACTTGAAAGGTGACAGATACAGAAGAGAACATAATTCAAGGTAACTCCTCCTCTAAAGTCAAAATTGTATGATTTTTGTATCCTCACAGGTGGAATTCACCAAACCTTTTAGATAAGAAATAGACAAGATGGTCTCATTTAGGTAGAACAAAACCCAACAAAAATTGCAAATAAAATGTAGCAATAAAAACAAACACATGACAACCAAATATATAAATGCTTTTGTACATATAGTGGATGATTTAAAAGGAGATGAACAAATGGAACTCCTTGTTTTAGAAGAAGCTATAAATATAAAATATTAAAAAAAAAAAGACATGATAGAAGGGAGGTAATGTAGAGGATATATATTTTTTTGCATTCAGTTTGCAGCTAGGCTTTATTAAGTTGATGATGCTGGTACATAAATGGTTCTAAGCTCTATAAAAAACCTTAGCTCAAAATAAAGTAAATATGTTTTCCTTATCAGTGAGTAGCACAGGATTGTTTAAAATTACATGCTCAAATAGGAGACAGATTCTATTAAAGCTAAATTATTCACTAGCTAGCTTGAATAGTAACAGTGACTGGCATATTAAAGAGTTAAGAGGCTCTATGGAGACAGATAATAAGATAATAGAGTTCATATTGAATGGATAAGTGCAATGACATAGTGTGATGCAAAGAATGAATTTTTAAAAACTACTTTTTGTCTTAGCAAGACAAGAAAGAAAACACACAAGTAAACAGGTGATTCATGACCAATATAGATGTTACATAGAAACTAACTTGAAATATTATGCTCAAGAACCAGTTCTATTAGAGTGACCTGAATATAATCAAATTCAAAGTCCATATATGAGTAAAAACCTCACAAAATTTCTTAATTTCAGGAAGAGGAGCTATGTAAGCTTTCTCACCTGTTAAAAAAATACAGCGGAAATAGCAGTGAAAATGATAAAATGTTTGGAATTGGTTTGAGAGCTGTTTTTTTATTTGAGAGTTCTTATATTGATAAATATTTTTTACCATATTGGTAAATGGTGAGTAATGTGAGGAAAACAGTGACATGCAATAGTGCAGAATTACTCATAGTAAAACTGAAAGCTCTGGCAGCTATGAAAGCTGCAGAAGAATATAACAGGTTGGGGTCATAAGATGCAAGTGTTCATTGATAAATCTGAAGTAGTACATGGGGGAAAAAAGTGGGAAAAAAAAAGCCTTACCTGTAGTAATAAAATTATCAGAAGCGATGAGAAAATTGAATAGAATATTAGGAATTATGAAGAGACAAAGAGCAAAAGAGAAATCATCAGTGTGACGGTGTATGTATCTGTGAGTTTGAATAATGTTTGCTGTTCTGGTTCTTACATTTCCAAACAGTATGGTAAAACAAGAAAGGATACAAAAAAAAAAAAAAAAACAAGCAAAGATGACCAGAGGAAAGGGATACCCTGTTGAACAAAGAGTAATTAAATGAAGTAGGTTACATGGCCTGGAAAGGTGATGAGTGATTTTGTTTATATTAGTGATACAGAAGATGGTAAGTGACATGGAGAAGACAAATAGAGAAGAATCAGCCACTGTATGATTCAGGAACTAAGGAGCATTGAAACAGAACATCAGGCAAGATGCTTAAACGTCAGGCAGGAAGTATTTTGTCGCATAGCACACAACTCCTTTGAGGTAGAATGTTGTAGAAACTGAAAGGTATAAAGAAGTTCATAGGAGAAGAGTTTATGACACAATTTTCAGTGCTGGTTAGGAAGTCTGTCAGTGCAGATTGCTGGAAGTAGTGAGGAGCTTCAAAGGGAAGGCATTATATATCATACTATGTATTCTTATGTGTGAAATCAAAATCTGCTCTCTTTTTTTCAGCCATATATTCTTAGTAGCAGGTTTCTGAACAAGGGAGACTTTGGGGTCAATCCAGTGCAACTACTTTTATGTTCTTATGTAACTTAACATATTAATCATTATGTTGAATGATTTAATTTGCTGCCTTTATTTGCTGGATTTAGAACATAGAGGCAAATTCCAGCTGTTTTTATACCTGGGCTAAGYAGCCATCCATGCTCTGCAAGCATGGAAGCCATGATGCAGCATTTGTGCTGTGCCAGTTCTTGCAAGAGCTAACACCATTAGATTGTCTGTTCAGGGACTTTTATCAAGTTAGCCAGCTGCTTCACAGATCTATAATGGAAAAACAGATTGTGTTCATTAAAGCAAAAAAATCCTATGCTGTTTCTTATCTGGCAATTGGACCCACAAGCCTCTTGATGTTAATGTGGGTTATCAGAAGTAAACAGATTAAGATGAGAGGGTGAAAGATTTTCTCAAACCTAGTTCCTGTCTTGCTGACTTCCTTTTGCTAACTGTAGAAATCCTATGACTAGATTAAGGGAAAAGCAGCAAGAACAGTTAGTTTATGAAGAAAACGATGTCCTTTATTTGGTAAGGTCATTTGAGGTCATCAATGAAATCTTGGCTTTTTTCAATGAGAACTCTCACTGAGGGGATCAAGGAACATAGGCTGAAGAGAGTTCACGTGAAAGCACTTCCCAACATAAGTTGAAATGCCTAAATGTTTTGGAAGTCAGTATGCACTTACGAGGGGAGGGACGTCCAAAACAACAGCAAAAATGATGCACTTACAGTGTAACAGACAATGTTCACCTTATAGCTGCAAAAAATACCACCCAGAACAGCAGCTCGGTAAGAATTACTTAGTAAGAATTCTCACTCCTAAATGACTCATGAAATGATATTACAAAGAAGGACATAACTAGATTTTTACAGAGAATTCTCATGCTGTAAGTGATCTTCTTCCAGTGTCTCAACTTGGTCGAAAATGAGAGATTAGATTTCTGAGATAAGTAAAGAAATGGGGGCAAAAAGAACATTAGTGAATATAACAGTAGTGAAAATAAATTGGCATTAACATTTCAGTGATATGCCATGTTTCTCATGCTGAGCATAATTCTTAAAAACTGCGCTGTACAAAGCCAACAGCACTCCTCACATTTTCAGGAGTCCTCTTTAAGACACAGGCACATCTAGTGCTGTGAGGAGGAATGATACATCTCTTCTGGACTTCATGCAGTCCTCTCTTAAAGGTATTTTTAGGTTACCCAAAGTCATTTAAAAAGGAGAACTTTTTCCTCTTCCTGTATGAGTCACATGGGATGGATTAGAACTCTAAACTCTAGCTTTGCTGTCGTTAGCACTATTAGTGGCTGAGTTGTATAGGTTTACGGATGTTTATTTATTTACTTGCATTAAATCTTTCATTAAAAGTACATGGAGAATGATATACATGATTTCCTGCCAAAATTTGGATGTGATAGTAGGTACTGAAAATTGGAAATTTCCCATTTATGGGAAAATAATTTTCTAATATTTCATTATTATGATTTATTTCTAGTGAAATTTTATTTTCAAATTTCAAGTCTTTAGATTTTTATTTATTTATTTAGAGCTTATGAACTTCAAAAATTGCATGTGAGAGGAAAGGGATATTTTTGAGATACCAACATTCTAATTATCAAAAAAGTACAGGATCATTGAAAAAAAAATGTATTTCTCTTACTGTCCTGCCAAGGCAATAAATGTAATGATAGGTGGTAATGTTAGGTAGGCCTGCATGTAAGTAAGGGCAGATAAATAAAGAGGCCAGGTTCTGCTCGCAAGTGAATGGCATATAAATAAGTAATTCTCTGAGAGGGAGAACTGACTGATGTGGTTCAGCCGTGGATAAGGATGGAGTATCTCTGTAAGGAAATGACTGTATGTCAAGCCCAGGATTTCCTGGTGCAGCAGGGTAAAATAYGAGTCTTTGGCCTTTCTTTGAAATGTGTTTTGAGATCTTATATGATGTTTTCCATCARTAATTATTACCTAACCTTGAAAGAAGAATTTACAGCTTTCCAGGGAAATGCTGGCTTTTTTTTGGAATGATACTGAGTCAGTGTCCTTCAAATGTACAAAATTTCTGTATGAAGAAAAAGAAGTGTTTAGGTTTTCATTTGTGGATGAATTGATGGTAACGTTCAGGATCAGATTACTTCAGGACTGCTAAAGCCATATAATCTTCCTGCCTCGTGTCACCCCACCACTCTGCTCAGAACAGCAAGCTCTCTAATGAGCGCTCGGCAGAGCACCCACTTGGGAGCAGAGTACATCTGCCCTGTTGCTACTTGCGTTCCTCCATTTTGCCCAAATTCTGCTGACTGGGTCTAGCAGAAGAATATTCCTGGTAATGTCATTTTAAAATCTCTAAAAAAAGCTTTGAAAGAGCTTTTCAGTAACATAGCCAGCAATTTCAGAATAGATGACAGCATAGTATAAAASCTTACTGACACTCTTCTGAACTGATTTGCCAAACTTATTTGCTTACGGCCTTACTATTTGTGAGCAGTGTGGCAATCCCGAATGCATGAAAACAAAATGAGTTCAGAATAACAAACTCGGGATTTGTAACAAGTATAATTTCCAAAGAATAGAGTGACTAATGGTAAAACTATGCTACATAGATGATGTTCTGTGGAAAATGTCCTGTTACTTAAACAGTTTCTCACTGTAGAATGTGCTGTTGAATGCAATCTTGCAATAGTTCTTGTATGCAGTGTAGAAAGTTGACAAGATGATCTAGTAGTTTTTCTAACCTCTAGTATAATCCTTTGCCTGAAAAGGCAAGTTGTTCTATTTTTAGGATATAGTCCCTTTCCAGGTTCCCAGCAATCTGTGGGATTAATTTCCATTACAACATAATTTGTAAATCTAAAAATTTACATTTCTCTTCTGAATTTTAGATACCATTCCAGGGAGACAGTGCATGGCCTCCTGCTTCTTTCTGCTTAGACAGTTTGGTGATGTCCTGATTTACCTCAATTCAGTCAAGGTTAGTATTGTTATTTAGTATGGTAGTACTGCCTGTGAAATTAAGATTGCACTGTGTGAGGTCGTACGTAAACAGAAAAAATGCAGAAACACGAACAAGTCTAAATGGGATATCGTTTGCAAAACCAGCAAATGGATTGAAATGCGTAGTAACAATGAAATGCTATTGTTCCCTGTTGTAGATTATGGTATTGTCCTGCTTGCAACTTGACCATTAGTGGCATCACAGGAAAAGAGGAAGATAATTAGATAGTTTCTGGATGCTTTTGTGTTTGGGTAGTACGGAAACAAAACAAGTGTCTGTTTAGAAGCTTACCAATGAATGATAGAGAGTTTTGTCAGTGGTTGATAACTGGAAGCAAGAGTTGGATGAGCAAGAGTGCACAAAGAAGATAAGACATGAAGGAAACAGTATGTCATAGCACTGTAGAGGAAGGCCAGAAGAAGAGCAGAGTTGTAGGAGGAGAAGTCTTCTTCCTGAAGACTTGCAATTGAGGAACGGGTTTAGTGCCCTTCAAATTGAGGAGCTGGACATGGCTTCAAGGGAAATAACTGGACTGACAGACCTTGTGGGAGCACATGGAAGAAGTTACGAATGATTCTTGCAGGAGACAGAGGTGCCTATCTGCTCACCTGGCCTCTTGTCTGTAGAGGTTTGTTGCCTGCCAAGGACTCAAATATGAAATGGCTTAGAAAGACTGCCAAGGCTCGTCCACTTATTGGGCTGTTATCCTTGCTGCTCTTCCATATGGGCACTAATGATATCAAAGGCAAATTGGAAACTGTCGAACAGGAGCTCTGGAGATGATGGTCAAGGATCTGGGAGCCCAGATTATTTTCTTAATCCTGCCAGTGCAGGGAAAGGATAGAAGGAGAAGTAACGAGATTTTTCAGAATAACAACTGGCTATGCCACTGGCATTGGCAACACAGTTTTTGTTTCTGTGACCGCGAAACACTGTTTGAAGACTAACAACTGATGGGGAGACATGAGATTCATGTCACTAAGTGGGGCATGTGTGTCTGCCAGCAGGTTGGCCAGCCTGCTAAGGAGGACTTTAAACTAGCAAAGATGAGGGAAGGGGAGAGATATAGAGACAGAGTAGTCAGCAAAACACAGCTCAAGCCTGCAGCAGGTACATGCAGTCAGGTAGGCACGTATGGGATGTTCCTCTTGCACCCATTCTGGGAAACCTACCTGCTCAACTACCTCACTGAAATCCTTATACACTAATACACACAGCATGGGCAATGAAAAGGAAGAATTACAGGTCATTATGCAGTTACAGTGTCATGTTCTCACTGCAGYTACAGAGACATGGTGGAATAACTTGCATGGCTGGAATGCTGTCATGGGAGACTGCAGACTTTTTAGRAAAGGCAGGCCAGGAAGGCAAGGTCATGGAGTTGTTCTTTATGTGAGAGAGCAACTGGAATGTATTGAGCTCTGCCTAGGTGTGGATGAATAGTAAGTTGAAAGTTTATAGGTAAGGATTAAAGGACAGCCTTATATGGGTGACATATTGTTGTGGGTGTTTACTGCAGGCCATCAGATGAAGAAGAGGAATTCAATGAGGCTTTCTACAGAGAGCTGAAGTAGCCTCACAATCACAAGTCCTGGTTCTCATGGGGGACTTCAGCTAGCCTGATGTCTGCTAGAAAGACAGTACAGCTGGGCACAGTCCAGGAGGTACTTGCAGAGCACGGAGGATAATTTTCTTACACAGGTGATGGAGCCAATGAGGAGAGATGCACTGCCGGAACTTGTACTAACAAAGACTGGTTGGAGATGTGAAGGTTGGGAGCAGCAATGCCTGAAGTGACTATGATGACCTATGATGACCATCATGTGACCCAAGTTCAAGATCCCACAAGGAGGAAGCAGAGCAATATTGCAAAACATTGCAACTCTGGCTTCAGAAGAGCAAGTTTCAGCCTCTTCAGGGACCTGCTTTGAGGAATCCTGTGGGCTAGGGTCCAAAAAGGAAATGAGGTCCAAGAGATATGCTTAATATTCCAACATCACTTCTTCCAAGCTCAAGATCACTGCAAGCGTGTGAGTAAGAAGTTAGGCAGAGTGCACATGAGACCTTCATGGAAGAGCAAGTAGCTCCTGGCAAAACTCAAACAGTTTGAGTATCCAGAATGTGCAAATAGGAACAGGCCACAGGAATTAAATCTGGCAAGATATGAAGGACAACACAAAGGGTTTCTTCAAATACATCAGTAACGAAGGAAAGACTAAGAAGAATGTAGGCCAGATGCTGAATGGGGTGGGCATCCTGGTGATGAAGAATACAGAGAAGGCAGAGTTACAGAGTTGYTTCAGTCTTTACAGCTAAGAGCAGTCCTCCAGAATCCCAGATCCTGAAGACAGGAGAAAGTTTGGAAGAAGGAAGACTTTCCTTTAATTGATGAGGATCAGGTTAGAGATCATTTACGTTCACAGATCCATGGGCCCACATCGGGATGATTCTCCCTCTCTACTAGCCCTGGTAAGGTTGCATCTGGAGCAATGTGTTCAGTTCTGGGCTCCCCAACCTGACAGAGATATGGAGTTACTGGAACAAGTCCATCATAGAGCTACGAAGATGATGAGRGCCCTTCATGTGGAGCTTCTCTCATATGAAGAAAGGTTTAGAAAGCTGAAATTGTTCATCCTGGAGGAGGCTGGGAGATCTTATTGATGTGTATAAATACCTGAAAGGAGGGTGTAAGGAGAAGGGCCTCATACTCTTTTCATTGGTGCCCAGTGATAGGGCAAGGGGTGCATGGCAAGTTATGTTTGAACATGAGGAAAAACCAACCACTGGCATAGGCTACCTGAAGAGGCTGTGGAATCTCCATCCTTGAAGATATTCAAAAGCCATCTGAAGAGGGTGACCCTGCTTGAACTAGATGACTAGACAATCTCCAGAAGTGCCTTGCAACCTCAACCATCTGTGGTTCTGTGACCCTGAAAGAAATAAAGCATATACATTTTTAGAGAAAGCATCTACTGAAGGGCTAAGGTAGGGCAATATTATCAAAGCAGAGTGAGCTAAGAATATTACTTTTGTGAAAGTAATCTGAATGGTTCCCTGCTGGCAGGCAATGTTGATTTTTTTCAAGAGAAAGAGCCTGTGGTTACTATACTGCAACATAATCACATCACCTATAATTGATGGATGGTAGTGGTTGTACCTTTAAAATTTCCAGTTATAAATCAGATATGAGGACCCAGATAGAGGCTAGATCCTGACAATGGGATTAAGTGACTGTAATCTTGTCCTAGCAAAGTGAAAGTAGTGAGAATTCTGCACTTGGTTGGGAGGGGAATGGGGGTCTTCAAAAAGAATGGTTAGAGAAATATGCTAGATAAGGATGATTATTATGATCCAAGAAGGGTGAGACCCAAAGAAAATGAGGGTTGCCACTAGGGTTGCAGTGGTGGCAAAAGCAGCTGATGAGTCAAGGAAGATGGGCCAGGAAAATGTTTTTAAACTTCRTCTAGGAAGAGACTATTGAAAAAAATCGCAGGTGGCAGTGGAATGAAGAGACAAAGAGTCTGGAGCGTGTGTGTAACTGGAGAAGCTCAATGCTGGCAACTAACAATATGAGATTCATTCTGYATATCTTCAGCCATCAAAAGTCAGGCTTCTAGTTACAAGTAATCCCTTGGTCTTCTATAGCCCGGGACAGATGGTAGTTTCCAAAGGAGAATTCATCCTGTCTATTTCTGACACTTTATCTTAGAAGGGAGTGAGTCACCTCACAGAAATGCCCATCTCTTTTCATTTACTTTAAAAAGTTCTTAAACAACTAGTTCCAACGTGAAAAGGTTGGTTAAATGAGATTAATCATTGCCTCCAAGGTGTATAAGAAAGCTTAGGAATGAGGCAGAGAAGGGTAGGATCTGGAGAGCCAAATGGAGTCAGGATTAGTATTGGAAAGTAAGGCATGACTGGTGTTTGTAAAGGAAACAGCTGAAAGCAAACAAGATGTGTAACAGAAATTCAGAGTCTGAGAGGGGGCAGAAGACAGATCAGAGGACAGAGCAGAGAGGCTTGAGGTAAGAGCAGTGTTAAAGGTGAGGGATTAGATGAGGCAATTCTGCATCTGTGAGGGAATAAAGCAAAGCATTGCAAGTGGAGCTGGAAAGAAAATCTGAAGGGAAAAGGAACAGCATAGATTTTGTCCTTGGTAGTTCATGAAGTGTTAGCATAAGATCCCATGCAGAAGAAAATGTAGGTGAGCTATAGATCTAATATTTAGAAACAGKATCAAGAGGGAGACAAAAATAGTACAAGTATGGTACTATGGTACAAGTATGCATACCTTCAGTCCTGCTATAATTATCATACAGAGAAAGGAGTGTACTTACCTCATCAGCTTTGAGGGAAACAATTTTATGTTGTGTGCATAGGGGAAAGGAAGATTTATTTGACCTTTTTTTTTAAAAAAACTTTTTTTTGGTTGAAAGAGGAGAATAAAGTGATGAGTCTTGCATATTATAACGTGTGGATCCCTGCTTGCAAAATGGGCTTCTCCACGTGGTGAACTGTAATAGTTTGCCAAAATCAATCAGCAGGGAGGAGAAAAAAAAAAAAGCAAAAACCAAAAAACTGAAAACTATTGCACAATAGAAGCCTGTTTCTATATCCCATATACAGGATGGCAATGTTGCATATGCTTTTGTTCCATACTCAGAGATATGTGTCTATTAGGTGAGTGGTCACGGAGGCAAAGAACCCGCTGTTAGGAGTCTTTTCCAATTCCCACCTGTTAGAAAGCTGTGAGCATACAGGTCTGCAAATCCACTTTCTCCATGGCTTTGGTCTGTCGCACAGATTTATTTTAGTGTTGCAGTTTTTGCAGGGTGTGAGGTAGTTACAGAAGAAAGTAGTAGTTAAGGAAGAAATAAAATATAAGCTTAAATACAGCTAAGATGGTTTAAATTATGGCAAGTATATATGTATGCATATTTAAAAATCATTGTTAGATTTAGGAGTGTCACAATAGTGACGTATTGCAGAAACATCGTTTCAGAATTTAACTGTTCCTTGCTTACCAAGTTATGCTGCCAACTACAGGTTCCAAGTGATGTGTTTAGATAATCAGTTGATACGTTGATCAATTGGTGGAGAGGAACCTCAGGAAATTCAACTGAAGCAAGTGCAAGGTCCTGCACCTAGGCAGGAATAACCCCTTGCACCAGTACAGGCTGGGGTTGACTTTCTGGAGAGCAGCTCTGCAGAGAAGGACGGGGCATCCTGGTGGACAAGAGGTTGACCATGAGCCAGAAATGTGCCSTTGTGGCCAAGAAGGCCAATGGTATCCATTCAATAACCATACAACTGTCTTATTTTGACCCATTTTAGTCAAGGATAATCTCTGTATTGTCATTCCTTCAGTTTTCACATTTGTGGCATTCATAAGGATGTAACAAAACATTTCGCTATGTAAGGAAAAATTATATAGAAAAGATTGGTGCATATAAGGACAAATTGTATACTCCTATTTGAAATAACAGCCACTCCCTTTTCAAATGCAGAAAGCTGACTGGCTTAGACAGTTGCTGGAGATTTTTTAACATTGTGTTAAGAGAGGGAGATACTATTTGCTATAAGGGAAGTTAAAAAGCAAATAATACAACATGAAGATCAGAATAAATAAGGTAGATTTGAAACCTCTATTATGAGGAGAGATTGAAAACAAGATGTGGTGTGGTGGAATAGCAGCAAATTCATGACACTTTCTTGGTTTATGGAACTCATTGTCATGGTGTATCCTTGAGGTCAAAAGTTCAGAAGGTTTCTTAGATTTTATCAAACCAGTTGCAAAATGATCAAAGACTAAATAAAATATGGGCTAGTTCTTGGAGACATAATCTGGTTGATAAGTAGCAAAGACTAGGAACAAGAGTTTGCTGTCCGTTACAGCTTTCGTTGTGTGATTCTTCTGACATAGCTGCTACTGACCATTTTCCAGCTGGGAAAGCTAGATCAGCTGGATCAAGCTGTTAGATCACTCTTCTCCTCTTCTGATTTCAGGGATGCAGATTGTTTCTCCAGTACCACTTCTCTGTCAAGATTTAGGTGGCTTTCCAGAGTGTTTTGTGTGTTTCATTTCTTAGGAATCGACCCCACTAAAATATCTGTCGCTTTTTAGGTAGAGCTGTGCACTCTGTGAAGACTCTGTCTGATGTTCCTGCAAACAGGATATCACGCGTGATTGATCCATGCTTCATCTGTGATTGATTAAAACTTCATCCATGATGGTTTTAAACTGCTCCAGGCACTAGAATGTTTCAGAGGACACCTTACTATAAATGTATTGCCAGCTGGCATGATGGTAACATTGTAACACTGAAAATCCTCTGGGAAGACCAGCTAATTCCATGTCAGCTTAATTCTGGTCACAAGGAGTGCTTTGCTGTTCAGCTGGGTACCTAAGCATCTCACTGAAACAGACTTCATTCAAAGCACAGTTAGTTCCATGGAAAAGACCCCCAAAAAGTGGAGTACAGTGTGGATTCTGCCTCTATTCTGAAGATAATTGATAAACTAGCCAACCTAAACATCCTGCACTATTGGCCAGCCAAGTTTTGCAATTTTGGTTTTGCAGCCTTCCTGATCTCTAGCACTAATACAGCCTGGATGGAATGACACAGGTTTTCAGTTTGGTTACTGATGAGAGGATTTGTCCATATTAATTCAAAAATACAATGAGGGTATTTGAACCAAAGAAAGCATTAATGCAGTAAAACTAGCATCTTGCTCATCACCTTTGCTTAACCTGGGATTTCTGCTGATTCATCCAAAACCATCATTGAGGAAGAATGGCAACATTTTGTTCTATTCTCATACTGTGAAACCAGTTACTTCACCCTAAAGGTGCAGAAATATTTCACAAACAGAGCTTAAATTCACCCAAATAGCAAGATATATTTGATATATTTCCCAGCTCTTTCCAGAACCTGATCTAGACTGCTGTCATGTGTCTGGCTTGATGTACTTAGGGGAGCTCAGTCAATACTTTTCTGGATGCTGGGGACGGGGAAAGGAAGAGGTTCTCAAGCCTCTCTCCGTAATGGAAGAAGCTAAAAGCCCTAGGAAAGGCTCTTGTCCCTTGCTTCCATGTATCCATTGCAAGGTCCAAATATGATTTTACCTCCTTGTCACTAGTAGTGAGGCAGCAAAACAAAAGTTAGTTGAAACTTCAACTGCCTGACACAGCCTCTGTTTCTCTCATATGTATTATAAAAGGAAAAGCATTTCTGTGTCCTATACCTTGCTGTTACAAACCCAGAAAGCCTTTCTTGCAGTGACTTTGAGCACTGGATAAACCACCATGCTCTTACTACTAAGGTTTTTTGTTTGYTTGTTTGTTTGATGAGTGCTGCAACTCTGCTTAGCAGGAATCCTCGTTGCTTCTTCCCATTTGTTCTAGAGCTAAGGTACTGTGTTCCGGCTTACTTATACCAGACCTACCTGGTAGCTTTGTAGGGGTAGCACTGAATCATGGAGCATGTGCTCAGCTGGCTTTTGGTAATCTGAGTTACACTTTAATCTGGACATTTGACCAACATTAAATCTCAGCAATTTGAGTCAGACSCGAAGATATGTCTCATTTCTAGGTAAAATCATTTTTCCTGCATTGGCCCTCACAACCAGAAAAGATACAGCTAGATCAACATAATATACCACCAGTCAGAGTATGTCCAGTCTAATACTGCAGTAAAGAAAATAAAAGCCTTAGTGTTGCACTTCATACTGGGAGAAGGGAAGCCCTATAACAAGGTATGTCCCCTGGCTCCGGYCCAGTGCTGCAGCTCCACCTCCATCACATGGCCCAGTGTGTCAGCCCGTCACAAAACCAGATCCACAGGATCTCCTGCTGAACCTTGGGAAGTCCTGGAAAAACAAACTGTTCATCTCCTTAAGCCATTAGGGAGTCAACTGCCTATTCACCACCCTAGATTTGTAAATTTTKGGGAGGGTAAAGAAACCAGGCACTACAGCATGTCTTTGCATGCCCAAATTGAAAATTAAAGCTGTAAAGGCTTTAATTGCCTTTAGCTGCACTTGCCACTGCAACTTTGAGCTTGCAGCATTCTCCAGATCACCCATGGTTAATACTCTGGAATGTTTCAGCTATGTTTGTAGTTACACATGTAGGATGGAAACCYAGGCCATAATTTTCTACCCGCTGTTTATAAGTGCTGTATGTTCATAATGTGGGTTTTTCATTTTCCTTCTTGTTGTCTTGATATAGTCTGACTCAGATTGGAGGAGGTTATTTTTAATGTTGTTATACCATGGAAGTTTTTTTTGAGTCTGTGTGTCTTRTTTTCCAGAGTTACTTCTACAATGATGACACTTTCAACTTTAACTACGCCCAAGCCAAAGCTGCCATGGGCAATTCTAATGAGGCTGAAGAGGTATGTGCTTACTGCCTTGAAAAAAGAAAAAAAAAGGGATAAGACAATGAAAATGTTTTCCAAATCCTCCCTTCTTTCCTTTCCTCYCTCTGAATCTTATTGTTGGCTGCATATAAGCAGATTGTGTGGGTCATTTTCCCCTTCTAGAGGAACTGAATCTGTGGRTGAACACTCTTCAGAAAAGATTGTCTTGCTAATCTGGTAATGTGAGGTACATGGGAAGTCATGCTGCTCGTGGTGCATCACAAGGGTGCTTGCAACTATCTCTAATTGATCAAAGAATGCCCTCTTAATCAGATTTCCTACGCTTTGTCTGGGATCCCAGGCAGTCTTACTGCTCAGACAACTAGGACAACTTAAACAAAGATATTGAATAGTTACAAGCTGTCAGGTGTTCCCTAGAAATTTGTTTAAAAAAAAAAAAAAAAAGGAAACAAAAGAAACAAAACAAAAACATTTTCTTCCTCTGGGAGATGTGGGAGGAAAAGAGGAAGTACTCACTATCTTATTCAGCAGCATTCAGATGCAGCTGGAGGAGATTAGCTTCTACATCCAGCATTTTTTGTGTCTATGTACTCCAGAAACTTAATTACAACTAAGATATGCAGAACTAAGATAGAGCTATTATGAAGAAGGAAGCAACTTTTTTTTTTTCCAGAAAGCTATCAGAGAGCACACCAAGAAATCTGTGTTTTGTTTTAAGCAAAGCATATAGTTTTTGAGTCTTTTTCTGTTTTTCCTCTTTTTTCATTTTTTTAACCCTTCGGTTTTCTGGGACAACAAAGTCCTCCCATGGCCTATTTATTTTCTTTCAATATCTTGCATAATTTCTGTGATGTGAAATTCCATCTCTCCTTTAGAAAAAAGTTTAAGTGTGCCAGGCCAAATGGATGTGTTTTGCAATTCTTTTAGCTAGATTAAATTACCTTAATGAAAACGCAGGTAAATATCTTTTGAAATTATGCTGATAAGACTATGCTGATACTGAGAGTTCACAAAAAATGAAAATGATAACCCCGTAAGAAATCTTTAGCTGCAGCCAGACAGCAAAAGTAATACAAAGTATAAACTGTTGTTAATCGATGTTTTTCCTGTTTATGTTCTCATCAGTGGTTCTGTACAAACTTGTGTTATATAACTGATYGTAGTTTTTAAATCATTGGATAATTTAAACAAATGGGTTAGTTTGTCCTGGTATCTTATCTTTGACTGTGATGGCTCTTTCAGGTGAAGAATAGCCCTCCCCACCATCTCACAGGCTTGTATGATATCTCTACATATAGCACCGTATTTCTTAAAAAGATTACCTCCATGGGTACAATGAAATAAACCCTATGATAAAATGCTTCTCATGGTGATAATGCTTTTTTGTTGTTGTGTTTTCAAAAAGAAATAGAGGATTAGAAACGTCAAACCAATAAAACTGACAGTAATTAGTGGAACTCACTCTTCCAGTAGGTATACCTGCTCCTATGAGGTCATTTTGATTTCTACCAATAGCATCCTAGTAAAAGAACAAATATATCTGCAGAAAGGCACAAGAAGAAGAAAAAACAAAAAAATAGCCAGAACAGGTCTATAGATGCAGAACAGTGCCAATGTTTTGCCTCAGAACCTTGCTAAAACCAAATCAGTTAGAGTTTAGTGCTGACCCAAAAGGAGCTCTGGCACCTATGAGGCAGAAAGGAATATGTACGTGAAACTTCTGGTATTTCAGGAAGCTACTAATTTAATAGCTTGCATTGCTTGCTAAACAAACACACTGCAAATAGCTTTTCTTGCAGCCCCTTGTCTTCCTTTGTGCCATCTGTAATTGCATGGCCACCCACTCGCACTTGTTCGGCGCAGGCTGCCCCCTCAGCACAGCGTGGTCGACTTTGAAATCCCCCACCTGCGCCACGCAGAGCTACCTCCTGCCCTGCAATTCCAAACCTTCCCCCTTCTCCTGAAGCAGTTGTTCATGTGGCTTAAGTGTTAACTGCCTGATGAAATGAGGCAAGTCTGCCTTCTGCTTGTTTAAAAGTATGTGCATGTATAATCTTTTRTTTTATTTCTTCCTGCAGGTGTTCCTTTTGATCCAGAGCGAGAAGATAAAGAATGATTTTGTTTACCTTAGCTGGCTAGCCCGCTGCTGTGAGTCACTTTGCTCTCAACATTGCAGAACACAGATCCTCCTCTGTTGCGTCAGTCTTGGCAACCCACTTTCCTAATTGAATTTAGTGTTGTAGGTGRATTTAAGACTACGAAAGTGAAAAGCTGATTGCACTAGCTGGTTATAGTGTGGGTGCTTATTCCACTGTTCATGCATACAGCTTCYGTAAGCAACTGCTGCTTCAGTGAAGTGCTGTTATGATTCTGTCAATGTGGCTTTGTCCTAACTTGTGAACTTTTTTGTTCTCGATTGTCTACTCAGTTGTTTGAATGAAGATTTTCTGTCTTAAAAGATTGGTTACAACTTGAAATGGTTAAACATAAAAGAGAAACAGCCATACTGGGTCAGACAGAATGGGCTGTCTAGCTCAGTGCCCTTTTAGATAAGATAGGACAGCACTGGATGCCTAGCCAAGAGTAAAGAAAAAAAAAAAAAAAAAGCAGGTAAAATGTGGAATTTCCCTTTCTACCAGCCTGTACTTCCCCCTGTTGAAATACCTGTGGCTGAAGGATTTCCTGTATAATTACTAGCATGTTTTTTCTTACCTGGATTTTTCCATTAGTCCAAGAATGGACCAAGTAAGCTGTTAATATCTTTAATAATCTTTAATATCCTGTAGATTTTTTTTTTACCCTTTCCAAATTTTCTTAAAACATTACAGAATAAACTCCTCAAGGTAGACATGGCTACCATGCAGCATGTGATACAGTGTAGAGGTGGGCTTTTCTAATCGCTCAAGTCTGAGACTACCTAGCCTGATTTATTTCACTTATAGTACCTCAGTACAAAAATGTTCTCATATCATAATCAAATTTGAGAATTAGTAGATGCAATCTAAATAGATAGATTTCAGGGCATTGTGTGTGGTCAGCATCTCTAATGTGATCTTCGCAGACAAGCACATCACACCTTTGAATAGCTATCTTTGACTCTRTTCTAGGACATGCCAATTTCTTTCTTTTCATCAATCCACAGTTTGGATTGATGGTCATACTTTTTATACAAGAGGTGAAATTAGTACTGTGTTATCAATAGAAAAAAATGTAGCACTTTTATATAGAGTTCCTACTTATTCTGTGGKGTGCCTTCCTTTCTTCTAAATTCCTGAAGTGAAGTTTCAGTAGAGCTGCTGTGTTCTTCTGTATCTGTCTTAAAATTTTGAGATTGGCTCCCAAACTGCTCATAAAATTCTTTACAGAGACAACTGTTCAGTGATGAGTGTAGTGGTCTTTTTGTATCAAGTAAGAAAATTACTATYATGTCCTTCTTAATGAAAACTGCCATAGAAAATACAAAGCACTGTAATACATTCATGTGAGACTATGATTAGCTATCAAGGTTTAGACAATTAATCCTGAAATATTGTCACTGGGTGAAAAGTAGTGAAGATGCATCTTTTTTTGAATGCTAGACAGTATTTTTTGTTTAATGTTATAAAATTTATATTGAATTCCTCTTTCAGAGAAGGTAAAAAGTCACTGAATTAGCACAGAACTATATTTCTCTATATAGATAGTTTGGTAATTAGTATCATAAATGCTTTTTTTTYCCCCTCTCTCTCTCCTATTTCCCCTTCCTGCTAAGRGGGTAAGATTCATTAGTTCAACAAATCATGGGTGGAATTAGGACATGGCTCTTTGCCACTATGTTTGTAATCTGGAGCTAATGAAACAAGAAGTCTGGTGTGATGTCCTCCTGCTGCTTACATCAGAAGTGTCTATAAATCATCTGATTTGATGTTCATGTAACATGATCATGTAAACATGTTGATGATTGCTGATGATTGTATGATCAATATGTATAAACACTTGAGGATGAATGTAGGGAGGATGAGGCCAAACTCTTCTCAGAGGTGGCCAGTGACAGGACGAGGGGTAATAGGTACAAGTTGAAACATAGGAARTTCCATCTCACATGAGGAAGAGCCCTGGAAGAGGCTTCCCAGGGAGGCTGTGGAGTCTCCTTCTCTGGAGATCTCCCAAACCCGCCTGGATGCCGCCCTGTGCCCCGTGCTCTGAGTGTCCATGCTGGAGCAGGACGTTGGACTAGATGATCTCGAGAGGTCCCTTCCAACCTCAACCAGTCTGTGATTGCCACTGCCAYCCATTCTACATGCAACACGTCCAGTGGCCCAGTGGGAACAGATGAGAAGGGAAAAAAAAAAAAAAAAACAGTAAACTAACCCTCTCTTGAAAGTGTGCAAGAGCGATCCATGCATTAACAGCCAGTATTCTCTGAGAGTAGCTGATAAAACTGATAAAACTTGAAAAGGAAAGAAATACTTCATCTCCTTTTTTTTTTTTTAGACTTTTAGAATATTCTAAAGTCAATTTGTAGAATTTTTTTTTAGAATATTCAGACATCCTAGTAGAATTTCTACTAGCTGAAATGGAAGATTCAGATAGTTTCATTTTAACTGTGTTATATTATAACTGTGTGATATTCTAAGTTAAAGATTGATGAAAAGTTCCAGTCACGTATGCAAATTTTAAAATGACCACAAAACCTCTGGAATTTTGAAGCATTTTCTTCTGATAGATGAATAAGTTTTGTTACACTTGTAGAATTTTTGCACCCATTGTCTGCTAAAAAACATAGAAATTGAATGTTTAGAAGGGGATAGGCACCAAGTATTGAAGGTCTCATATTGATGCCAGTTAAAATTTTTCCATGTTTAAGAACATACAATCATAAGTCTCACCATCTGAATGGATTGTCACAGCTGCTTCTTCTGAACAAAATGCCATTTTAGCTTTCCATTCTGTTCTTTAATCACATCTGAAAATCATAGGACTTGTTATTTTTGTATTGGTGTCATGAAGATTTTGASATGTAAACTTGATAATTCTTATTCAAGATTCTGATGTTCTCTAATGAGTAACTGTTTTCACCATTAAGTCAAAACACCAGGATAAAGTTCCCTTCTCAACCTTATGGTCGTAGGGTAAAGCATGCTATTAAATTGAGCAAAGACGTTTAGGAATATTTATTCTACTCACCACTGAGTATTGTGCACAATGTATTTTTTTGCACAGTCTCAACATTCTGTTGTTATTGCAGATATTATGAATAAGAAACCACAGCTGGCCTGGAAACTCTATTTGAAGATGGAAACCTCAGGGGAATCCTTTAGTCTTTTGCAGCTCATTGCAAATGATTGCTACAAAGTGAGTCTTCTCTCGGCAGCTTGATATATGGCATGTTAATTCAGTGCTCTAACTAACTGCTATTCTTTTTGATAATTTGTTTGTCACCACTAGTGAATTTTCACTTAAAGAGGTGATATGACTATTATTAACAGTCATAACCAACCAAAATAATTCTAACCAACAGATCTTCTGGATAGACAACCCATGGATTACCGTGTTGGGAATTACTGCATGCTTGAGTTATTAATACAGTAACAAGTTTCTTTTATTACTAGTTGGATCCATGCTAACAAGTAACAATTTTTCTCTTGAACCTTCTCTTTTCTAGAGTAGATTGTTAATAAGATGATTATCATTTATGATGATTATCAGATTAGATTGACCTGACTGACATGCTTTTAAAAATCGTGGTAGACAGTGTTCACTTTAGCAGACACTAAAATGATGCTTCTGGGCATTTTAGAACTCGTTAAAATATATGCTGCTTTATATACTGTGGCTAGTACTAGGCTTCTACACTATGTTTACAAGCTGTGTTTACAAGCTCAAATAGTGAGTGCTAATTTACTACTGGCAAACTTCCAAATTCTCACTTAAACAAAGCTACATTAGTACTGAAGAGGTTGTGGGGAGCAGATCAGAGTTCTACCTAACTCCAGTTCCTTAGATGGTGCTTTTACACAGGGAGACTTAGCTCTGTTTGTTCTTAATGGATAAATGAACATTCTCAGAGAGATTTACCAACCGTGAGGTACTTCATACTAGTAGCACTTCTTTTTTTCTTTTTTCAGTCCAGCCCAATAAAATGTTGCATGGCAAACTAGAAGATTGAGCAAACATTTGTGAACAAGACGCTGTTTGCAATTGCTTTCTTAAGCTCCGTGTTCTTCTGCAAAACATGAAAGAAAACATGAGAGTTTCATCTACAGGGTGGGTGTAGAGACATGTGAAGACCAGCTGTTTTGAGAAGATTGTATGTGTCATTACAGGAGAAGAAAAAAAAGATTGTCCTGTGCAAAGACTACTACAGTGCAGTGTGTGTCAATAAGCAACAAMAGGATGCTAGATTCAAGTATCCTCTCTACCATCCTTAGGAATGCATCCATAGGAATTGCGCTGTGTTGGGACCTATGGAGAGGAATTAGCAGTTCTRTGATGAGAGAAGGGGATGTGCTGTAGAAAAACATTATCACAGAATCACCAGCCACCCAAATTTCAAAATGTATTGGCATAAGCTACTTATATTAGGATAGGGGATGAAGTTATTTTGGGAGCAGCCATTTTAGATTTAATTTAAATTAAATGCAGCATGTAAAGACAGTTTTGACCATGAAATTATCATACTGTGCTGTTTTAAGAAGGCAAATGTGAAAAGAGCAGAATAAAGATAATAGACCTAAACCTCATGGAATTGGTTTAGTAGAGACTGCTAAGATAAATGAATACATGGGAGTGAGCAGCTACTAGCTTAGGTTTATTATACAGTGACCAAACTTCCCAACATGAAAGAGAGATAATAAGGGTCATCTTGAAAATCTCACAATGGTTCTCAATGCTGCCAAGTTCTCTAAAGAGCAGAAATATGTGCATACCATCTATAACATTCTTTCTTGCTATTTTCTTTCATCTGGCAGTACCAGGGTTCTCAGAATCCTAAAGAACACTTAACTGTAAGTCAGACAATCTTCTTTGTGATCTCAAAAGCACTCTTCCAAAATTGAAGGAATTCTGACTTAAACAGCTCAAAGTATTTCATTCACCATCTTACCCTAAAATGGTCTTTTTGATCAAGCAAGCGGCTAGGCCCTAGGTGTTTCTGGTGACTGCCAACTGTGAAAGTGATTTGGTCTTTACGTCATTCTGAGTTTCACTTCAGTAAGTTGATTACTTTGCCTGGATTCCTCTTGAAACTGTAGAGTACACTAGAGGAGAAGCAGTTCCACCTTTTGATTCATYCAGTACTCTTAAAAATCGCACTTCCAAGATTAAATGTTTCAGAGTGTGTATTACCTGCACATGGACAAGATGACAGCTCCAAAGACCAAGAGATTTTATTGCAAAGACTATCAAAAATATTTACTGTTCCATTACATCTTATCTTTACTACTTATCTACACTACTTGCTGTTTGTACCTCTCCTACTTGTACCACCTCCCAACTCTTGTTTGAGTCTGTGTAACATTCTCTAGCTGCTTCTGAAATACTGTATTATATGGGAGGTCTGCARAAGTGTCACAGCCGTGACTGAAGAAGACAGTCACAGTCAGCTTCGTTCAGCAGAATGCCGAATGAACAAGGATGGGGCAAGGCCAACAGCTACTTCMGACCTGGAAGCCTCATAGCAGTTTATTGTGACCTGCAGTTGTTTGGTGAGAAACTGGGATGCAGGAGTTCTGGCTCACCTCTTGCTACTACACCATGGAAAAGCCCATCTTAACCATATAGGAAACCTTTGCTTTGGAGCGAAGCATCTAACTGCTTTTATGTGAGATAGAAGGAAGACATGTGACTGGAATCCACAAATGCAACAGTTCACTCTCATTCATCAAATGTTATGAAACTTATTTAGTTGACACTTTGGGGGGATCAGAATTATCTTTTTTTCTATTTAGCTGAGATGTCTGATACTGTTTATGCTCACTTTTTATTTTCATCTGATAAATGCTTGTCCCTGTGGTAAAATCACAATGCATTTGAAGAAAAGGGAATTATTGTTATTATTACTGTAGCTCCTCCTTTCTCGCTGACTRTGCCAACCAACATGCTTCTTGTCTACATTTACAAGGAGAGAAACTGATGGAGAAAAATAGGGTACACAGTGAATTTTCCTATGCTCAGGAAAATTCTGGATTAAAGTGCCACTGAATCTAATTTTGTATTGTAGTGCAACAATGAAGAGTAAAACTTAGCTCTGAGTTAAACCCAAAAGACATCCATATCTGCCTTTGTGACCATCTCTAGTTCAGGAAAATCAATCCTGTTTTAACATGTTTGACATAGTTTGTCTGTGATATTAAGAGGACTTTGTACCTACTGCACTGTAAATAGGGCATGTCACACTTTAATGCTAGTTGTAAAAAGCAAAGCACAAAAGAAGTTCTGTTAGCTAATGTTAGATATACATGACCGAAATGAGAACGAGTTGTTGACAGCCAAGTTCACAGTGCAGTTTGTCTATAAGTAGGTTCAAAGACTTAGAATAATAATAAAATATCACCTGTTTTTCTGGAAGGAGCTGCCATGCGCCTCTTTCTGTCACGCACTGCTAGGAGAAAACCTGGAAAATGCATGTTGCTTCTGAGATCAAAATATTTAATCCCCTTCCAAAGATGGTCCTATACTTAGGGATAGGTAACGTTTCTCTTCTTTTTGCAGATGGGTCAGTTTTACTACTCAGCCAAAGCATTTGATGTTCTGGAGAGACTGGATAGTAATCCTGARTACTGGGAAGGCAAGAGAGGCGCTTGTGTGGGTGTCTTTCAAATGATCTTAGCTGGCCGAGAAGCAAAGTAAGTATTGTTTGTTATATATGAATTTATTTGCTCTTTTGCTATTTCCAGTTCAATGTAAGCCAAAATCATAATCATGGTGTCAGGAATGCATGTCATCTTCTAATTCATTTTTGACCTTTTGGAAAATACAAACTCTGACCAGTAATTCCATATGTAGTTTTTTGAAGTTTGTCTTCCAAGCCATCAGTTACAGAATATGCTGTGGAGAGTATCTTATCAGTGCATACTATGAACTGCAGGGAACCAAAATACAGCACTGGTCATTATACTAGCAAGAGCTAAGTTATAAATATAGGGAAAGGAACTCATTTCATTTTAATGGCCTGAGAGCAGAAGAACTCTCCTATGCCATTTTAAGGTTCATGGAACAAAAAGAAGTAAACATTTACTCAACAGTCCAGTAAGTAGATGAGACTGGGCTTTCACTMAGATGTTCTTTCTGAAGATTCTGTCCATATCAGACAAAGATACTTGTTTGATTAAAGCTCAGAGAGGAAGTTACCTGTGAGCATTGCTGATTGTTTTACTTCTGGCCAATTTCACTCAATGGAAGAATGGGCGAGAGCAGCGAGGCTCTGTTTAAGAGCTGCTCCCTCATGAATATTCAGCTGTGAGGCCAGATGGCTGTTCTGCCCAGGCCAGAATCGCTATTTGTACATGGCTGGAAGATGTGTACCTTGGCTTCTCCATCTTTCTTGTAGCCCCTTCTCTGCTGGCATAATGGCTTTAATGGCTTCAGGAATCCATCTGGGAAGTATAGCACTAGATGCAGCAAAATAAATATAGCTTACCTGTTCTTTATTATGTATGCAAGCTCTTGCTGTAAAGATGGTAATTTGCATTTCCATAGTGTTTGTATTTATTTGTAAGGCATATGGTGCTTTGGCAGCATGAAGGTTGGTGTTGTCATACTGAAGGCTAGAAAACCACATAAAAACAAACAAGAAAGAAAACTAGTAATTTGCTTTGTTCTAGGGAGCTATTTTGCAAGAATAAGGATTTTTATAAATGTATGTGTGTGTAAACATATACATATATGCACACATATATGTGTATATATATGTGTGTGTATACATACACTCTTATAATATTTAATCATTTATAAATATAAGCTACATGCATTTAAATATATACATATAAATGTATATATACAGATGTTTTTATATATAATATTATATACATTATATACATTAGTGTGTATGGGAGTATTTGTGTATATATGTGTATATGTATATATGTGTATATGTGTGTGTGTATATATATGTATATATACTAAATTCCAAACCGATTAATTGTATTATGCTGCTTTTTCCATTTAATTTCTCTCTTATTGAAACAACGCATGTTTTTTGGGTGTATCTGTTGTCCTGAGATCTAGACTGTTGCACACTTTTATCTATTTCTGCTCTGCAGATGAAAGCATCTCTCTATCCAGGAACAACATTGGGCAAAATAATTGGAGGCAAGGGGGTTGTTTATGGGAATTTCAAATGATTTCAGTTGATTCTCACTGTCCTTTAAATTTTTGCCCTTCACCTTTGCAGAGAGACTTTACGGGAAGTGGTGCATCTTCTGAGGAGCACTGGTAATCCCCAGGTAGAATACATTATCCGCATCATGAAGAAGTGGGCCAAGGAGAACAGAGTCCCTGTCTAAGTCACTGTCACCAGAAGAACTGGGTCAGTTATTATTTTGTGTGTGGCTCTTGTGATGCGGATCCTGGTTCCTCCTGTGCATCCTGAGTATTTCCTCTTTGCAGGTACGTCTTGAGGACAGCAAGCAGGGTGACCCGCACAGCAGCTGAGCAGAGCGCGTACTGCAGTGAGACCGCATAACATTCAGCAGAGAATTTTTTTTCATTAAAGCTTTATTTAAGAAGGAAAGGTATTGAATTCCTTCCTCCCTTCTGTAGAATCCTACTGATTCACTGATCTCAATTCCTCATTCAAGATTTCTCAATTTTTTCATAATGTAATTCCACCCATCCACAAATCAAAGCTTTCTTTAAATGCTCCCCAGACTTTCTGCATCAGTTACTGGAGGCCGGTGTTTTTTTCTGAAGTCTTCTGGCCTTCAGAAAAGAATCATTTGCTAAATGACTGAGACAAATCAGCTTCAGCAGATGATGGAATGTGACAAGTAGAGAGGAGGAGGACTGTGAAAGCCAGTGCCAGGATATCAAATAACATGAGTATTCCCTTCCTGAGGTAAAGTGAAAATCATCATCTGCGCACTGTCCTTTTCTAGATAAATCTTAATAACTTAATCTATCTTATTTTTGTCTAGAAGGATCTGCTCTCTCCTGCAATTAATTCTGAAGGTGAGAGTTAATCAGCCTCAAATGTCAAGCTCGAAAATGGATTTTTTTGCTTTCTACATAGGTAACAAAGCGTGATGACATTTTTTTCAGAGCATGGAAGACTGGGTTGTTCAGTCTCCCTTAAAGTTAGACCCTAAAACACTTATCCATGTTAATATAATTAATGTAAGTCCTTTAGTGTAGCAATCTGATGAATAAACAAACTGTATATTTAAAAAATATTGAACAGTTTCCACTGTAGTTAAGAACGCATCTATTATTTACTGTTGGTGACAAGTACTCCCGTTTGCTAAGGAGAACAGTTCAGTGAATGCACCTTCTTAAAAGAAGGCAATAGTTATAACCTAGAATTGTATTATATGGTTTGCAATGAGCAATATTTGTATATTACTTGTAAAATGAAAATTCRCCTTTCTTATGAAGTATTTTTATATCTTGGAGGGAGGGAAGTTTTCAGAGTACTGTATTCGATCTGTGCTTTGATTAAAACTCTTATTTRGATCTACTGTAGAACATCTTTGGTCCGTGTTTTCCATCTTCGCTTGGTGTTGTCTCATATCATGTTCACTTTGCCATGGAATAGAACAGAATTGTGGCTAGACGTTAACTGCTCGTTCGTTCAAGACGTTCAGGTCGTTCCAGACAAGCCAACAGCCTTGGTCCTGATCTTTATGAACTTTTTTTTTTTCCCCTTTGATGCTGAAAATAAGGAGGTATACAAAATACATACATCTTTCTAGAAAAAAAATGCTAATGTTTCTCGGCAAAAACTGCAGGTATCGTTATTCAAATATCAGGAATTGAACTGGCAGCTTGTGGTTATTTGCATTTACATGAAATTTAGAAAAATTATCTATCATGGAGCACCAATATTAGAGCCTTTCAGCAAGGGCAGGACAAAGATTACAGTGATTCAAAGGAGAAGGTGTGGAAAAAATTCTAAGTATTTTCACTGATAGTTAAAAAACATACTTCACTTGTAAAAAGCATTTTTGTTTTGTTTCCCAGTTTAATTAGCTTGGAAACAGACTAGGAATGTTACTATGCGTCTTCGTACAAAACTTCAAAAAAATCACATTAGGGGCTKTGTTGCAGATGTTAAATGCATCTAATTATTTGCATTACTGAAACTTTACCTGCAGGAGACTGAAGAGCATCCCAATTCACTGCAAACCATTTTACTTGTTGGGTGAATCTTCTCTAATAAGTGTGGCAGCATTGCAGCCTATAGTTTTGGGGACTACTTTCAAGCTCTTTGTCCAAGTCCAGTGAAGAAACTTTTTAAAATGACACAATTACAGTCGCAAAGTCACATTTAATATGTTAAATAACATAGGTTTAGCATAGTGCTTTTTATTTTTTTATGATAATAAATATAATAAAAGCTTTGGGCATTTAAGGTATAAAGAATTGGGAACTGCAAGGATTTGTTTTATATGGTGATGAAATAAAAGATCTGTTACATATAGTCCTGTCATTTAGATGGAATGRTTATGTAGGACCTGCTAAAGTACAGAACAAGAGAAGTGCTGAAGTATTGACTTATTTTATCTTGAAAATATATTTTAAGAATGTCTGCTGTTGTTTCATGTGAAATCATGTTCAAGAAACAGGTGTGAATAGAAGTTCAGTTAGCTGATACAGAAAGACAAGCTAATAGAGAGTATTTCTACAACTTACCTCAAGTAGCATTAAGCACATAACGCATAGTGTTAACATCTTATGCCTGTATGTGTCCCTATCTTCCTAAAATGTGGGAATATAAGGCGTTAGGGTACTTTAAACAGGAAAGATGGGAATGAAGGGAGATATGGAGAGAAACAAAAGTGACCCATGCRGAACAAACAGGCAGTTAAGAATGATTGAAGGAGAACTTGTTTATCTGAGTGTGTAGTTCCACAAAACAATATAGAGAGAGCACMGAAGATATGTTAGCAATTAAAACATAGTTAAAATCATATTTAATAATTAAATAAATCGTTAATAGTGATAGGCAGAAGTCAAAACCCCAAGTATTGTGTAACTTCTCTTAGCTAGGCTGTCAGCCCATCCTGATAAATAAGGAAGATGTTTTTAGGTAAGCTCAGTACGACCTAACAAACACATATTCCAATAGCTCTGACCTGAATTATACTACTGAGGGGGACATTTATCCTTTCAATTACTGCAAAGGATCTCCAGGATAACATTCACTTTGGCCAGCATCTGAAGTGATTCARGACAACCCCAGTCCTCCTGGATTAATTCTGGAATCTAGCGTCAACTCCTAAGAACAGTAACGGCTGGAGCCAAGTAATGAATTAAACTGGAGATGTTCAAGTTCATCGTAAGGAAAAGACATGATGTCTTTGATGTTAGACTACAGCAGGCACTTAGCAGTATGTGGAGCTCTCAACCTGAAGATCTCTCATTGATTTTCATAAGAAAGTTGTGAAAGTTGATTATAGAACCTGGCCACTAGGTAATGGCACACAAAACAAGCAAGTACGTTTGTGGTAATTGCACGTASCTTCACTGTATGGGAGGCATACATCTGTTTTCTGCCCTTTGTTTTATTCACTAACCAAATTTTCCCTGGATTATCTCCATCAGGAATTTCAAATCCCTTCTTTTCAAGTTTCATTTCCAGGCTTCCCTTCCCCTATTTGATCTATTCAAATGATTGTCAATGACATAGTGGTTGGTGCAAAAGTATCATAGGGCACCATTACTGTACAAGTCTTTAAAGACAACTAGATAATCTGATCTGACTGATCAGATCTGATACTGCAAGACAGTAGATTTTGTCTGCTCATCTTTGTCATGAATCCAGCTGAAGCCAATAACTACTTTTTGTTATTCCCTATGACAGGTCTTTTAAAATAATCTAAAATAAGTAATGCCCTTAAAAATATTTTTTGGTAAGAACTGGGGACTTAAGTTATTTTGATAGTGGAATACACTACAGAATAGTTCACAACAGTTCTCATAGATAGCTAAATCTAAAAGCAAAGTGGGAAAGAACCCATGCTATTTTCTCTGAACTTCACTTTCATGAATCTAGGGATGGTAGCTGGAGTCCTCAAGCCACGCTTAAAGCTAGCCTTTACCTAGGGAAGAATGATGAGCCTCAGCCTCTTTCATCAGCTCCTTGATTACTCTACGCAGTTTTCACGTAGTCAGTTCTGTGAAAAACACATACAAAATGCAGAAGTATTATAGTATGTAATATAGAATAATATATTTTAATAATACATGTAATATGATGTAGAAGTTTTATGTCATGTAGAAAATACCAATACTTGTGCTTCAATTCTAAATGTTATAGTCCCCTTCACGTAATACAATGGTTATAATTTTCCTCACTGATTGTCCTTCTAAAGATGATGAGATTGTTAGGCAGGTCTACTCTAAAGCAACTGGTAAGTATTTCCTTGCCTGTCATCAGTGGGGGTGCTTACAGGGTGAGGCCATTGTGTGTGATGAAACACAACATCTTCCCTTGCAGAGCTGGTGGATTAATTCATATTATATGAAGTATCTGTATCTCTTTAAAGGTTAATCCACATGCGATTGTTGTGTCTGACAAAATATTAGAAAATAGTGCTGCTGAAGTGCCACTGTCTTCTACTTACCTCTTCTCTCCCTTGCCCCTTCTCTGGAGCATCMCTTGGCTTGCCCTGCTTCACAGAAGTCAAAGTTTGTTCAGATTCTTAACGTATACTGAGATTTGCCTAKGGGAAATTACAAATCAGTATGACATGACATTAAGAAATAACCTAAATCTCTTAAATCTGCGAAGAAACATTCATATAAGTACTCAAAATAAGATAACTCTGACTTTGTAAGTACTTATCAGTCTAAGGGGGAATTCTTTTTATGGCAAGAAAAAATGTCATTTGAAATACAGTTGTCATACATAAACGATGGCTTGTTTTCACAAGTATTTCTGGCATGTAACAGCCACTCTGTCCTTAACGTTGTCATTGCTATCCTACTACTGCTGTTATTCCATACTTAATATTCTCCAAAATCTTTAAAGTGCATACGTCTTCTCAAAATACAACTTTTTGGGGAATGATAGGAAAACAGTTTAATAAAATTCCATTTGTATATTTAAATTATTCATGTACAGAAAATGATTTTTCTCAAATAATTTTTCAGATGCTATTTTTAATGCCACATAGCTCAAAAGCAGCTTTGTGTTGGATCTGCAGGCTCAGTATGTAGTTAACTCTCGGTGATGAATGCGTGCTTTGCTTTTCGAAGGCAATTTGGTTTGGAAATAAAATCATGGAAGTATGAAAATGCTGAACTGCACATGCAAAGTACACTTCTGACTAATCGTAAGCTTGTATGAATGCTAAAAATGTGGTAACTTGTTTATGCAATCACTCTCAGCTGTCTGCAATAATGTGCACTTAGATGTAGAACATTGTACAAGTCAAAGCTGTTTCCAAAGTGCTGAGAGATAGGCATTGAAAGGAATGGTGAGGAAACTGGAGCATTCCAGTTTTTGTRAAATCAGTCTGGAAGCCAAARGAGGAAAAAAAAAGAAAAAAAGTCACAATCAAATAATACTTTGTATTTCTTTCCACCACTAGACTGTTGGTCTGCAATTTTTGTATATTAAATGAAATTCTCCTTTTGGGCAGAATGAGTGTGGCTCAGTAGTTTCCTGAGCAGTAACTCTATCTAGCTTTTTACCTATTAGAATATCTTATAAGTGAAGTAATTTTCTGATAATTATTGAAAATATTTCACTAACAACAGAGAGCAGCACTCTGGTGTGACCAAGCTATTCCAGCCTACAGACTTGCTCCATTTTCATAGTTCTGAGAGAGTGGTTGGCTTGCCATGGGTCAGCACTTACAAGAGAAACCCTTGGCAAGAGAACTTCTCTGGCACATTAGCTTTTGTATAGGTCAGAATAACTTCCAGACCCTTTTAGCTCATTAAATAGCATTACTACTGCTTTCAGTTTGCCATTCAAATGGAGAACCGCAGACAAAGCCCATCTTTCTTATTCATGTTACTGATGGGTGGGGCAACTACTTAAAACTGTGACTCATACACATGTGTGTGTGTTTTTAATTACTACTGGAACTAAAAAACAGCAGACAAGAATATAGAGATAAGACTCCAACCTGACTCCAACCTTTCAGTCAGACTGGTAATCTTAGGCTGCCTTCAGGGGTGCCGGCCTGATGGAACAGGCTTTTCATTGGAGATAAGTTGCTCATTCAGGCAAGTATCTTTGAAGAAACACTGCGAATAAGAAAAGGGGAAAAAAAAGTATCAAGCAAGTACCCAGAGCACATAATCCCTCTCAGTTTCTGTAAATAACTACATGTTTTTACACTATGAATTGAGAACGTATGAATTCAAAAACAGTGTTATGGAAATCTATTCTCTCTCCAGGCAGC